TGTGGATTTTGTTATGAGAAATAAGAGCACTGCTCCAAGGAAATGCCTTTCCACACTCCATGCATTTATATGGTTTCTCTCCTGCGAGGATCCTTTTATGGGAAATAAGATTACTGCATCTTCTGAACCTGTTATCATACTCTCTGCATTTGTATAGCTTTTCTCCAGTGTGAATCCTTTCATGAGAAGTAAGTTACCTGCTTGTTCTAAACTGTTTTCCACATTCCAAACATTCATAAGGCTTCTTTTTTGGGGTGAATCACTTTTTGACATGTAAGGAAGTTAGTTCCAAGAGAAAGAATGAATGTCTCATTGTAATTTTTTCCATTTTCCATTCCATTTTCCAAAGAAGAGGCCAACCTATTCTCCAAAGCACCTGAAGGTGGGACAAGTAACAATGGATGGAAACTAATCAAGGAGAGAACTAATCTACAACTAAAGAAAAATTTCCTGACAGTGAGAACAATTTATCAATGGAATGACTTGCTCCCAGAAGTTGTGGATGCTCCAACACTGAAGATGTTTAAGAAGAAACTGGACAGCCATTTATCTGAAATGTTATAGGGCTTCCTGTCTGAGAAGAGGGTTGGACTAGGAGATCTCCAAGATCCCTACCAACTCTGTTATCTGCTCCATTGTCCCCAAATTTCCAAAGCAAAGATATGCAGTAACTTAAATGGGTATGCTTCACAGAAGTCCTGTTTTAGGTGAGAAAATGAACAATTCTGAAAATTTCTTTGATTGAAGAAATATTTGGGGCAGGTTTTATCAAGTTGATTGATTCTGCAGAATTTACAGTGCTTTTCAGTAAAGTAATCCCACTTCTGGATCAACTGATTTATTGCTCTATCATTTATTTATCTAGTAGTCTGAGCCAATGGCTGAATGAGAGAAAACAAAGAAGAGATAATTCCCTGTGTCATTTCTCAGCCTTTGCAAAGTGGGAATGTTTCAGCTCCTAATCCAGGAACAAATCAGAGGATTAGAAATTATTTTGTACCCAAAGTTCTGCGATTACATGCTCTACATGGCCATTCTCTTTGGATTTTAAAATTCTGCTTTATTTTTTAATATGATTTGCTTATTTTTTGAAGGGCTGGTCATGAACAAGGCTTTTCAAAAATGGCAATGTGAGTATTTAGTTATTTTTTATTACCCTTGCAGAAGTCAAAGAATGACAAAAAGAACGGGTCTCTAGCAGGGAAGTCTCTAGAAGGAGAGAGCACTCTGCACACCAGCTTCACTTCCTGAGGGAAAGAAGCCTCATTGCTCAGATGCCTTTTCCTTCACAGGACCATTTCTGGTGCCGCAGGACCGATCACTGCAAGTTATTCTGTTCTTTTTTTTTCCCCTGAGAGAAAATGTTGGCTTGCAAAGATTTCAAATAGCTTCGGGTGTGAGATGGAAAGAAAAAATCAACGCCAAGAATTAGAAAGTGGAATTTAGCCACTGAACAATATTCACCCAACCTGCCCGTAGCCCCAAGCGGCTCATCCCAGGGCAGGGCCGAGGTCCCCCTGAGCAGGGACGGGAAAGAGGCAGGTGGAGAGGCCGCCCCGGTTCTCTCCCCCTCCGGAGACAGGATCGGGCCCTCGGGGAGCCTGGTGGGAATCCTGCCTCCTCCTGGCCCGGCTTCTCTCCTCTCCTGTTGGGCCTCCGCAAGGCCAAACCTTCCCCCCCTCCCCCGGGCTCTTCCCTGGACACGGGGCGGGAAAGGACAAACGGATCCCCGCCGCCTTCCTGGCATCCCCGCTTCTTCCACTTCCCCCTGCATTGAGATGGCGGCTGGGGAGCATGGAACCCGGGGTTAAACCCGCAGGTGGGCCGTGCGCGGGTCTCTCCCTCCTCCGCCTCCTTTTGCACATTTTGCCCGGGGCACATCTGGATCTCCCCCCACCCCCGCCAGACTCTCCCGCAGCGCATCCGCCTCTGGCGGAGCCCCAGCGATTAAAGGGAGAAAGTGTGTCGTCATAGAGCTTCAAGCGTTTGTGATGTCACACCTCCTCTGAAAAGCCAACCAACGTTCGCCCTCCAGTGGACCAATGGGGAAGCGCCTGATGTTACCTTCCTTTTGCAGAAAGCGCCCCCTGGTGGATTCTGCGCAATGTGACAGGGACCCTGCCAAGGGCGGGAAGGAGGAGCGGTGCTTGAGGGGAGGGATGCTGGGCATGAGAATAGTAGCAAAGGGACTTCTCATTGGTTGTCTGTCAGAGAAAAGCAGCGGCGCCTCCTGAGGGAGGGAAAATTTTCCTGTCAGGAAAGTGGAGATTTTTATAGATTTTTATTTCTTTAGTTCAATATGCAGAGCTGCCCTTTTCCAATTCTCAGCTCTGGGTGCCTAAGAATAATTGAAAATTGTCAGGTTCTGACAAAGGAAATAATACTGAAGAAAAAGAAATATCGAAGGAAAACCAGTTCCAAATTGAAGAAAAAACTCAAACTGATGATTTTTGGAGAAATTTTACCTCACAAGGAGGCTCCTTGGTGGAGAAATGAAGAGGGGGAAATGGCGTCTCCTCTGTGACCTGGAGAAAAAGTGGAATTGCAAAATGATGGAATGAAAATAGTGGAAAGGGGAATATAAAGCTCAAATACCAGGAGGGGAAAAATATTTTTAAAAAGACTCTCTCTTACTTAATAGTAGGGAATTCACCTCATAGGGGAAATAAGAGTTGGAAACTTTAAGAACATTATTGAATTTAAGGCAACCTGAAGAATCTGATATTCCATTGTCTTGGCCAAGCCCGCCTCCTGGAGGATGCTGCATGCAATGCAGGTCCTCATGCAGAGAAAGGGAGCATTTCCCATGGGGTGCAGCAAGAAGGCGACTGTCGTGTCCCCCCAGTTCAGAAAGCCTTCTGAATATAACTGCGTTTTTTAAACTTTAAATCCATCTCCAACAGATTTAACAGAGTTGGAAAGGACCTTCTAGTCCAAGCCCCCCTCCCTCACCAAGCAGGAAAACCTACACCATTTCTGACAAATGGCAGTTCTGTCCCTTCTTGAAAGCTTCCAGTGATGAGACTCCCACAACTATTGAAAGCAAGCTGTTCCATTGGTTGATTGTTTTCACTGTCAGAAAATTTCTCCTTATTTCTAGGTTGAATCACTCCTTGATCAGTTTCCAAGAAAGTATTTTTAAGAAAGTTTGTAGAAAATGTTAACATCCCTGCTTAGACAGAGGGAAGGAAGAGCCAGGAAATAGTATTCAGCAGATAAGAAGATAATCTTGCTTTTTCTAAACTGGTATTAGGATTGCCATGGTATTGAACTGACAGGTCCTGTGTGTGCTTGTGTCATACAGAATTTTAGGCTTTATTATTAGCTTTTCCCCCAATAATTTTATTGAACATTATATTATAAAAAGTATATTGTACAGAAATATGTTTTTAACAATTAAAACTGCAGAAAAGAAAGAAAAACAAATTTCCTTCTTCTAGTCAATATGTATAACCAATACTAATGACTTATCGTTTTTAAAATATAGCTAAACACTTCTTCATACCTCACCTTATTCCCTATCTCTAAATATTTATGTTTCCATATTAATCAGCAAAAATCCAATAAGAGCTATCTGAAATAATATTATGTACTATATTTATTACAGGTAGTCCACCATCTATGATAGCAATTGGGACCATCTTTAAGCAATGTGGTCACAAGGCATTACTGCATCTTTTAGAAACAACAATCCTGGTTGCCATTGTTAACTGAATCTGATGGTCCTAAACCAAAATAGTGGAGAATCCAGCAGGAAGTTGTGAGTCATAGGAAACTCATGAGTAGGTATGCCACCCAGCATACCCTCAGTGTGGTGCCATTTGTGCACCCTTATCCAGTGGTGAAATAGGAATTGGTTTGCCACCGATTTGTTGGCCGCACATGTGTGGTGCGCACCAAACGCGTGCTGCACATGCATCCACAGTGCACACAAAACACACACTGCATACATGCGCATGCGCAGTACGCACCAAACGCACAGAAAAAGGCTTGGGAAGGTAAGTAGAACAGCGAGGGGGAGAACAGCTGTGCCATGTGATTTAGATATACTAGAAAGCAGGATTTCCTGCTTTCTAGTGATTTTAAATCGCGCAGCACAGCTCATTGTTGAGAATACCGGTTCGGAGGAACCGGTACTTTTTATCACTACCGAATCTCCCGAACCAGTGCGAACTGGTAGGATTTTACCGCTGTCCTTATCCTCTCTGAACAAAACATTTCTTCTTGCATAACCCTACACATCCACACCACACCACGTAGTGCCTCACACACGCTTGCATATCCTCACTAAACCAGCCATCTTGTTTACCCTGACTCACATGGTGTCTCTCACATTCACCCACACATCTTCCCAATCCCACATATTTCCTATGCACCCCACCCTGACTTTTCCCTACATCCCCCAGCTCCTTGCTCCTTTCCCCACTTATTTTGCCCATAACATGCGGGACAGTTAACTGGAGAAAGCAGTTATATTTGGAAGAGTTAGTAGTAAAAGAAAGCCAGGCCACCAAAGAACACAGTGGCTGATCACCATCAATACCAGCCAGAGCATAGATCAACTCAAAAAAAGTGCATGATTGGAAGATGTGAAGAGACCTGGCCTCACCAAGAATCAGACACAACTGAATGGATGACATCATCAGTATCAACCAGAAATCAGGATGGAAAAAACAAATTGTAACAAGATTAAGCAAAGGAAGAAAAGATTTATCTACAGAGGGGATACATAGAGGATCGAATGAATCTCTGCCTGCCAATTCCTGCTCTAGTGGAAGAAATGTTGATCAAGTTTTGTTTTATTGAGACATACCAGGTATACAGTATATTAATCAGATAGTTTCTTCAATTGATTTGGAAATCTGCGGTTGTTAGTTATTGGCCTGATTACTTTACCGTGAAGGCAATTTATGCCTTTATCTCCTCATTTTTGCTCTGGAATATTTTTCTTAGCAAAATCTCATTTTTTCCAAGGGAAGAAAGGACATTCAAAGCACAAATCCTGTTGTCACTTTTAATTCAGTATCACAATTATTCAATGGGCAGTTCAATGCCAGTAATCCTAGATTTAGGACTGGTTGTTAGTGAATTTTTGAAATTACATTGTAACCCCTCCCCTCAAAGCTACTCACAACCAAGTTACAATGGCTGCCCCCCCTCCCCCCAGTCATGCTATCACATTCTGGGCACTTGGCAATCTGCTCACCTTTACGGCCCTTTGCAGCTTCCCATTGTGACTTTTGCTTCTTTTTTCTGGTTTCTACATGCTTAGTGGGTAAAATGGATTCATATAAATGATCATTGTTTGCTTAACGACAACCAGAAAACATGCCAAAGTTTTGTCATGTGATGACATGACTAAAATGCAATAATGTACAACCATAATTACAGTCATAAATCAAGGACTATCTTATCACATTCCATTTCTCTATATATGTTGATGGAACTTGAGTTCCCTTTGGATTATAATATCCCTTCAGACCCCACTATCCTTCTCCTGCACCATGTCCAACTTGTGAGAACAGAGAAGTCTATGGTCATCTGATAAACTGAATATATTAAGGAACGTGGAAACAATTGTAAGAAGACTGGGCAAAAGAAGGAAAGTTTAAATTGTGGGAAGTGTCTGTTGAATTTCTGTCTGCCTGTCTGCTATAGTGAAATAAAGCTTTGTCTTGAACAGCTGCATCAGGGAGATGTAGCTCCTTAAGCAGGGGGTTGGACTAGAAGACCTCCAAGATCGCTTCCAACTCTGTTATTCTATTCTATTCTATTGCCTGGGAAGGCAGCACCTGTTAAATGACTGCCTGTTTGCATTCCTCTTAGAACCAGGATCAAGTGGGAAGAACAAACAATAATAAACACTGCAGTGAGCCTTGGAAAGGAACAAGGACATTCACTTATAAAAACACAATAAAGGCAACGTCTTTATAAAATTGCATGGCTCTCAATCTGAGATACATAAAGTGGCCATTTTCTTGGAAGTGACCTCCAACGAGAACCTGCATATAAACAAATTTAAGAAAAAAAATCAGTTATTGATGTCATGGAATTGATACACGGGACCCAAAGCAAATAATCAAAGCTTGCTGCAGTCATTTCTGTTAATAATGCATAAAGGAGAAATTCCTTTTGGAAAATAGTGGCACTCCTAAAGGCAAAAGGATGCACTCATATTTATAAATTTCAGAAGGGATGATAAAATGATACATACATATGCATAAGTAATAGATGTAAGCATATTCATAATTAACAAACTAAGTTAATTCCTCATTCTGTTTCATTTTGCTAACAAGACCAACTCTCATAAGAGTTTGTTTTCCTCACAATGTGCAATAGCACTGACAACCTTCAGATGACAATGCCTTATGGCCATTTTGCTGCAGCATCCCCATGGTTATGTGATCAAAATTCAGATGCTGGGCAACCAACTCATATTTATGACAGTTGGAGTATTCTGGGGTCATATTTTATTTATTTATTTATTATTGCGATTTATATGCCGCCTTTCTCCCTGGGGACTCAAGGCGGCTTACAAAATGACAAATTCCAATACAAATCACAATGAAATAAAATTAAAATCAGCAACCCTATAAAAACAGTTTAAAATTATGACAGTGTACCCCGAAACGGATCAGTTGAGTTGACGGAATGATCCGTCAACTCAAATATGATTCCCTATTGCAACCTTCTGACAAGCAAAGTCAACGGGAAGCCAGATTCACTTAACAACGGTGTTCCATTGGTGGGGTAAAAATCACTTAACAAATGTCTCAATCAGCAACTAAGATCTCGGGTTCAATTGAGGTCATAACTTGAAGATTACCTGTATTCATAAGTAAAACAGCATATGCCCGTTTTTATTTTCACTGGTAAATTCATCTTTCTGGAGCTGCCATTTGTGAGGATCAGACTCAAAAATACCTTCCTTTCCTAGTTTAGGATATGTCAATAGAAAATGCATAGATATTCCTCTATTTATGAACAGGTTATGTTCCAAGCTGTTCTTAAGTCTGCTTTGTTTATAAATCCAAACAAACATTAAAAACATGTACAGTCCAGTTCTTACCTTACATAAGCAGTAGGATTGTGGTAAAACATTACAACAATATAAGCTCATCCTTCAGAGTTGAAATGGCACATTTCTCCACCTTCTTGAAGAAATGGTCCAGTGAATTTTTGGTGATAGCCTTCATCTTTTCTATTTTCCTCATAGACCCTATAGCACTATATCACACCGCTGGAGAGCTACAGACACCTTGGTGAAATGCTCAAAACAGTCCTGCATTTCAAACGGTGACAGTGCTTTCTTGATCAAGCTGAATTCCTCTGCCATCAGCTTGATGTGGAATCTCCAGAGGTTTAATCATTTTCTCTTGCTTTCACTGAGTTTACAACTCCAGGTTGCTGTTGAAGAGTTATTCCACATGCGTGGCTAACAATTCATCAAAGACCTTCTCCAGGTCAAGATAAAGCTCCTTGGTGAAAGCAATTAAGTTGCTAACAATGCTGTGTGACTTCCTGTCCACCACTTCAAATCTTTGAAAGTCATGAACAAACTGAAGGTACAGACGTTTTCCATATCCCATTCATATTAATAGAAGTTGCCAGGCTGCATCAACATTCTTGATAACCTTGTAGATGTCATAGGACATCCAAAACTGACACGCGGTCATCTGAACTGCTTGCTGAACATGCAGAAAAGATAATTTTGGAAAGTTACTATAACCCATAATCCATAGTGGTAGGAGAAAATTGGTGTTTGGAGGCAGAGACCCAATCTTCATGTTCAGATGGAAATTGTCCAAGTGAGATGGATGAGCCAAGACATTATCCAAAATGAGAATCTTGAAGGCAATGTTTTTCTCATAGCAATTATCTCTATATTTCTAGGATGAAATGATGAAAAAAACATCAAGGTGAGGATGACCGAAGGTTTCTTTTTAGCTTCCCACAGAACAAAGTGAGATTTTCTTGAGACTTCACAGGTTCTCAGAATGATAGACTAGCAACAATTTTAGATCACTGGAAGTGTTACTCACTTGGCAACATTGTCTTTTGCAGCTTTCCATTATTATCTCTTCTTTGTTGATATAAGTTTTGCTGGCACTTTTTTTTCTAAAAGCCCCATTTCATCTACATTGAATATTTGCTGAGGCAAATAACAATTTTCCTCAATTTCATTGAGGGCTTTTGGGAACTCCTTGGCTGCATTCTCATCCGCACTTGCCACCTCACCACATGCTTTCACATTATGCACAAGCCTTAAAATGTGTGTGTTTCAGCAGAACTTTTACCAACCTCCTGTTGCAAGTCATGAAATAAGCTCTAAATAAGCTCTAATAAGCCACGGGTTCCTGGCCCCTGGCTCTGGAGCCACATGTGGCTCTTTCATCCCTCTGCTGCGGCTCCCTCAAAATATGTGTTACAACTGCCAATGTGCAATATCTGCCGGCATGTGATTTATTGAGCTTTTCGACCCCCGGTAGGCCAATCATGAATAAATCCAAGAAAAGTTTTAGAAGAAAAACAAAGCATTTAATTCAACTACATATGCTAATTCTGCGGCCTCTCAGGAAATAGTCAGGTACGGGAAAGGTTTTGTGGCACCCGGTGTTTTCTTTTCTGTGGGAAACAGGTCCAAATGGCTTTGAGCGTTTAAGGTTGCAGACCCCTGCTCTAAGCCTTCTCCTGGATCAGCATTAAGCTCAGAAGCACACATCACTGATGCTATCGTCACTCCATATGCTGAGTAGCTTCTCTATCTCTTCCGTCACTTTTCCACTCCTTTTGGTTACTGTGGATTGCATAGGCACATGAACCTTTTACATGTTCTACAATCTTCCCTGTGTTCTTAATGATCATTACGGTAATCCATACAATAAGAACATGCCACATTCCTTATCTTCCCCCACTCTATTTTCTTCAGCATCTCCATCTTAATTGGATCATCATGGATTGGAGCTGTTTGCATTACTCCCTTCCCCATTATCACTCGAGTTTAATTCCACACATTTAGAACCTACAGGTCACACCAGACAGTCACCAAACTACTAAACAATGAACAGTAAGCAATCAAAGAGGCAGGAAAGGATTAAAGCACATCACATACATATGCAATGCACCTGTCAGCACTTCAAGCTGCATTTACTCTAGTGCTGATATAAGAAGGAGAAGCGGAGGCGTCTGGAAAGGGACGTTTGACTTTTCACCTACTTATTTTCCCTGGAGATAATATCCCCTAGGAGATGGGATGGGAGGGGGGAAATTCCTTTGAGCTGGAGCGGTAGATTAGGGGTAGAATGATTTGGTAGATGGCCAATGAGTGCAGGGGAGTGGGGAACAGAAAGGGAGGGTTTGGGGTCTGCAAGTCAGTGTTGGCTTCAATGGAGTCGGGTCTAGAATGTTGTGCTTAATAGTTTTCCTTCAAAGACTTTGTTTGAAATGCAATTTATTTGAGACGACCTCAAAACTTGACAGCACCCTAAACTAACCCTTTCCCACCTTCTCTAGCCTTCTGGGACCTTTTATGTTGGAGTTGCAGGTTTATTTGTATAATTAAAAGTTTGTAACTCAAAAGTTTATAACTAGAAGAATGTCCGTAGCTATAACACTAAATCTAAAATTTACATATATTCTCTTTCAAATGGATCTGTGTATGGCAAATTAGGTCATTGCTCCGCCTGAAGCTCTTTCCACATTCAAAACATTTATATGGTTTCTCCCCCGTGTGGATCCTTTTATGGAAAGTAAGGGAACCACTATGACGGAAGCTCTTTCCACACTCTCTGCATTTATATGGTTTCTCACCTGTGTGGATCCTTTTATGTCTCAGCAGGGACCCATTTTCACAGAAGCCCTTTCCACACTCCATACATTTAAATGGCTTCTCCCCTGTGTGGATTCTTTTATGTTTCATAAGGGATGCATTTTCACAGAAACCTTTTCCACACTCCCCACATTTATATGGCTTCTCCCCCAAATGGATCCTTTTATGGAATGTAAGAGAACCACTATGAATAAAGCTCTTTCCACACTCTCTGCATTTATATGGTTTCTCCCCTGTGTGGATCCTTTTATGGGAAGCAAGGTGACTGCTCTGAATAAAAATCTTGCCACACTCCAGACATTTATATGGCTTCTCCCCTGTGTGAATCCTTTTGTGGGAAATAAGTTTACTCTGTTGGCTGAAGCCCTTTTCACATTCCACACATTTATATGGTTTTTCCCCTGTGTGGATCCTTTTATGTCTCATAAGGGACCCGTTTTCACAAAAACCCTTTCCACACTCTATGCATTTATACGGCTTCTCTCCTGTGTGTATCCGTTTATGTCTCATAAGGGACCCATTTTCACAGAAACCCTTTCCACACACTATGCATTTATACGGCTTTTCCCCTGTATGGATCCTTTTATGTCTCATAAGGGACCCATTTTCACAGAAGCTCTTTCCACACTCCATGCATTTATACGGCTTCTCCCCTGTATGGATCCTTTTATGGGAAGTAAGATGACTGCTGTTAGTAAAGCCCTTTCCACACTCTCTGCACATATATGGCTTCTCCCCTGTGTGGATCCTTTTATGAGAAGTAAAGGAACTCCTTCGACAGAAGCCTTTTCCACATTCAAGACATTTATATGGCTTCTCCCCTGTGTGGATCCAGTTATGGGAAGTTAGTTGACTGCTATTAGTAAAAGATTTTCCACACTTCACACATTTATATGGCTTCTCTCCTGTGTGGATCTTTTTATGAGAAGTATGTTGACTTCTATTAGTAAAGCTCTTTCCACACTCCAAACATTTATATGGCTTCTCCCCTGTGTGGATCCAGTTGTGGGAAATAAGTTGGCTGCTGTTTGTAAAGTTCTTTCCGCACTCTGTGCATTCGTATGGCTTCTCTCCTGTGTGGATCCTTTTATGAGAAGTAAGATGACTGCTATTGGAAAAGCCCTTTCCGCACTCTCTGCATTTATATGGCTTCTCCCCTGTGTGGATCCTTTTATGGGAAGAAAGATGACTGCTCTGAATAAAACTCTTTCCACACTCCGCACATTTATATGGCTTCTCCCCTGTGTGGATCCTTTTATGTTTCACGAGGGATGCATTCTCACCAAACCCCTTTCCACACTGTCTGCATTTATATGGCTTCTCCCCTGTATGGATCCATTTATGAGATGTAAGGGAACGGCTCTCACTGAAACTTTTTCCACATTCCATGCACTTATATGGCTTTTCCCCAGTGTGGATCCAGTTATGGGAAGTAACTTGACTGCTTCTTCTGAAGCTCTTTCCACATTCCAAGCATTTATATCGCTTCTCTTCTGTATGGGTCTTTTTACAAGATATAAGGGACCCATTTTCATGAGGAAGGGTGAAAGTCCAATTGTAATTGTTTCCATTGTCTCTGGATATATAATCTTCTCTTTTGATTTCTGTTGGATCCTGTTCATTTACATCTAACTTGTCTTTCAATAGGTTTACATTTTTCTTTATTTTTCCTTGTTGGACAAGAAAGTCTTGCATCTGAGCATCAATGGAAGATAAGCTTTCCGGATTCCAATTATTTGTCTGGTTTCTTTCATGACTTTCTATTTCCATTTGAATTTCAGATTTCTCTGTTTCATCTCCAGCATTGAATACTTGAAATGGTTCCTCAGTATCTTTATTCTCTTGCCCATTATTACCTTCAAAGGAAAAGAGAAATGAAAATGCTAACTAATTTAGGGGAAAAGATCACAGTGTATAAGTCCTATGATATTTTGGCAGATTCCAATATATTATAGTATGTTTGTTTATAATTATCCATATATATTTCACCCAGAGTCAGCTTTGAGTTAAGGAAGAATCATGTAAACATCTGAGGAACTATTAGGAAAAATCTGATAATTATTGGAGAGGCCAATTCCAGCAGAGACTTGTAGGAACTAAATCAATTTCGAAACAAGACTTTTTCTTCCCACCCAAACTATCTTTCTTTTACTATTTGTTGCTGTACTATTTGTTCAAATTAAAGAAACTTGGTATTTTAGTGAGTTTTACCTTTAAAATGAAAAGAAAATATTAACCAAAAATATGAAACAGAAAATCAAATAGAATTGATGTTAAGGGTTAGGGTTAGGGTATATTAAGACAGGAGAAATTAAAGTTGTCCTTGTTGGAGAATATTTCTGTGACAAAAATGAATGTGTGGCCTAGAATGATGCTTTTGTTTCAAGGAATACATATTTGGACAAGTGATGTAGCATTTAAGCAATGGTAGAACGATAAGTCTAGATTTGTACGGCAAGGGAAAAGCTACAGATTGAATATCAAATACTCCAAGATGTAGAGGAAACAGGAGGATTTTGGTCTGCCCGATTTGAAACTACTTTGTGGCCTGTTGTGTGGTTTGAATGAAAGATTGGGAATTGCTGAGAAATAATTTTAGAAGTAGAAGTGCATGACCTAAGGTTTGGATGGCATGGATATCTATGTTACGATAAAGTCAGGATTAATCTAGATTTTAAAAACCATGATGTTAGAAAATTTGAGACTATGGAACAGATGTAAACCCAGACTCTGTCCGAAAACACCTTGATGGCTCTTGGCACAAGAGACATTTTACAGAAGAAAAGCAATAGGCAAAGACAAATAGATAATATGGCGAGAGCTGTTAGAACTTGAACAAGGAAAATACCAAATGAAATCAAGAGAGCAACTGACAGCAGAAGGATATAGTCAGTTGTTTTCATATTATCATCAGAAAAATTCAAGGTAGATAAAAGTACCTATGGTATTCAACAACATAAGAGAGAATTTTTTTAAAAAAATTTTTTGATTTACATGCCGCCCTTCTCCAGAGACTCCGGAGACTCAGGGCGGCTTACAATGCGTTAAGCAATAGCCTTCATACTTTGAATCATAATTGTGAAGAAAGGATGAACATGTAATCCTAAAACCTATAAACAGGTTAAAATGTATGATAAAATGGGCAAAGAGGTTTTGTCATAACATATAAGTGTAACACTGGGAAAACATGTGGTTGAAAGGAGTGAAATTTACATTATGTAATAATCTGGAAAGCTAGAAAATTTCGAATTGATGTAAACAATTTTAAAGATCAATACTGAACTGAAATTAGAACACTTTGTTGGTACTAATAAACCAACAGCTAGAAAACAGAAGAGTGTTAACTATGGTAACTGCAGCAATGCTAGTATATTCATAAAGATGGAAGGACTCTGAAAAAAAGTACAATGGAGGAATGGTTGAAGATGACAGAATTAACAGAGATGGCTAGATTGAGTTCTTTGATCTGAGAAAGAATAATATCTACATTTATTAGTGACTAAAAAGCCCGATGGGCTTTTTGCTGAAAAAAAAAACACCTCAGTTTGTGATTTATGGGTTTGAAGAGTACAAAGGATACATTTTGGAAAAGAAATGATGATGTAACCTTAAGCGATAAAGGCTATAATATAATTGCACTTATAACTGCTATGAAGAAGATTGGAAGCCACTTTTTTATTACTTTTTCATATTTTTTCTTTTTTTTCCTTTTCCCTTCTTTCTTTATTTTTTTTTCTTATTCACTTTACTTTATCTTCTTTATTTCTGTTTCAGTATTTGCACTGTTCTTATTCGGATATTTTTAATAAAATCAGTAAAATAAAGAAGTAGCTGATGGCATCTAACTACAGAATGTCTTCCCAAACACTATATTGGGGAGAAGCAAACCCCTTACCCATAGGCGTCATTCCTATGATTTTTTAATTTTATCATACTTTTTTCTTATTCATTACTCTATCTTCTTTATTTCCTCTTCAAAATTTGTATTGTTTTTATTCTGATAAAATTTCTGGCATATTCTTACCTAAAGAGGCTACATTCCTATGATTTTCCAGCATGACTTCCGAATGGAGCAGTTTTTGGTCAGGAGCCAACTGAGACCACTCCTCCTTGGAGAAATACACAGCCACCTCCTCAAAGGACACAAGACCCTCCTTGAACAGGGAAAAAAAACAGAATAGGTCCAGGAGAATATGCAGCATCTGTCCCGTTGTTCACAAGTTCCCAAAGCAAAGATACGCACTACGTGCTTGGTAGGATTCTAAAGTATTGTTGGGAAAGAGGACAGAGCCAAAAGGCAGTGACTGAAGAAATATTTTGGGCAGGTGTTATCAATTTAATTGATTCTGGTACACATTCAGGCCATTCAGTGAATAACTCCACTTTCCTTCTGGAGTTATCTATTATCTATATCATCTAATATCTTGTCAAAGATTTTGATGGTCCAGAGGCACTTGAAGATGGGCCTTGGAAACCCTATCTACCACTGACTCCAATCCTTCCTGTGTTTCCAGAAGGAAACTGGGGGGATGGGGGATGGGGGGCTGAATTCTTTCTAGCATTTCAGCAAAAGGCTTATGGTATCAATTTGAATCTTTTATGCTCAAGAACAAGAAAATATCCAAGCCAAAGCAAGGAGAAATAATGGAAGGAGACAGTGCTGAATACACTAGTATGACTTTCTAAAGGAAAGGGAGAATACAAATTTAATAAATTGTTTTCCTACTCTTACTTCAGTTGGCGGTTCAACCACTGTTTCAGCTCCACCGTAAAGATCAGAAAATTTCATTCTATGTTTCTCTGTGAGGAAGACAGATATTAAAATACCCAATTAACAAAATAGGAGTCGGTATTCTACAGAAGAGAAGACAAAAAGAAGATAAGATAGCAGGGATCTCTCTGGGGAATGGGAGACCGTCATTACCTTTTGAGGTAACCTGACTTGGGTCTTCCTGAGGGTTCCTCCTGAAAAGCAGCTCCTGATGGGGATTTGATGGATTACTTCTTCCCTCAGGATCTCTGATCTCCACGGAGAAGGACTTGAAATAGGAGGAAGAAGAAAAGAAGAATTAAGAGGGCCTCCTCAGGGTGCCATCAGCCAAACAATGTAGGCTGGTGACCCCCAGGGGGAGGGCCTTCTCGGTGGGGGCTCCCACCCTCTGGAATCAGTTGCCCCCGGAGATAAGGAGAATCCATGACCTCAATGCCTTCCGTCATTCCCTGAAAACCCATCTTTTCCAGCAAGCCGGGTTGGCTTAAGAAGAAATTTTTAAATTCTTTTAATCAGTTTGTGATTTTTTAACTTTCGGGCCAAAATTTATATATATTTTAAATGTTTTTTAATATTTGTATTCTATGTTTTTTATCTTGGCTGTACACCGCCCTGAGTCCTCAGGGAGAAGGGTGGTATATAAATTGGAAATTAAATTAAATTAAATTAAATTAAATTAATTAAATTAAATTAAATTAAATTAAATTAAATTAAATTAAATTAAATTAAATTAAATTAAATTAAATTAAATTAAATTAAATTAAATTAAATTAAATTAAATTAAATTAAATTAAATTAAATTAAATAAATTAAATTAATTAAATTAAATTAATTAAATTAAATTAAATTAAATTAAATTAAATTAAATTAAATTGACATCAAACAACATGAAGTGGATTCTTGTTCTATGAACACAATATCAAAGTTCCCAATATCCATCAGTGAGGCTGAGGGAGAAGTGATTGGAACAATATCCTACAAAAATTAGTAAAATATCAATATTAATATTGTTATAATAGATCAATCAGCATTCAACTAGGGAGGACAATATCTGTATATATGTGTTAGTCTTTTTTAATGTACTTCTTTCTTTTTAATGTTTGTTCTTTTTTCTTTTTTTTTTAAAAAAATGTGTTTCGTATTTTAACTTTTTTTTAATAAAAGTAGATTAAAAAAATAATTAGTAAAATGTCTCCAACTGAATGCCAGGGATGTCTGGAAGGGAGGGGTGAAGAATTCAAACCCATTCTTTACTCCCTTCTGGAGTCTGAGACAAAGTTCGCTCACCTGCAACTCGACCTGCTCCTTCTCCTCCTCTGCCTGGCTCAGGAGGAGGCCTTCTGCGAGGGCCACCGCCTGGGAGCTGGTCTCTGCTCCGCATTCCCGCAGCCAGCTCTCCATCTCTGGGGGCAGAAGAGCCAGGAGCTGCTCTAGAACAACCAGGTCCAGCATCTGGGCTTTGGTGAGCTTTTCTGGTCTCAGCCATTGCCTACAAAAATTGTAGAGTCGGCTGCAAAGTCCTCGGGGACCCTCAGCCTCCTGGTATTGGAGGCTTCTGAAGTTCCAGGGCTGAATTTTTGAAGAGATTATGGTTTCCTCCTCCAGGATGATCTGCCCAGTTCTTGCCCACATCTCCCCACAGGTCCCAAACTGAACAGCAGAAGAGCCTTTTCCAGTTCTCTCACTTGCTAAAAGTTGTGTCTCCATTCTGTCTCTGTCTTCTAACATAACTCCAATTGGGTCCAAAGGATGTTGTGGAGCTCCAAATGCCTTTTCGATTATAGGACCGATCCTACAGTCACTGCAATGATCACAGGTGGCCATTCAGGTCTTTTCCCCCCAAGAGATCATTTTACCCGTGATGAAGTCCAAACGGCTTCCAGTTTCTGTACCTGAGATGCAAAGGAAAAATCCCAAGAATTAGAAAGTGGAGAATTTAACGATGGAGCAACAGTCGTCCCTGTGGAAGAAAGTATTTTTGTAAACTGGAATAGGATTGCAGTGGCATTCAGCAGGTCCTATTTCATGCACACATGTGTGTAATTGTGTGAGAGTGGTGCAATATTTTTCCTTACAAGAAAGGGCTTCCTTTTTAAAACCGAGATCTATATTTACCTCCAAGGCAGGGTTCACACAACCTGCCAAACCCCAAAAAGGTGAACAAACCATGAAAGTTCAATTCACATCCAATAAAACGGCAGGAAATGACCCTAGCTGAGGATGTCCTTTGGAGAAGAACCGAGGTTCCCTCTGACACGCAGGCAGGTTCACACAATCCGGAGCCCCAAGCGGGCTATCCAAGCGCAGGGCCGGGAAGGAGGCAGCTGGAGAGGCCGCCCCGCTTCTTTCCCACTCCGAAGACAGGATCGGACCCTCGGGGAGCCTAGTGCGAATCCTGCCTCCTCTTGGCCCGGCTTCTCTCCTCTCCTGCGGGGCCTCCGCAAGGCCGACTCGCCTCTCCCACCACTCGGGCTCTTTCCCGGACATGGGGCGACTGGGGAGCCCCGGATCCCCGCCGCCTTCCTGGGATCCCCGGTTCTTCTCCTGGTGCTGCTTTGGAGCTCCGCTTCCCCCTGCATGGAGAGGGCGGCTGGGGAGCATGGGACCCGGGATTGAAGCCAAAGGAGGGCCGGGCGAGGGTCTCTCCCTCCTCCGCCTCCCTTTGCCTGGGAAGAGCCCCCAACTCACCCGGGTCACGTCTGGATCTCCCCCCGCCAGACTCTCCCGCAGCCTCTCCGCCTCCTGCGGAGCCCCAGGGGTTAAGGAGAGCGAGTGCACCGTCCTAGAGCGGCAAGGGTTTGTGACGTCACTCCCATCGCAGCCTCCTCTGGAAAGCCAACCGTGAGGTTCGCCCTCCAGTGACCCATCGGGGAAGCCTTTGGTGTTCCCTTCTTTTGGCAGAGGGTGCCCCCTGGTGGATTTTCCTTGCAATGCTAGGAGACCCTGCAAGGGCTGGAAAGAGGACTGAATGGAGGTTTGGGGGAGGGAAGCGCATCTTGGCTGAAGGGAGGGCAGGGATCATGGGTATGGGAGTAGAAGAAAGCCCACTCACAATGATTCCCTGTCTGAGAAAGGCGGCAGCATCTCCAGTGGTGGCAGCTTCCCCGTCTTTGAATTGAATTGAATTCTTTATTAGCCAAGTGTGATTGGACATACAAGGAATTTGTCTTGGTGCATATGCTCTCGGTGTGCATGATGGTCAGCATCTCACCGCTGACATAGAAAGGAAGATAAGCCCTGGACTTTTGCCTGCTAAATCCCTTTGAAGCTCGGTCTCCGTGGAAATGAAGGGGGGGAGGGGGACATTCCTGTGAAATGACAAGACAAGAAGTCAGGAGAATGACTTGGAAGATAGCCAATGAGAAGCAGATAATTGGGGATCGGAAAGGGAGGGATTGGGGGGCAAAAGGTCAGTCTTGTCCGCATCGAATCATGATCTGGTTGCTGTGCTCGAATAAAGAGAAGATTTCCTTAAAGATTGGCAGTTTGGAAATTCATTTATTTTGAGATAGCATCGAAGTCTGACACATAAAAGAAAAGATACATTCGTCAAGAATCATAAAGTACAACACTTAATGATAGTCATAGGGTACAAATAAGCAATCAAATCATTTTAGGAAACAGTCAATATAAATCTTCCTCTCCTTCGTATTCAGAAACATGTGTGAAGATGGAGTAAAATCTTTCTGGAGGATCCGAACTCATTTCCCTCAAGAACAGCCGCCCTGAAGTCTGAGCAGAGATTGGAGGATGCCTCAAAAGGGGCCAAATCCTGTCAGAAATGGCAGAAAAAGAGGACCTGAAGCCTCTCTTGGAAACATAGCTTGTGTCTTGTGGTTGTTGCAAACTCTGGCCTGAAATGGAGGAAGATGGGGCTGGCGGGACACAGGCAGGGAAGCCCAAATCAGAAAAATGGAAATTTCTTGGAAACACAGCATGCAACCCTTCCCATCCTTTCCACTTGCTTTACAGCACTCAAGACTGATGCCGGCCGGAGGAGCCAAAACAGTAGATCTGGGTCAAGGCCTGCTGCACAGGCTGCACAGCTCAGGCAGGAGAGAAGATGGGGCTGCTAAGGAAGGAGATGTTGGTGACAGCAAGGAGTCAAAGTCTCAGTTTTGTTCTTCATTTTGGAATTGATTTTCTTTTGATATTTCTTCCCCCTTCCCCCCCAGCATTATTTTCCTTGCTTCAGGCAGCCATTTGGTTTTGCCAATTATTCTTAGGCACCCAGAGCCGAGAAGGACAACTGCATATATCGAACTAAAGAAATAAAAACCGATGGAAATCTCTTATTTTCCTTATCCGAAAATCTTTCCTCCCTCGGGAGGCGTTGCCACCTTTCTCAGACAGGCTAAAAATGAGAAACCCCTTTCTTCCTACTCCCATGCCCATCATCCCTGCCCTTTCCCTCCCCTAATGGTGCAGCGCCTCTTTCCCGCCCTTTGGGGGGAAATCCTGGCACTTCGCCCAGCATCCTCCAGGGGGGCGCCTTCTGCCAAGAGAAGGTAACACCAGGAGCTTCCCCATTGGCCCTCTGGAGGGCGAACGTCACAGCTGCCATTCCAGAGGAGGCTGGGAAGGAAGTGACGTCACAAACGATTGCCGCTCTAGGACTCCGCACTCACTCCCCTTAACCCCTGGGGCTCCGCAGGAGGCGGAGAGGTTGCGGGAGAGTCTGGCGGGGGGAGATCCAGACGTGCCCCGGATGAGGTGGGGGCTCTTCCCGTGTAAAGGGAGGCGGAGGAGGGAGAGACCCTCGTCCGGCCCTCCTCCGGCTGCAACCCCGGGTCCCATGCTCCCCAGCTGCCCTCTCCCTGCAGGGCGGGAAAGGGAGCTCCGGAGCAGCAGCAGAAGAAGAACCGGGGCTCCCCAGCCGCCCCGTGTCCGGGGAAGAGTCCGAGTTGGGGGAGAGGAGGGTCCCAGCAGGAGGGGAGAGAAGCCGGGTGAGGAGGAGGCAGGATTCGCACCAGGCTCCCTGTCTCCGGAGGGAGAGAGAAGCGGGGCGGCCCCTCCAGCTGCCTCCTTCCCGGCCCTACTCGGGGGGACCTCGGCCCTGCGCTGGGATGAGCTCCTTGGGGCTCCTGGAAGGTTGTGTGAATCCGCCTGGGTGTCAGAGGGAGACTCCAAAGAGGCTCTTCTCCAAAGGACACCCTGAAGAAGGGAAACGGGGCATCCTCAGCCAGGTTCCATCTCCTGACACTTCGTTGGCTGTGAACTGATTTTCATGGTTTGTTCACCTTTTTGGGGTTTGGCAGGTTGTGTGAACCTGCCTTGAAGTTAAATATAGATCTAGGTTTTAAAAAAGGAGCTAGAAGAAGTAAGAAAATTGATTTATTGGGCAATCCAAGTGCTTGATGGAAATTAATACCATATTTTTGCTACACAGAGAGACATGCACACACAGCGAAAGAAATTCACACACACAAAACCTCACTCCAAGCCTACAACAGATCAGAAATAATATTTCACTCCATGCGGATGAGTGTTGTTCAATAGTTAAATCTACACCTTCTAATTCTTGGAATTAATTTTGTTTTCCATCTCAGATACACAAATTGGACTCATTTGAACTTCTTGGCATACAAAATTATTATCTCTTGGGGAAAATGAGCTGAAAAGCTCTTTCTGCTGTCATTCCTGTGGATACAGGATCAGTCCTATGAATGAAAAAGCATTTGGAGATCCGCAAGATTCTTTGGAGTCGGACCCATTTGGAGTTGCCTTTCAGGAAAGAGAAAAAATGCAGACACAACTTTTAGCAAGTCGGGGAACTGGAAAAGGCCTTTTTGCTGTTCAGCCTGGGAGCTGTGGGGAGATCTGGACAAGAACTGGGCAGAAGATCATGGAGGAGGAAACCACCCTCCCTTCAGAAGTTCAGCCCTGGAATTTCATCCAATACCTGGAGGCTGAGGGTCCCCGAGGTCTTTGCAGCCGACTCCACGGCTTTTGTAGGCAATGGTTGAAACCAGAAAAGCACACCAAAGCCCAGATACTGGACCTGGTTGTTCTGGAGCAGCTCCTGGTCCTTTTGCCCCTGCAGATGGAGAGCTGGGTGAGGGAGTGTGGAGCAGAGACCAGCTCCCAGGCGGTGGCCCTGGCGGAAGGCTTTCTCCTGAGTCAGGAAGGAGACCAGAAGGAGCAGGCAGAGTTGCAGGTGAGAGACCTTCATCTAGACAGGCCAGAAAGGGTTTGAAGAGACTAAAGCAGTGATGGTGAACCTTTTTTGTGCCGAGTGCCCAAAGCGCACGTGCTCACCCACAAAATGCAATGCGAGTGTCGTCCTGCGCATGCACCCCGCTCCCCCTTCACCCATTTTTTTTTTATTTGATTTATATGCCGCCCTTCTCCGAAGACTCAGGGCGGCTTACAATGCGTTAAGCAATAGCCTTCATACTTTTGTATATTTATACAAAGTCAGCTTATTGCCCCCACAAACTGGGTCCTCAATTTACCTACCTTAGAAAGGATGGAAGGCTGAGTCAACCTTGAGCCTGGTGGGATTCGATCTTACTTTAATTGCAGACAGCTGGTCTTAAATTACAGAGCTCTGTCTGTTGAGCTATCCAGGCTCCTGGATATTTTTTGGCTTCCAGGTTAGTGCAGGAGAACTTCCAGGCCCAAAACGGGGCGTGTGGGGGGGCTTGCGCATGCGCACAAACCCTCAAAATGCAATGCGAGTGTCCCCCGCGCATGTGCCCCATGCATGCATGGCAGAGAACTGAAGATCAGCTGGCCGGCAGGAGGCACATGCGCATTCACGGTGGAGCTGGGCTGGGGCAACGGCTGGCGTGCCGGCAGAGAAGGCTCTACATGCCACCTGTGGCACGCATGCCATAGGTTCCCCATCACGGGACTAAAGTATGTGATTGAATTTTTCAATCTTCCATACCACACTTTTCTTGGCTTTCATAATACATGGATTTGTTTCATTAATTTTTGTAGTTATTGTTCCATTATAGCAATAGCACTTAAACTTATATACTGCTTTACAGTGCTTTACAGCCCTTATCCATTTTGGAAGTTATATTTGGCATAACTATTACTTTCTTTCCAGCATCATTGATGTCATTGAGGGCTTTGAAGTTATGTTTGGAGAAAAAGAATCTATTTCATGTTGTTTGATTAATTCCATTAATTCTTTTTTTTCTCTCCTGCCTCCTAAGTCCTTCAATATGGAGATCAGAGATCCTGAGGGAAGGAGGAATCCATCAAATCCCTTTCAGGAGCTGTTTTCCAGGAGGATCCTTCAGGAAGATCCAAGTCAGAACACCTCAGAAGGTAAACTAAGGTTCTCCCATTCCCCAGAGAAATTCTCTTTCTCTTCTTCTTTATGTTTTGTCCTATAGAATATTCCTACCTATTCCTTCAAGTATGCATTTTAAAATTCTGTCTTCCTCACAGTGAAACATAGAATGATGTGTGGTCTTTATGGTAATGCTGAAACAGTGGATGAAACAGCTGAAACTCAAGTAAGAGCGGGAAATTTATTTTATTTGATTGATTGATTGATTGATTGATTGATTGATTGATTCGATTTATATGCTGCCCTTCTCCGGAGACTCAGGGCAGCTTACAGTGGGTTAAGCAAGAGCCTTCATACTTTTGTATATACCTGCTTGGTAGGGCTTTCGGGCCCCCCTAAGCGGTGTTCTTTTTTTTTTATACAAAGTCAGCTTATTGCCCCCACAATCCGGGTCCTCATTTTACCTACCTCGAAAGGATGGAAGGCTAAGTCAACCTTGAGCCTGGTGAGATTTGAACTTGCAGTAATTGCAGGCAGCTGGTGCTAGTTAACAGTACTTTAACAGTACTCTAGTCTGCTGTGCCACCAAGGCTCTTATTTTATTAGATTTGTATTCTCCCTTTCCTTTGGGAAGTCAGATAGTACATAACAATTTCTCCTATTTTTTTCCATATCTTTTGACTTGGATATTTTCTTTTTTTTCCTGAGCAAAACAGATAGGGGAATAGAAGATTCAAATATTGAATCTTCAAGATTCAGCCAGGTTAGCTTCTTCTAAAGTCTGTGTTTGAGATGCATTGTTTTGTTATTTCAACTTTTGAGATTCTTATTAGGAATCTCTCTGCACTAGCTACCCTCCCTACTTTATAACATTTAATTTTTTTAAAAAATGCCTCAATGGATCAGAGCAGCATTATCATACATAAAAATTGCTAAACTTTTCAGTGATGGAATTTAATTTTTTTTACTACTGGTTCTGTGAGCATGGCTTGGTGGGCATGGTGTGGCTTGGTGGGCGTGGCAGGGGAAGGATATTGCAAAATTCCCACCCCATTCTGGGGCCAGCCAGAGGTAGTATTTGCCGGTTCTCCGAACTACTCAAAATTTCCGCTACTGGTTCTCCAGAACCTGTCAGAATCTGCTGAATTTCACCCCGATTCTTTTGCTTATTCTTTAACTTGAAATTGAACGATGTTCAAAAGTAACTAAATACTCACATTTTTAAAATGCCCTGTTCACAATGAGTGATAAGAAATATAAGCCCATCTGATTAAATGATTATGCAGACTGTTAAAATCCAATGAAAGTGGGCCAGATAAGACTTGCAAAGTAAAGGCCAGATCTTCCAGCATTTTCATGAAGATGATGAATATGGATAGAACTGATCCTTTTGGGGATACCCTAAGCCAGCAGTTTCCTGGAATTCTGGAAAGAATTCCCCCAATTTCCCCAATAGATAATTAGGCAAGCAGATAGACAGATCACTCAATCAATCCAGAAGGAAACCTTTCACTGAATGGCCCTGAAAGCAAGGTGGATAAAAATCAATGATTTTTTTAAAAAAATCAAAAAAATTGGATTTTTTTTATTTAAATCGGATTTTTTTTATTTAAATCGGATTTTTTTGATTTTTATCGAATTTATTTTAATAAAAAACTTTTGGGATAAAAATCTATCGTAAGATAGTTTTCTATTTAAGATACATAAATAATTTAGTTTATTCAGCATGAAATGGAGCTTAGTTATGTAGCATGAGGCTGTATATTCTGCAACACTGGGACTATCGGTGAGTCAACAGTGGGTCAAAGGAGTAGCGGACATGACAATTGCTCTTTAAAAATTATGATTTAAATCGAGTTGATTTAAATCAAGCCTTTTTACTAGTGATTTAAATCATGATTTAAATTGTGATTTAAATCAACTCGATTTAAATCAAATCCGCCCTGCCTGAAAGTGCTGCAGAATCAATCAGCGAGGGGTCCTTGGTGGCCCCTGAGCTTGGTTGTTTTCTTGCAGATGTTTAATTATCAAACTAGGTAACATCTTCACCAGCACTGATGATGTTATTTACAGTAGTTTGGGTAATGAAATGTCTACAAGAAAACAACCAAGCTCAGAGAGCCCTAAGAACCCCTCATTTCAACCTTGAGCTACAAATATTCTCCTTTATTAGAATCAATCAAGTTGATAAAACCTGCCTGAAATATTTTTTTAGTCAAAGACTTTAGGCTCTGTCCATTTTCTCACCTAAAGCTTGGAATTCGACCAAGCACAGACATTTAACTTGGCCCATAGCTTTCCTTCGGGCATTTCTAGACCATGGGACAGATCTTACAAATCCTCCTCAGATTGTTTTGTTCTTCTTTTTCTTTGTTCAGAAAGGTCCTCTGTCCTTCGAGGAGGTGGCTGTGCATTTCTCCGAGGAGGAGTGGTCTCAGCTGGATGCTCACCAAAAAACATTGCATTGGGAAGTCATGCTGGAAAATTATAGGAACATGGCCTCTCTGGGTAAGGGTTTGGTACTCCATAATCAGAGAATTTGGGAAACATTCTGTAATTAGATGGCATCAACTATTTCTCATCATATATGTCCTCTGGGAGGAAAGAGGTCATGGCTCCCTGCTTTGATGTTTCCTGTACCATTTCTCATCTGCTGAATTTTAAATTCATCATACGTTTTAGCCTCCAACCCCCTAATAATCTTTGTTGCGTTTATCATGGGGACCACAATTGGATGCATATTCAAAGTGTGGTCTTTCTAAAGCAATATATAGCAGTATTATTACTTCATATGATCTTGATACTATTCCTCTGTTGATGCAGCCCAGGATTGTGTTGGCTTTTTTGGTAGCTTAACACACTGTTGCTCATACACTGTTGGTTCATATTTAAGTGGTGCCCCCTAGGAATCCTAAATCCTTCTCACAGTTACTGTTGTCCATTCATGTGCCACTTATTCTATACTTGTGCATTTGTTTTTTCTTGCCTAAGTGTAGAACTTTACTTTTCTCCGCACTTAATTGCATTTTATTGAAGAGGGACAAGTGTTCAAGTTTGTCTAGATCAGTAGTTCTCAACCTGTGGGTCGGGATCCCTTTGGGGGTCAAACGACCCTTTCACAGGGGTCGCCTAAGACCATCCGAAAACACATATTTTCAATGGTCAATGGAATAATTTTATGGTTGGGGGTCACCACAACATGAGGAACTGTATTAAAGGGTCGCGGCATTAGGAAGGTTGAGACCCACTGATCTAGATCCTTTTGACTTTTGAGCCTGTTGACTATCCTCCTAGTTTGGTGTTGTCTGCAAATTTGATAAGTTTACCTTCTATGCCCTCATCTAAATCTTTTATGGTGTAATCATAATCATTAATTACTAGATAATTTCAATTAATAATTTAATATTTAATCCAGTATTTTTGTTTTTATATACATATTTTATATTTTTAGCATTTTAAAGAAATTACTAATTGGTGTATCTCACCCTTATCCTGGTCAGTGATTGTAATAAAAGTTTGATTTGATTTCCTGGATGTTTCTCATGATTCTTCCTCTTTTTTTTTTTTAAATTAGATTTATATGCCGCCCTTCTCCGGAGACTCAGGGCGGCTTACAATGCATTAAGCAATAGCCTTCATACTTTTGTATATTCAAAGTATACAAGATGACTGTGGATTAGATTTGAATATGTATTAATAATTATCAAGAAAAAGGATGCTATAGATCAGTGATGGTGAACATTTTCAGCACCGAGTGCTAAAAAGGGAACACATACTCGTCTGGGCCGCAACCCAGAAAAGGAGCTGCCCAGGGCACATGCGCATGCCTGAAAATGAACTTCTGGTTTCCATCGTGTGCATGTGCACCGGCCAGCTAATCTTCCAGGTTTCTGGCGTGCATGCGTGCGCGACGATTAGCTGGTCGGCGCACATGGTCATGCAGGAGAACAGAAGTTCTTCCAGTTTCCAACACTGCCGCATGCACGAAGGCCAGCTGATCATCGGGCACGCATGCATGCCAGAAACCCAGAAGAGGAACGGGTGATGCCACGCGTGCCAGGTGACATGGCTTCCACATGTCACTTCGGGCAGATGTGCCATAGGTTCGCCATCACAGCTATAGATCTTTTCAGGGTGCTTTAGGTTTTTTCAGAATGTTTTAGATCTTTTCAATTGTTTTCTGAGTCGTAAATATAGAAATTATTATCTATCCCATGTCTGTGCAAGCATGAAGAAGTTCAAGATATTGGAATAGTGGAATTTGGCAGAGTCCCCTAAGAAAATTCATAGCACTTCCCTAACTTTTCTCTAACTTTGCTATCATTTTCATTTGAAGGTAATAATGGAAAGGAAAATGAGGATTGTGGGGAACCATTCCTAATGAACACCTCTGGAGACAGAACAGAGAAGTCTGCAATACAGATGGAACTAGAAACCCAGGAGAGAAGCCAGTCAAATAATTGGAACGAGGAAAGTTCATCTTCCATTGATGCTCCAATGCAAGACTTTCTTGCTGAATGTGGAAAAATAATGAACAAAGATTTTGGGGAAAGTACAAGACTTTTCAGTGGTAAATTAGATGTAAATGAACATTATCCAACCAAAACAAAAGGAGATGATTATATATGTAGAGACAATGGAACAAATTACAATTGGACTTTCACTTCTTCTCATGGAACTGGATCTCTTACCTCTCCTAAAACGATCCACACAACAAAGAAGCCATATAAATGCATGGAGTGTGGAAACAGCTTCAGTCGAAGGAGTTACTTTACTTCCCATAAAAGAATCCACACAGGGGAGAAGCCGTATAAATGTGTGGAGTGTGGAAAGACTTTTATTCAGAGCAGTCATCTTACTTCCCATAAAAGGATCCACACAGGGGAGAAGCCATATAAATGCATGGAGTGTGGAAAGTGCTTTACAAATAGCAGCCACCTTACTTCCCATAAAAAGATCCACATGGGAGAGAAGCCATACAAATGTTCAGAGTGTGGAAAGGCGTTCTGTGAAAATTCATCCCTTCTGAGACATAAAAGGATCCACACAGGGGAAAAGCCATATAAATGTGTGGAGTGTGGAAAAGTCTTCAGTCAAAATAGTTCTTTTACTTTCCATAAAATGATCCATGCAGGGAAAAGACCATATAAATGCATGGAATGTGGAAAGACCTTTATTCAGAGCAGTAATCTTACTTGTCATAAAAGGATTCACACGGGGGAGAAGCCATATAAATGCAGAGTGTGTGGAAGGGCATTTACTAACAGCAGTGACCTTATTTCCCATAATTGGATCCATTCAGAGGAGAAGCCATATAAATGCTTGGAGTGTGGAAAGACCTTTATTCAAAGCAGTCATTTTAATTCCCACAAAAGGATCCACGCAGGAGAGAAGCCATATAAATGCACGGAGTGTGGAAAGGGCTTCAGCTACCACAGTACTCTTACTTCCCATAAAAGGACCCACACAGGAGAGAAACCTTATAAATGTCTGGAATGTGGAAAGAGCTTCTGTGAAAGCGGATCTCTTACCGTTCATAAAAGGATCCACACAGGAGAGAAGCCGTATAAATGTGTGGAATGTGGAAAGAGTTTCTGTGAAAGTGGATCTCTTACTGTTCATAAAAGAATCCACACAGGGGAGAAGCCATATGAATGTGTAGATTGTGGAAAGGGGTTCTGTCAAAAAGCTTCGCTTATGAGACATTCAAGGATTCACACAGGAGAGAGGCCGTATATATGCATGGAGTGTGGAAAGGGCTTTACTAATAGCAGTCATCTTAATTCCCATAAAAGAACTCATACAGGGGAGAAGCCATATAAATGCCCGGAGTGTGGAAAGGGCTTTACTAATAGCAGTCATCTTAATTCCCATAAAAGAACTCACACAGGGGAGAAGCCATATAAATGCCTGGAGTGTGGAAAAGGCTTTACTCAGAGGGGTAATCTTAATTCCCATAAAAGGATTCACACAGGAGAGAAGCCATACAAGTATACGGAGCTTGGAAAGAGCTTCAGGATCAGCAATGACCTAATTTCTCATACACAGATCCATTTGGGTGAGAATCAATGTAAATTCCAGAATTAATTGGTAAATTCTATGTATTTCCTTCTTTGTATACTGAAGCTACAGAGCTGTGATGGCGAACCTATGGCACGCGTGCCCAAAGTTTTTTTGAGCCCAAATTATTTAATCTATTTTTAATAGCTTTTAACTTTTGTATGTTATTTGTATTTTTATCTTGGCTGTTCACCGCCCTGAGTCCTCCGGGAGTAGGGCGGTATACAAATATGATAAAATAAAATAAAATAATAAATAAAATAAAGTGGCATGTGGAGTCATGTCGCCTGGCACGTGCGGGGTTGCCCATTCTTCTTCTGAGTTTCTGACACGCATATGCACGTGACGATCAGCTGGCCTCTTTGCATGCGGTAGTGCCGGAAACTAGAAGAGCTGGTCTTCCATTTTCCTACGTGAGCACGTATGCTGGCCAGCTGATCGTCGCATGCACGTGTGCCAGAAACCCGGAAGAGTAGCTGGCTGAAACCGGAAGTTCAGTAGTTGAAACTGGAAGTGCAGTATTTTGGGCGTGCATGTGCGCTGGGCAGCTTCGGCATAGACGTGTGCACACATGCGCACTGCTATAGAAGTTTTGGAGTCTGACCATCACAACCCATAGCTCCAGGGAGATGAATTTACAAATAAAACAAAAGCAATGAGAATGTGCTGTTTTAAGGTAGCTACTCTTGCCTATCCATACATTTTTTTCCTTAAGTTTGTACATTCTGGTTTCCAATTGGAAATAAAAATACAAGAAAATTGGCATTTTAATCTTTTCAGATCTACTCTATGCAATTTTATGAAGATGTTTTTCTTGTGGTTTTTTTACAAATGAATTTCCTGCTCCCCAGTTTGTTCTTCCCATCTAATCATGGCCTTGGGTGGGATCCACTATCATTTCTCATAGTTTAAACTTTGCTTCTTTTCCTTAGTCATTTGTTGTTCCCTCTTTTTCTCATTCCTTAATATGTTTACAGTTTATCAGAGGAACCTACACTTCTCTGTCCTCAGAAAATATTAGAAATGTTGCAGCAGAGATTCTGGGAACTAAAGCAATACTATAATTCAAGGGGAATTCAAATGTTATTGGTATACAGAGTGGGATGGAATGTGATATTGCATTTTCCCACTGAATAATTCTGATATTTAAATTAAAAGTGACAACTAAGGATTTGTTTTTTAATTTTTGCATAATTTTCTCTGTGTCTTCTGTCTCATCCCAAGTTAGGGATACTCAGTGGAATGAGAATGAAAGCGACCCCAGTGTGCGGACATTGCAAATGATCAAGCAAGAAGGGGCACCTTTGGAAATCAGTGAGGACCAAAACAACATGAAATCAAGAAACATTACAGAAAACTGTTTCAATTCCTCCTGACCAAACAGACAGAAATAAGGATGGGAACTTCCTCTGGGATGCCTAAAAAATAATCCAATCTACGGTGTAGAATATTGAAACCTGAAACAACAATATGAATGCAGAAGCATGAAACCTTTTTCAGTCAAAAGTCTCTCATGATATGGGAATATTGTCACATATGTATAAATAGAGTGTGAAGGGCTTCAGGATGAAGAATTCTTTTCACAAAGGTGTCAGAATGGCGAGAAGCCCCCGAAATACATATACAAAAAACTTTTTCAAACATTATTTGAATTTGTGATCTTATTTTGGAGGGGGGTGCAGACCTGGCAGGTATTACGGAGACCTGGTTGGGCCACGAGGGGTGTGTTCCCCTCGTTGAAATGTGCCGACCAGGTTTCTGTGCATTTCACCAGCCAAGGGCTCAGGGGAGGGGTGGGGGAGTGGTGGCAATTATTAGGGAAAGTCTTAGTCCGAGGGAGACCACTGTTCCTCAGATAGCCAGATGTGAGTCCCTCCTCGTGAAGTGGGGCCGTGGGAGGCAGATGGGTTTGCTGACTATGTACCTGGCTCCCTGCCATGTGGCAGCGACCCTGCCCGAGCTGCTCGACGTTATTGCCGGGGTGGCGGTTGATACCCCCAGACTTATTGTCATGGGGGATTTCAACCTGCCATCTGCAGGTGAGGCATCAGAGGTGGCTCGGGAGTTCATAGCTTCCATGGTGGCCATGGACCTGACCCAATTAGTTCAGGGCCCCACTCACACAGGGGGACACACTCTGGACTTGATTTTAGTCTCTGGTCAGTGGTTGAATGAACTTGGTAGAGGGGATCTAGACATTAAACCCTTGTCATGGACAGATCATTCTCTCCTTCGCTTGGACTTTCCTGCCACTTCCCCCCCCCTGCCCCCGCTGCAGGGAGACGGAGCCGATCAAATGGTTCCGTCCCAGGCGCCTGATGGATCCCAAAAGGTTCCTAACGGAGCTTGGGCCATTTCCTGAGACCCTGGCACACGACTCGACTGAAGACCTGGTGGCCGCCTGGGAGAGTGCGGCTGCCGGGGCTTTGGACCGCGTCGTGCCTTTGCAGCCTCTGACCTGATGCTGATCTCAATTGGCTTCTTGGTTCTCCAAGGAGCCAACTCAAATCCATTGGAAGGATTTGAGTGGGAGACAAATTTCAGGGTTTCAGAGATGGTTTGAAGCTGTTTATTCAAATGTTGCTTTTGGATGGTTCGGGGTCAAACTAATGAAAAAGTCACATTCCATTTTGGTGTCCTTTTTTTAATTAGAGAAGTGGAAATCAGATTGTCATTCAAAATTACACAGCAATTAGAACCTGGATAGCTAAAAATGGATGGAAAAGTTGAATCCATTCTTTTTAACCATTTTTACCCTTCATTTTAAATTTTTTGTTTTACTAAATGTAGCTAAAGCTCTTTTCTGCTTGCCTTGTCGCTTCCAGTTGCAGAGGAATCTCTTCATATCACTGGAGTTTTTGGTTCTTTAAACCTAACACAAAATTGGTACTTTTTCTGTTTATTCATAATGTAAACATTCTAGTGGCCTTAATTTCTTCAAATGGTCTTTCCAGTCACATTTCCTGAGATGGATTTCCTATTAATCCCTATGTAAAAAAATATGTTTTTTTCCTCATTATATCTGAGATTTATATTCCTTTTCCGCCATTTTCCTTCATTTTACAATTCCAAATTTTCTCCGGTCACAGATGAGAAGCCATTTTCCCATCATTTCTCCACCAAGGTGTCTTGTAGGTAAAATTCTGGAAGATCCACCAGTTTGACCTTATTCTCCATTTTGGGAATGGTTTTCTTTTGATATTTTTTTTTCCCAGCATTATTTCCGATGTCACAAGCTGCCACTTGGTCTTTCCAATTTTTCTTTGGCACCCAGAGCCATGAATGTGAGAAGGGCAGTGGTATATATTGAATTAAAGAAATAAAAACTGATAGAAATCTCTCTTTTCCTGACAGGAAATATTTTCTTCTCTCAGAAGATGCTGCCATCTTTCTCTGAGAGGCTACAATTCAGAGGGTCCTTTCCACCTACTTTCATGCCCTCATCCCATTCCTCCCCATCCACAAACAAGCAGGCTTCTTTCCTGCCCTTTTGTGGAATCCTGATGTTGCGTGCAGATTCCTCCAGGGGGCACCCTCTGCCAGAGAAGGGAACACCAGGCACTTCACCACTGGAGGGCTAAGGTCATGGCTGGCTTTGCAACAGAGAAGGGGAGTGGCATCATTTGCTGCTCTAGGAAGCCCTCCTCCACATTCAATCCTGGGTCCCATACTCCCAGCAGCCCTCTCCATGCAGGGGGAAGCAGAGTTCCAGAGCAACAGCAGCAGAACAACCAGGGACCCCAGGAAGGCAGTGGGGATTCCAAGAAACCATTCCAAGTCATCAGTCTTAGTAACAGAACACAGAAACCTGCAATTCAAATAGAATTAGAAAACCATGAAAGAAACCAGTGAAATGATTGGAAACCAAAAAACTCATCTTCCTTTGAGGTTCCGATGCAACATTTTCTTGCCCGACAAAAAGAAATAGAGAAAAAATATACTGTAAAACGGTTGAAAGACAAATTAGATATAAATGAACGCTGTTGTATTCAAAGCAAAAGAGATTATATATGCACAATCAATGGGAAACATTACAATTCAATTTTCACTGTTTCTTGTGAAAACACATCCCTTACATCTAATAAAATAATCCAGAAAAAAGAGAAACCTTATAAATGTTTTGAATGTGGAAAATGTTTCAGAAGAAGCACTCAACTTACTCGCCATAAAAGGATCCACACCGGGGAAAAGCCATGTATGTGCACTGAGTGTGGAAAGACCTTTACTCAGAAGGGTAGTCTAAATTCACATACGTGGATCCATGCAGTGGAGAAGCCACATAAATGCAAAGACTATGGAAAGACCTTTATTCACAGCAGTGACCTTACTTGCCATAAAAGATTCCACACAGGAGAGAGATCAAATAAATGTGAGGAATGTGGACAGAGCTTTACTTGTAGAAGTCAACTTACTTACCACAACAGGACCCACACAGGGGAGAAGCCATATAAATGCATGGAATGTGGAAGGTCCTTTTCTCAGAGCAGGTCCCTTACTTCCCATAAAAGGATGCACACAGGGGAGAAGCCATGTAAATGCATGGATTGTGGAAAGAGCTTCATTGACAATTCAGCCCTTAGAAAACATAGATGTATCCACACAGGGATGAAGCCATATGCATACATGGAGTCTGGAAAGAGCTTTTGTGAAAACTGATCCCTTACAAAACATAAAAGGATCCATACAGGGATAAAGCCATATAAATGCAGTGTGTGTGGAAAAGCCTTTACTCATAGCAGTCAAGTTAGTTCTCATAACTGGATCCATAGAGGAGGGAAACCATATAAATGTGTGGAATGTGGAAAGGATTTGACTAATCCCGGTCTTCTTAATTCACATAAAGGAGTCCACGCAAGGGAAAAGCCATATAAATGCATGGTGTGTGGGAAGAACAGTAATTATTGTTGCTTTACATTTCATAAAAGGATCCATCCATACCAATAAAGGAGAATATTTGTAACTCTGGGTTGAAATGAGGGGGTCCTTTATGCTCTCTGTTTGGTTATTTTCTTACAGTTGTTTCATTACTCCAAACTAGCTAATATCATTAGTACAAGTGTCACTGATGACTAGCACTGATGATATTAGCTAGGTTGGGTAATGAAAAATCTGTAAATCTACATAGTGATTTACATAGTAAATCTACATAGTGGATACAAGTAATTATACAGAACTGCTTGAGTTGTGAAGACACCAAAATATTCTAACTTGTATTCACTATGTAGAATGAGACTTAAATCAACCAGTATGAATGCAGGAGCATGGAAACTTTCTGTCAAAGTATTCTGATTATGTGAGAATCATCACATAAGCTATCAATACAGAGAGGGTAAAAAATGCTTCAGGATGAAAATTTCATCTAGTAAAAAAAAGCCAAAATGACAAGAAGCCCCCAAATTGCATGTACAAAAGAATTCCTTTAAGCATTGGGGACATATTTTGACTTTCTATGGTGTGACAAGGGCTAGGAAAACATTTAGTCTTAAATGAGTTAGATGACGGAATAGAAGGGGACCTCAACAAATTTGAGGATGACACTAAACTGGGAAGAATAGCCAACACCCCAGAAGATACGCTCAAGATTCAAATGGATCTCGACAGAGCTGAATACTAGGCCCTATCTAACAAAATGAAATTCAGTGGAGAGAAAAATAAGTGCTCAAGAAAAAACAAATGTGTATGTACAGATTAGGTGAAACCTTGCTCAATAGCAGTAACTGTGAGAGGGATTTTGAAGTCCCAGTAAACAATCACTTATATTTTTTGGCCAGCAGCCAAAAAAGCCATGCAATCCTAGGTTGCATTAACAGGGATAGAATCAATATTGGGTGAACTATTAGTACCATTTTATAAAGCCTTAGTAAAACCACAGTTAGAATATTGCATCCAGTTTTGGTCACTATATTATAAAAAAGATGTTGAGACTCTGGAAAGAGCACTGAAAAGAGCATCGGGATGATTAAGGGATTGGAGGCTAAAACATGAAGAACAGTTGGAGGAATTGAGTATATCTAATGTAGTGAAAAGAAGGACTGGGGCGACATGATAGAAGTATTCCAATATTTGATGGGCTGCCACAAAAAAGAGTGGCCCAACCTATTTCTCAAAGCATCAGAAGATAACACAAGAAACAATGGATGGAATCTTATCAAGAAGAGAGCCATCCTAGAACTAAACAATTTCCTGAAAGTGAGAACAATTAACCAGTAGAACAGCTTGCCTTCAGAAATTGTGAGTGCTTCATCACTGCATAAGTCATAAGTCACTTGCTATTGTAACTTCAAACCATCACTAAATAAATTGTTGTAAGTCAAGGACTACTGTAGAGGGAACCTGGACAAGGAAAGAAATGGGCTGAAAATTCCTTTGAAATAGCTTTTTAACCACATTTCCGCCACTTTTTCAATTCTTTGATTTCCTAATTGTAGCCATATTTCTTTTCTTGCAAGGAATCTCTTCAGGGTGATAGAATTTTTAGCTCTTTTGACTAAACATTTTCTCTCTTTTTTATTCATCATCTAAAGGTATTCCAATTGCCTTAAAATCTCCAAAGATCTTGAGCTTTCTAGTTTCCTGAGGTGAATTCCCTATTCAACCCCCATGTAAAACAGATTTTATTTTGTTTCATCCCTCATAGTGTTTGAGTTCTACATTCCTTTTTCAGTATTTGCTTTCCTTCATTTTTAAAATTCTATCTTTTGTCCTGGCGAGACGCCATTTTCCCTTCTTCATTTCTCCATCAAGGAGCCTTGTTGTGAGGTAAAATTTCTAGAACATCCGCCAGTTTCAGCTTTTTCTTCAATTTGGAGCTGGTTTTCTTTTTCTTCAGGATTAATTTCTTTGTCACAAGCTGTGACTCGGTGTTTCCAATGATTCTTAGGCGCTCAAAGCTAACAATTTGAGCGGGGCATCTGTATATATTGAATTAAAGAAGTAAAAATCTCCATTTTCTTGACTGCAGCTTCCCTGCCTGTGTCTCCTCCAGCCCCATCTTCCTCCTCTTTCAGGCTAGAGTTTGAAAGACCCCTAAGACACAAGTTGTGTTTTCAACAGAGGCTCCTGGTCCTCGTCTTCTGACCGCCCTGCCGTTTCTGACAGGATTTGGACCTTTTTGAGACCGCCTCCAATCTCTGCGGAGCCTTCAGAGCGGCTGTTCTTGAAGGAAGCGAGATCGGATCCTCCAGAGTGGGTTTTTTTTTCCATCTCCACAGACCGTTCCCGGACAGGAAGGAGAGGAAGATGGAGAAAGTGGCACCTCTGGAGACGTCGAAGCTTTTCTCGGGCAGAGAACCATTGAGAGGGGCCTTTCTCCTACTCCCAGGCCCATCACCCACGCCCTCGCCATCCCCTCAGACGGTCTCCTCCTTCTCGCCCTTTCTGGGAATCCTGGCACTTTGCGCATATTCCTCCAGGGGGCTCCCTCCCTCTGCCAAGAGAATGGAACACCGGGCGATTACATCACCTGCCGCTCTAGGACGTCGCACTCGCTGCCCTTAACCCTCTGAGCTCCGCAGGAGGCGGAGAGTCTGGCGGGGGGGGGGATACAGACATGCCCCGGGTGAGGTGGGGGCTTTTCCCGTGCAAAGGCAGGTGGAGGAGGGAGAGACCCACGCCCGGCCCTCCTTCAACCCTGGATCCCATGCTCCCCAGGCGGAGGGAGAGAGTAGCGGGGAAGCCTCTCTAACTGCCTTCTTCCTGCCCCTGCTCAGGGGGACCTCGGCCCTGAGCTGGATGACCCGCTTGGGGTTCCGAGCAGGTTGTGTGCATTTGCCTGCGTGTCAGAGGGAGACTCGGCTCTCTAAAGGCCACCCTGAAGAAGGGAAATGGGGCATCCTCAACCAGGATCGTTTCCTGGCATTTGAGAATAGAAAGGGAAAATATACTCATTGGGTCTTGAGAGTCCTTGATGGACAGTCCCATGTTTTGCACCAGAAACACACAGACAGACAGAAAATTCATTTGCTGGAAGCCACTTCAATCCTACATCAGAAAAATATTTCTTTCCATGGGGATGAGTGTTGTTCAATGGTTAACTTCTCCGTTTTCTAATTCTTGGAATTTATTTTCTTTCTCATCTCAGATGCACAAAGTGAAAGTGGAAGTCATCCAACATTATCTCTTGGGCAAAGAGGGCTGAATAACCTTCTTCGGTCAGACCTGCAGCTGCAGGAAGGGTCCTATGAATGAAAAGGCATTTGGAGATCCACAAGATTCTTTGGACCTATTTGGAGTTGCGTTACAAAATAGAGATAGAATGGAGACGCAACCCTTAGCAAATCAAGGGACTAGAAAAGGCCTTTCTTCTGCTGTTCAGCCTGGGAGTTGTTGGGAAATGTGGGCAGGAGCTGGGCAGAAGATCCTAGAGGAGGAAACCATCCTCCGTTCAGAAGTTCAGTCCTGGAACTTCATCCAATACCAGGAGACTGAGGGTCCTCGGGGACTTTGCAGTCGTCTCCATGATTTTTGTAGGCGATGGCTGAGACCGGAAAAGTACACCAAAGACCAGATACTGGACCTAGTGGTTCTGGAGCAGTTCCTGACCCTTCTGCCCTTGCAGATGGAGAGCTGGATGCGGGAGTGTGGAGTAGAGACCAGCTCCCAGGCAGTGGCCCTGGCAGAAGGCTTCCTCCTGAGCCAGGCAGAGGAGCAGAAGGAGCAGGTCGAGTTGCAGGTGAGAGACCTTTGACTTTGGAGCCCAGAAGGGGTTTGAAGCAGGGATGAAATGTAAACTTTGTTACTACCTGTTCTGTGGGCATGGCTTGGTGGGGGGGTAATGTGACTGGGTGGGTGTGGCCAACTTTTTTTTAAAAAAACTTTTCAAAGCATTTTTTCTAATGCTTTGAACAGCCTCTGCCGATCAGGCAACTCAGCTGGGATCATCAGAGAGGCTTTTCAAAGCATTTTTTTAAACCACCTCTTCGGCCAAGAGGTTGCAGAAAAAAAATGCTTTGAAAAGCCTCTGATGATCCCAGCTGAGCCACACGATCATCAGAGGCTTTTTTTTTTTTTACTTTTAAAAGCATTTTTTCATATGACGAGGTTGTAGAGAAAAATGCTTTTAAAAGTAAAAAAAAAGCCTCTGATGATCATGCGGCTCAGCTGGGCATGGTGGGGGGGCAGGGATTTTTGCTACCGGTTCTCTGAACTACTCACCACCATCGCTACTGGATCAGGCGATCTGGTCCGAACCGGGAGCATTTCACCCCTGGTTTGAAGGGAATAAAGAATGTGCTGGATTTCTTCACCCTTCTCTACCAGGGTCCTCTACCTTTCATAATATGTGAAGATGTCTTACTAATTCATGTAGGATGGTCTTCCATTATTCCTTCTATAAGATAGATTTGAGACAACTGTGGTTTTCTTACCCACTTTAAGTGACAGACACTGGGAAGGCTTCAGAAAACAAGAATCCACTTCATGTTGTATGTTCATTAATTCTTCTTTTCTTATTCCTCCTCTTTCAAGTCCTTCATTATGGGGATCAGAGATCCTGAAGAAAGAAGGACTCTATCAAATCATCCTCAGGAGCTTTTTTTCAGGAGGATCCCTCAGGAAGATCCAAGTCAGGACACCTCAGGAGGTAATTGAAGGTCCTCCGATTCCCCAGAGAGATCCCAGCTGTCTCATCTTCTCTGTGTATTCTTCCTTTTCTCTTAATTATGTATTTTAAAATTCTGTATCCCTTACAGGAAAACAAAGGATGGCGTTTTCTGGCCTTTATGGTGGAGCTGAAACAGAGGTTGAATCTCCAAATCAAGTAAGAAAGAGAAAAATATGTATATATATCTTATTTTCTTACTTTTCATAGGTTTTATGTGTGTTTTTCTTTTAGCCAGATTTTTCCTATGTAACCAAGATTTTTCTGCAGCCCTAGCTCAGTGGAGTCACATCCACTCGATTCTGGGCTTTTTTTTTTTCTTTTGGCAGCCAGCAGGCCCTATGCTGCCTAGTGAGAGACTTATATAGATCTATTTCTGGCTCATTAGCCATCATCAGTAAGCCACACCCACATCTCATGTATCCTCCCTGTAAAGGTACAATATCTATTTTCTTACTTTTCGTAGGTTTATGTGTGTTTCTTTTAGCCAGGTTTTTCCTACGTAACTAAGGTTTTTCTGCAGCCCTAGCTCAGTGGAATCACTATATATATATACACATACATACATACATACATATTAGATTTATATTCTCCCTTTCCTTCAGCAAGTAAAGCTAATGTACAGAGCAGTCTTTTATTCCATTTCTTCCCCTTGGTTGAGCTGTGTTATTTTCATGTTCCTGAGCAACATAGAAAAAATCAGGGGTTTCTTGTTAGGAAATTTTTTTTTTAAGACCAATACTTAACTCCTAGTTACCCTCTCACTTTTTCAGTAACTGTTTTCTTACAGAATCGTTCAAAGAAAACCACACTCTTTGTAATTTTTTTTATTTGTAATTGTGAAAGGCTTGTGAAATATAAATATTCACTTTTTTTTTTTTAATTTGATTTATATGCCGCCCTTCTCCGGAGACTCAGGGCGGCTTACAATGCGTTAAGCAATAGCCTTCATACTTTTGTATATTTATACAAAGTCAGCTTATTGCTCCCACAATCTGGGTCCTCATTTCACCTACCTTAGAAAGGATGGAAGGCTGAGTCAACCTTGAGCCTTGGAGAGATTCGAACCAGCAGTAAATTGCAGGCAGTTGTGTTAATAACAGGGTGCGTAGACCACTGTACTATCAAGGCTTTTGCATGTTTCCAACTTTTTTTAAAAAAAAACGTATTTATAACCAGTGATTAAAAAATAAGGGCATCGAATTAAAAGATAAGGCACAGTATTAAAACACAATGAAGTTGGCCAGATGGAGAAGTCTCTAAGTAAAAAAATAACAGAATAACAGAGCTGGAAGAAATTCTTCTAGTTGAACCTTCCCCCCCCACCCCCACCCCAAGGAGGAGATCCTATACCATTTCAAACAAATGGCTGTCCAATCCTTTCTTAAAAGCCTCCAATGATGGAGCATTTACAACTTATGGAGGCAAGTTGTTCCACTGATTAATTGTTCTAACTGTCAGGAAATTTCTCCTTAGTTCTAGGTTGCTTCTTTCCTTGAATAGTTTCCATCCATTGCTTCTTGTCCTGCCCTCAGGTGCTTTGGAGAATAGCTTGACTCCCTCTTCTTTGTGACAGCCCCTGAGACATTGAAACACTGCTATCATGTCACTCCTAGTCCTTCTTTTCATTAAACTAGACACACCCAATTCCAGAAATCATTCTTTATATGTTTTAGCCTCCAGTCCCCTAATCATCTTTGTTGCTCTTCTCTGCACTCTTTTTAGAGTCTCAACATTTTGTTTACACCATGGCGATCAAAACTGGATGCAGCATTCCAAGTGTGGCCTTATCAAGGCATGATAAAGTGGTATTAACATTTCACGTGATCTCAATTCTATCCCTCTGCTAATGCAGCCTAGAACTGTTTGCTTTTTTGGCAACTCTGTTGGCTTTTTTGGCACCTAGTCAAGATACTTTTGGCTTGCAAAGTAATTTCTAATCCTCTGATTTGTGCCTGGATATTATAACCAAAGAAAGCAGCTTTGCAAAGCCTAAGAAATGTCATTCCCAGGAGATTTCTCTCCCCCCCCACACCCCGAGTTCAGCCAATGGCTTGTACTACTTGCAATTGGTTTCTTATATTCTGGGTAGAAGCAGAAACAGTATTTCTCTAGATATTGATGGCATCCACCCAAATCCCTAGCTGTCTCTCCCAGCACTTTTGAGAATGGACAGGATTATTCCTTTTGGGTCACCATAAGCTTTTTGCTGGAATGCTAGAAAGAATCTCCTCCCCCAATTTTCTTCTGCATAGACAGGAAGTATTGGAGTCAGTTGCTGAGAGTCTTTTGATGATGGATGGAAGGAGGAAGGAAGGGAGGGAGGGAGGGAAAGAGATCGGGAGGGAGGTGGGCAGACAGACATACCGTATTTTTCGGAGTATAAGACACACTTTTTCCCCCCTAAAAGAGGGTGAAAATGTGGGTGCGTCTTATACACCAAATGTAGCCCCACCCACCCCTACCCTTTGGCCTCTACCTCCCAGCAATTTGCCGCCTTGCAGCAAACAGCAAACAGCCTCTTTCAGTTTCATTTTCAGCACAGCCTGATTAGCACAAGCAGCTGATTGTCGGTTGGATTGGCCTCCCGACCATCAGCTATTGCCTATAGCCTATTGCCGCCTCTGTGCACCCCATTTTCTGCCCTGCCACCCAAAACGGGTGGAAAATGGGGCGCACGGAGGTGGCAATAGGCTATGACAATCCCTGCAGCCCAAACAACTGATGGTCGGGAGGCCAATCCAACCGACAATCAGCTGCTTGTGCTAATCAGGCTGTGCTGAAGCTGAAACGGGCTGTTTGCTGCTTGTTGCAAGGAGGCAAATTGCTGGGAGGCAGAGGCAGATTTTTTTTTCTTGTTCTAATCAGGATGTGCTGAAAATGAAACTGAAATAGGCTGTTTGCTGCAAGGAGGCAAATTGCTGAGAGGCAGAAGAAGAGGCAGATTTTTTTTCTTCTTGTTTTCCTCCCCCAAAAAGGTAGCTGCTTCTTATAGTCCAGAGTGTCTTATACTCCAAAAAATATGGTAGATCAAGCAATCAAAAAGAAAACTGAGATTCCTTTCACTGAATGGCATTGAAGTCCTTCTTACCCTCTGAAGTGAGATTCTCTCCCACCTTCCTGACTTTCATAAGAGGCTTAAGATCTGTCTCTGCCAGCAGTTTGGAGTCCCAGTGGGGGAGTTTCATACTGGAGATGGTTGACTAATTAAAAGTTAAACCCTATTCCCCGCCCTTCATGTATTGGCTCCCTCCTTCTCCTCTTGTGTTAGATATAAAATGACAAAGGAGATAAGATAAAATCATTAACATTTTTAAATGTTTTTGAATCTTTTTATAGCAATAGCAGTAATAGCACTTAGACCTATATATTGCTTCACAGCCCTCTCTAAGGAGTTTACAGAGTCAGCATATTGCCCCCAACAATCTGAGGTCCTCATTTTACTGACCTCAGACGGATGGAAGGCTGAGTCAATCTTGAGCCAGTGAATCGAACTGCTCGCAGTCGGCAGCATTATCCTTGCAATACTGCATTTATTTATGCTGTATTTTTCCTGTAAGCTGCCCTGAGTTGTTTGACACAAGATGGGCGGCAAATAAATTCCATAATAAGTAAATAAAGCCCTGCAGAATCAATATTTGTTTAATTAAAGGTTTTGGTTCTGTCCATTTTCTCACCTGAAGTTTGGAATACACCCAAACAAACATTTAACTTAATTCATATCTTTGCTTGGGATTATTTAGGAAATATTGTGCGAATTCGGCTGGACCTGTTTTCTTCTTTTCATTGTTCAGGAACACCTTGTATCCTTTGAGGAGGTGGCTGTGTATTTCTCCGAAGAGGAGTGGTCTCAGCTGGATGCTGCCCAAAAAGCACTGCATTGGGAAGTCATGCTGGAAAATCATAGGAACGTGGCCTCTTTGGGTAAGAGTTTGCTACTCTCCAATCAGAGAATTTGGGAAGACATTCTATAGGTAAACACCATCAGAATTCTTCATTAAAAATCTCCATGCAGATGTTATCTCCTGGCCTGGGAGGGAAAAGATTTGGCCTTCTCCTGCTCTGAAGAAGAAAAGTGGCCAATGGATCTCTGCTTTGATGCATCTGCTGATTTCCCCCCCCCAAATTTCTATTTCAATATACCAGTGAGAAATAAACTGCTTGCTATGATGAGATGCTGAACTCCATCACATTTCAGCTTTTTTGGCTTAGATGCTTCTGTATCTGTGCTATGAAAGACTGTCATTTCTTCATCTGACATTTGTACTGTTTCATTTCTATTCTGAGCCTTGGGCTTAAAGGTGAAATGGTTCCATTTTCCCATTACAGACATGTTATTTGGGTGCTAATACAAGAGCTCTACATGTTTTTCTCTGCAACTATGTGATTTTTGGCAAGAGAAAAATAGAATAACACAGGGAACATGTTTTGGGTAGGAAGAAAAGGACCTTCGACAGATTTATTGCTCAGTCTGTGCTGGAATTAACCCCCTCCAGTAAATGTTAGGTTTTCTCCTGATACCTCCATGGATGATTCCCCTGATTTTTCCTTAACTAAGAGTAGATGACATTTGAACTTTTAAAATATTGACACAGAGCAAAATTTCAGAAGGAATTTTTTATGAGTTCCTACAGATCGATCTCTTTCCCTAACCTTGCTATCATTTTCATTTCTCTTTTCTTCTGAAGGTAATAACGGGCAGGAGAATAAAGATTCCTGTGAACTTTTTCAAGTGATCAGTGCTGGAGACAGAACGTTTCCAATTCAAATGAAAAAAGAAAGACATGAGAGAAACCAGTCAAATGATTGGAATCAAGAAAGCACATCTTCCATTGATGTCCCCATACAAGCCTTTGTTGCCCAACAAGGAAAAATAAAGAAAAGCTACATTGGGAAAAGTGTGAAGCTAATTCAAGATAAATTTGATGTAAATCAACATTATCCAACCCAAACCAAAGGAGATCATGTATCCAGAGACCTTGGAAAAAACGACAATTGGACTTTCACTTTTTCTTATTTAAATGGGTCCCTTACATCTCATAAAAACACCCACAAAGAAGAGAAACCATACAAATGCATGGAGTGTGGAAAGGCATTCGGTCAACACAGAAATCTTACTATCCATAAAAGGATCCACACAGGGAAGAAGCCATATAAATGCATGGAGTGTGGAAAGAGCTTCTGTGAAAACACATCCTTTATGAGACATAAAAGAATTCATACAGGGGAAAAGCCATACAAATGTCTGGAATGTGGAAAGGACTTTACCAATAACAGTCAACTTACTTCCCATAAAAGGATTCACACAGGAGAGAAACCACATACATGCAAGGAGTGTGGAAAGAGCTTCAGACATATTGTTTCCCTTACTTACCATAATAGGATCCATACAGGAGAGAAACCATATAAATGCGTGGAATGTGGAAAGAGTTTTGCTAATAGCAGTCATCTTAGTTCTCATAAAAGGGTCCACACAGGGAAGAAACAATGTAAATGTACGGAGTGTGGAAATAGTTTCAGTGACAGCTGTTCCCTTACATCTCATAAAAGGATCCATACAGGAGAGAAGCCATATAAATGCCTGGAGTGTGGGAAGACCTTTCCTCATAGCAGTCAACTTATTCCTCATAAAAGGACCCACACAGGAGTGAAGCCATATAAATGCAAGGAGTGTGATAAGACCTTTACTCATAGCAGTCAACTTATTTCGCATAAAAGGACCCACACGGGAGAGAGGCCGTATAAGTGCAAAGAATGTGGGAAGAGCTTCTGTGAAAATGCATCCCTTATGAAACATGAAAGGATCCATGCAGGAGAGAAGCCATATAAATGCATGGAGTGTGGAAAATCTTTTACTCAAAGCAGTCATCTTACTTCCCATAAAAGGATTCATACAGGGGAGAAGCCATACAAATGCAGAGAGTGTGGAAAGAGCTACAGCCACAGTGTTTCCCTTACTTACCACAACAGGATCCACGCAGGGGAGAAACCTTATAAATGTTTGGACTGTGGAAAGACTTTTACTCAGAGTAGTCAACTTACTTCCCATAAACGAATCCACACGGGGGAAAAGCCATATCAATGCATGGAATGTGGAAAGGGCTTGTATGACAATGTATCCCTTATGAGACATAAAAGGATCCACACAGGGGAGAAGCCATACAAATGTGGAAAATGTGGGAAGAGCTTCACCCAACAGGGTAACCTTAGTTCCCATGAAAGGATGCACAGAGGGGAGAAGCCGTATAAATGCAGAGAGTGTGGAAAAAGCTTCAGTCATAGTGGTTCCCTTACTTATCATAACAGGATCCATACAGGAGAGAAACCATATAAGTGCTTGGTGTGTGGAATGGGTTTTACTGTTAGCAGCCACCTTACTTCCCATAAAAGGATCCACACAGGGGAGAAACCATATAATTGCAGACAATGTGGAAAGAGCTTCAGTGAAAACGCATCCCTTATGAGACATAAAAGGATCCATACAGGGGAGAAGCCGTACAAATGTGTGGAGTGTGGAAAGAGCTTCAGTCATAGTGGTTCCCTTACTTCCCATAAAAGGATCCACACAGGGGAGAAGCCTTATAAATGTACGGAATGTGGAAAAAGTTTTACCACTAGTAGTGATCTTACTTCCCACAAAAGGATCCACACTGGAGAGAAGCCATATAAATGTGTAGAATGTGGAAAGAGTTTTACTAATAGTAGTCATCTTACTTCCCATAAAAGGATCCACACAGGGGAGAAGCCATATAAGTGCATGGAGTGTGGAAAGACCTTTACTACTAGCAGTGATCTTACTTCCCATAAAAGGATCCACACAGAAGAGAAACTATATAAAAGTGTGGCACATAGAAGGAGCTTCAGGAGGAATGCTCTAATTTGTAAAAGACAGATCCATTTGGGTGAGAACTCATGTAAATTCTACATTTAATTGTCTAAATGTATGCATTTCCTATTTACATATAGAGGTAGTCCTCATCTTATGACCATTCACTTAAAGACTGTTCAAAATTATTGTGCAGTCCCCAAAAGCTATTTATAACCCAGCCCATGTATTCCAGTGGTGGTACATACCCCTACAATCACATGATGTGATTTATGTTATATTTTGCATCACGATAAGCCAACTGCAACATTCATGGTAACATGGGGGAGATTACATATCCTGTGGTCACATGAGGTAATGAAAAACTATGATAGGAATCCATTGATTTGCTTAACAATTGTAATGTATGGGTCTTTGGTGCTCTCTGAACTTGGTTCAGTTGGTTATATGTCCCCGCCAGCTTGAAGCTGGAAGTAGCACTGCGCAGCTATGACTCCAAGCTGGCTGGCCATTTCGGATTCTTAAAAACCCTGCATTTGGCCAGGAGACAGTTTTGGTGGCCCAAAATGAAGGCTGATATAGAGGACTATGTGAAAAGCTGTGCCACCTGTGCAGCCATGAAAATGAGACCAAGGAAGCCTGGATTCCTCCAACAAGTGGCAATCCCCAGCAGACCTTGGGAAGAAATCGCAATGGATTTTATAGTTGAGCTTCCAGGAAGCGGGAGAAATACAGTAATCTGGACAGTAATCAACCTGTTTTCAAAACAAGCCCACTTCACCACTTGTTCAGGATTACCATCCGCTAAAAAAACAGGCAAAGATGTTCATCAAACAGATCTATCTACTACACAGAATACTGCGACAAGTCATCTCGGATCGAGAGGTCCAATTCACTGCAAATTTTTGGAGAGAGTTCCTGAAATTGGTCGGGTCCACACAAGTACATCTGAGTACAAACGGAGCGGCAGAACAAGCGAACGCAATGGTGGAGCAATATATCAGATGCTTGTGGATTATCAGCAGGAAAACTGGGCGGACCTACTACCTTTTGCTGAGATGGCTTATAACAACACTGTGCATAGCAGCATCGGATTGACCCCCTTCCAGGTCACCAGCAGCATGGACTTTATACCCATGCCTGAATTGCCCATAGAACCTCCTTCCTCTATGACCCTGAACGAGTGGATGGAGTCGCTGAGGAAAGGCTGGACGAATACCAAAAAGGCAATAGCGGAGGCAGCCAAGGCACACAAAAAGCAAGCAGATAAACACAGATCTCTTCAACCCCTTTTCCGTGTGGGAGATTGGGTTTATCTGTCAACCAAATACATAAAGCTGAGGCTACCTAGCAAGAAACTAGGACCTAAATTTTTAGGTCCATTCTCAATAGTGAAAATAATTAACCCAGTGACTGTTCATCTTAACCTCCAACGCAGCCTAAGGAAAATACATCCAGTTTTCCACTGTAGCTTGCTAAAGCCAGCCATAAGCTCTAGGTTAAGGCCACGGGTGAAATGCTCCCGGTTTGGACCGACTCGGGCAGGTAGGTAGCGATGATGGCGGGCAGTTCGGAGAACCAGTAGCAAAAATCCCTGCCCCCACCCCCCCGCCCAGCTGAGCCGCGCAATCATCAGAGCCTTTTTTTTCTTTTAAATGGCTCTGACGATCCAAGCACTGACGATCTCAGCTGAGTTGCCTGCTAATTGGTAAGAAAAATCCCTCCCCCTCCCCCCCTCAGCTTGCTTATCTTAGCTACTGGTCGCAACGCCTTGCTGTAGTCCCTGCAATCCATTGCATCAGCAAGCAACTGAATCTCCCTGCCTGCAATCAAGCAGGCAGGGAGTTGTGGACTTCAACTGCCAGAATTCCTCAGCCACCAAAGCAAAGCTGGCTGAGAAATTCTGGGAGTTGAAGTCTACAAGTCTTAAAGTTGCCAAGGTTGGAGACCCCTGTTCTATTGGGTAAGTTTTTTTCCCCTTTGGGAGCTTTAAAAAAATACTTAATTGGGTTTTTTTTTAGTTGTTCTTTTTTTAGACCTAGCCATTTAAAGTTTAGGAAGTTTTAAATTTAGCTGCTTTTATATAAAAATAAAAATAAAATAAAATAAAATAATATTTGTGCAGCTTTCTGAGATTTAGTATGTTTCTGTAGTGTTTCACTCTAACTACACAAACACACAAAATCTCACAAAGCTATATGTGGAATTTTGTGCGTGTAAAGTGTGAAAGTTGGTTTTTTGGGCTTTTTGTGGCTGTTTGAGGTTCCTGCTTGTTGCAGGGGCCATTTTGGGTCTAGCACAGCTGCTTTTATATTGTGGGTGAGCCAATTGTGTTGTGTTGTGTTTTTTAGGTTAAAAAGGGGCAAAGAAGTGACATTGACTAGGCCACGCCCACCTGACCAACAAGCCATGCCCTCCCAGTCACCTTACCACTAATTAAGCCACACCCACAGAACCGGTAGCAAAAATTTTTAGATTTCACCCCTGGTTAAGACCTCAAGTTCAGGCACACCCCTCCCCCCACCAAGCCTATTGTAGTGCAAAGGGAAACCCATTATGAAGTAAAAAAAGAAGACTCTAGACTGTATAGAGGTAGATTACAATATTTAGTACATTGGAAAGGTTACCTTTGTCTAAAGCTACCTGGATTAAGAGCTGGAATGTCAAAGCAGATAGGCTAGTAAAGCAATTCCATGATAAAATCCCTGATAAGCCAAAGGGCCCCCCTGGGGGTAGAGAGGTGGTTAGTAGACTGCATTATTAACCACTATGCTACTCTCATTTCAGGACACGCTTTTCTGACCAGGGGTGGTGGCCTGTCAGCCATCTTTTGTGTTAGCCTTCAGACCTGCCACGTTTACTACTGTGGGAAATTGGAAGGGGGGATTGTATGGAGCGTGGGTGATATATAGTCATAATATTCCTTTCTCGAGGTCAAGGACATCTTGCCCTGCACTGGAAGGCTGAAATTGGGAGGCATCTCCAGTTGGAACGATATTTAATTGGACCATGTGATGGACGTGTGAGTGTTGGGCAGGGGCTTGAACTTTTCTTTGGGTGGGGAAAACCTGGAAATTTTCAGATTTGGGTTTTCCCAGATGTGCCAATATGACATTTCTAATAAAATGTAACTTTGAGGAAACTCAAGCTTCAGAATTTTCTTTTGTTGGGGGTGTTACTTGGAACCCTGACACAATATTTAATATCAAGAGAACATATTTTTTCTTAAATTTACATTTATCTCCTTTTTCTTTCTATATTTCATCTCAAGTTAGGGATATTCAGGAGAATGAAAATGAAAATGATTCCATTGTGCTGGCATTGCAAACAATGAAGGAAGAAGGAAATTATTTGGAAATCTGTGGAGACCAAAATAAAATAATCTGACAGTAACAAAAACTACTCAGAAATGACAACAGGATCTCCCCCTAGAGAATATGAGGATAACCCCCCCCCCCAAATAATCCAATTTGCATCCATGCAATGGGTGAAAAAATCATATCTCAGTCAACCAGTATGAATGGAACATTTTTCAGTCAAAAGGCCTCTCATGATGTAGAGTATATGTATGTATGTATATATGTATGTATAAAAAACTTCAGGGTGAAGAATTTGTTTCACAAAAAGCCAGGATAATGGGGGGAAAAAACCCAAATGCATGGGCAAAATTTCAAGTATTAGAGCCCCCTTTCCCCTCTTCCCATGATATGACAAGGGTTAAAGAAAGCTAACAATTTAAATAAAATTAATTAAATATCAATGGTGCGTTTACTTGCTAGATATGTATAAAATTCTGCTTGTATTAAAAATTATTTAACAAAAATATTTGGAAGGATTTTGGAGAGGGGGAAATCTCAGATTTTCAAAGTTTCATGCTGGTTTGAAACTTAATTCAAAAATTGCTAATGGTTGATTCTGGGTTAAACTGAATAATGAATAATAAGTGGGTTAAAAACACAAAAAAGTTAACTCCTTTAAAAATTGATTTTTAACCACTAATTTTCCTTCATCTAAATTTTGTGTTTTGGTAATTGTAGCTAAACTTATTTTTCTCTTGCATAACACCCCTAATGCAGACAAATCTCTTAATTACAGTTTATATTTTTAACAATAATAAAATTTATATGTCCTGTTTTTGTTTATTAATGATCTAAAGCACGGATGTCAAGCTTGCCGCATCACATTGATGTCACTGAAGCATCACAACCTTTTCTGCCTTCACAGAACGGGTGGGCGTGGCCTGCGTGTGACACATCCAACCTGCAGGCCACCAGTTTTGACACCCCTGATCTAAAGGTATCCCCAGTTGTCTTAAATTCTCCAAGGGTCTTAAATTTCCTACTCATACTCCCTGACATTATTCCTTATTCAGTTCCTAAATAAAACATACTTTTTTTTTTTTACTCATGATATTTGAACTTTATATCCAATTTTCCCTTTTTTCCTTCCATCATTTGGAAATTCTACCTTTTCTCCGGTCACAGGCGTATCACCATTTACTCTCCCTTCATTTCCCCACCAAGGAGCCTTGTTTTGAGGTGAAATTTTTGAAACGTCGACCAGTTTAAACTTTTTCTCTATGTTGATCTTCAAAAAGATCATAATAATTCAAGATTATTCTTATTGTTAGGAGTTGCCACTCGGTGTATCCTATTATTCTTAGGCACCCAGACCTAAGAATTTGAGAAGGGCATCTGTATATACTGAAATAAATTTCATCCCTCACCATCCAATCAGAACTGAAGAAACTTCTTGGATGAGAAGTGAAACATCTTTTTAAAAAACCCAGAAAGTCCAGTTGTCTCTTGAAAAAACACCTTTGGGACAATCATGACCTGAATGACTGAGAATCTCCAGATACTGAAATATAAATCTCAATTTTCCTCACTGTGGCTTCCCTGCCTGTGTCCCATCTTCCTCCCCTTTGGGCAGGAATCCTCAACAACCGCAAGACAAAAGCTCTGTTTCCTAGAGATTCTCCTGGTCCTTCTCTTCTGACAGTAGGTCTGTTTCTGACAGGATTTTGACCCTTTTGAGGCCTCCTCCAATCTCTGCCCAGCCTTGAGGGTGGCTGTTCTTGAGGGAAATGAGTTCAAATCATCCAGAGAGATTTTTCTCCATCTCCACAGACGGTTCCTGGACAGGAAGAGATGGAGAAATTGCTGCCACTGGAAAACACAAAGTTTTTCTTGGGCAGGGAGGCATTGAGAGTGGCCTTTCCCTCTACTCCCATGACTATCGTCCTTGCCCTCTCCCTTCCTCTCAGACGCACTCCTCTTTCCCGCGCTTTCTTAAAATCCTGGCACTTCGCGCCAAATCCACAAGGGGGCGCGCTCGGACAAAGAGAAGGTAACGTCAGGCGGTTGCCCAATGGGCGAACGTCCAGGGAGACTTTCCAGAGGAGGTTGCGAAGGAAGTGACATCATAAACGCTTGACGTTCTAGGAAGCCGCACTCGCTCTCGTTAACCCCTGGGGCTCCGAAGGAGGCGGAGAGGCTGCGGGAGAGTCTGGCAGGGGGAGAGCCAGACGTGAGCCGGGTGAGTTGGGGGCTCTTCCCGGGCAAAGGGAGGCGGAGGAGGGAGAGACCCACGCCCGGCCCCCCCTCCGGCTTCCACCCCGGGTCCCATGCTCCCCAGCTGCCCTCTCCATAGAAACAACAGGCGGGGATGGAGCTCCGGAGCAGGTGCCTTGTCACCGGAGATTCCCCGGAAGGCGGCGGGGATCTGGGGTGGCTCTTCCCTTACCCTTGTCTAGAGAAGAGCCCAAGGGAGGGGAGGGGAGGGTCGGCCCATCAGGAGAGGAGAGAAGCCGGGCGAGGAGAAGGCAGGATTCGCACCAGGCTCCCTGTCTCCGGAGGGGGAGAGAAGCGGGACGGCCTCTCCAGCTGCCTCCTTCCCGGCCCTTCTCTGGGATGAGCCGCTTGGGACTCCTGGAAGGTTGGGTGAAGGTTGTTCAGTGGTTAAGTTCTACTTTCTAATTCTTGGCGTTTATTTTTCCTTCAATCTCAGATACAGAAACTCGAAGCCAGGCAAAAGTTTCTCTTGGGGGGAAAAAAAAGAGCGGAATCCCTTGCAGGGATCAGTCCTTCAGCCCCAGAAATGGTCCCGTGAAGGAAAAGGCATCTGGAGACCCACCAGAGTCCTTGGAGCCATTTGCAGTTGCTCTGCAGGACAGAGAAAGGATGGAGACACAACCTTTTGGAAAGGAGGGAAGCGGAAAAGGCCCTTCAGCTGCTCAGCCGGGGAAGTGGGGGAAGCTCTGGACAAGAACCAGGCAGAAGATCCTGGAGGAGGAAACCATCCTCCCTTCAGAAATTCAGCCCTGGAACTTCATCCAATATCAGGACACTGAGGGTCCCCGAGGCCTTTGCAGACGACTCCATGACTTTTGTAGGCGATGGCTGAGACCAGAAAAGCACACCAAAGCCCAGATGCTGGACCTGGTGGTTCTGGAGCAGCTCCTTGCTCTTCTGCCCGCAGAGATGGAGGGCTGGGTGCGGGAGTGTGGAGCAGAGACCAGCTCCCAGGCGGTGTCCCTGGCGGAAGGCTTCCTTCTGAGCCAGGTGGAGGAGAAGAAAGAGCAGGTCAAGTTGCAGGTGAGACATTTTAATCTAGGGAGCCCAGAAGGGAATAAAGAATATGTTCGAATATTTCACCCCACCTTCCCAAACTTCTCTGACATTCATAATATGTGGAGATGTCCCACAATTCTTGTAAGACATTGTTCCATTTTTTTCTCATGCAACCTCACTGATGGATGTTGAGTGCTTTGAGATTGTGTTCCAAATATAAGATTTCACTTTACTTCATGTGATGTACATTAATTCTGCTTATTTTTACTTCCTCCTATTTGAAGTGCTGCACTGTGGAGATTAGAGATCCTGAGCGAAAGACAAATCCATCAAATCCCCCTCAGGAGCTATTTTTCAGGAGGATCCCTGGGGAAGATCAAAGTCAGGACACTTCAGGAGGTAATCAAATATCCTCCGATTTCCCAGAGAGATCCCGTCTGTCTTACCTTCTTCTCTTCTGTAGTATACCTCCTCTTATTTTGTTGAATATGCATTTTGAAATTATTTATTCCTTGCAGAGAAACAAAGAATGAAGTTTTCTGTTTTTTACGACGGAGCTCAAACTGTGATTGAACTTCCAAATCAAGTAAGAAAGAGAAAAGTTATTAGATTTCTATTCTCCTTTCCTTCAGGAAGTGAAGTGGGTATGCAAAGTTGTCTCTCTTTCTATTTCTCTCCCTTGTTTAGACTGGGTAATTTTTGTGTTCCTGTGTGACATGGACAGCATAATAGCAGGTTCAAGTTGCTCTCAACCAGCATAGCTTCTTCTGTGGAGTATTATTGGATACAATGGTTTGTCATTTCTACCCTCAGATTCTGTTTAGGAAATGTTTTTTGAAGACCACTGGTTAACTAGTTCTGCTAGGTACTCTTCCAACTATGAATTCACAAGAAGTAATTTTTTAACAAGTCCTTCAACTAATAGGAATAAATGTATCAAGACTAATGAAAAATAACTAAATACTAGGACTCCAAGATCTCTGTTGCACTTTCTACTGTTGAGCCAGGTATCACCTATTCTATCCCTGTGGGTTTAGTTTTTATTTCCTAAATGTAGCACCTTCTATTTCTCACCATTGATTTTCATTTTGTTAGATGGGGCCCAATCTGTCGATACTTCTATATCTCGAGCTTATCTTCTGGAGTGTTGGTATTCCTGTCAATTTAGTCTTGTCTTCAAATCTGAGGAATTCCCCTTCTATCCTCTTGTCTAAATCATTGATTAAGATGAACAGATATTGCAATTCCTCCTGTTCTGTTCTTTTTTCCATGTTTAGGACAGTCTTGTGTCCTTCGAGGAGGTGGCTGTGTATTTCTCTGAGGAGGAGTGGTCTCAGCTGAATCCTGACCAAAAAGCGCTGCATTTGGAAGTCATGCTTGAAAATCATAGGAATGTGGTCTCTCTGGGTAAGTTTTCTAGTCCCCAATCAGAGGGTTCAAGAAGACAGATTATCGTTAGTTTTTTTTATTAAAAAATCACTAATCCAATATTTCCTGGGAGGGAGAAGGAAAGGATCTGGCCTTCTGGTACTCCAAGGAAGGAAAGAGTCAATGTTTCTTTGCTTAGCTTCTTTCTGTGCCATTTCTTATCTGTATTTTTCCATTTCTATTTGAATTTACGAGGCAGAAAAGAATGGGGTGTGCTTTTTTTTTGAGTAAAGTTTTTTTTAAAATTTATATATAAACATTTTGAATAGAGTGTATTTTCTGGGCATACATTTTACAAAAAGAAAAAAGAAAGGAAATAGTAACATATATACTGATAGCAATAGTAGTAGTACAACAGAATGATACTAACCATATTTATAATTGTTAGCTTATTTGTAATCCTATTGATTATATTAGCATACTTACAGTTATAAACAATGTTCATGCTTAATTTATACAGAACAATGCTCTTTCTTCATCTAATTTGTACCTCTTATCTCTAACTATTGATAAAACCTATTCCATATTAAGTGGGGTGTGCTTTTATCTGTCCCCTGGAGGTCATGTGAGAGGGATGTGTTGTCATTTGTCCTCTGAAACCTCCCAAAATTGTTACTCCCAAAACCTCTTCAAATTGTCATTTGTCAGAACAGAATTTTCATGGTCAGGCCATAGAAGAGCATTCTCCTAATTCAAGGACAAAGGCCTTGTGCAGTGTCACTCAGTGTATCCTAGGGTATAGGTAATCCCCTAATTACGACAATTCACTTAGCGATCATTCAAAATTATGATTTTCCTCCCTCAATACTTTAGACCCAGTCCTAAAATTACGAATGTCGCATCACTACGGCTGTTCACACTTACGAATGACAGCAGAGGTGCTGCAACATTCGCCCTACCTATTCTCCCACCCCACCCTGCCAAGACATACCCTGTGATGATGTAGCGAGCCATCGGTTCCTTTGCCTGCTTTGGTACATTTGCAGAAAACATAGGGCTAAAGTAGTGAGAAATCTTGCACTACTGATCTCGTGTGACCTTACACTATAGTACGTAAGACCTATGTTCTCTGCTAACTGAGGGCTGCGCAAGATCTGGGGCCAAAGGATTCTTTTTTTTCAAAGACTTTTGCCCCGATCACCACCAGATGGATTCGTAACTGACTAACCAACCACACGCAACGTGTAGCCCTCAATGGAACTCATCTACATTGAGGGAAGTATGCAGTGGGGTAGCCCAAGGCTCTGTTTTAGGCCCAGTACTCTTCAACATCTTCATCAATGATTTGGGCGAGGGGATAGATAGGGAATTCATCAAATTTGCAGATGACACCAAACTAGCAGGAATAGCCAACACTCTGGAAAATAGGCTTAGGATACAGAAGGATCTTGACAGACTTGAACATTGGGCACTATCTAACAAAATGAAATTCAATGGTGAAAAAAGTAAGGTTCTACATTTAGGCAAGAAAAACAAAACGCACAGGTACTGTATATGTGGTACCTGGCTCAATAGTGGTAACTGTGAGAGGGATCTTGGAGTGCTAGTGGACAACCATTTAAATATGAGCCAGCAGTGTGCTGCAGCTGCCAAAAAAAGCCAACACAGTTCTAGGCTACATAAACAGAAGAATAGAATCAAGATCACTTGAAGTGTTAAGACCACTTTATAATGCTTTGGTTAGGCCACACTTGTAATACTGCATCCAGTTTTGGTCTCCACAATGTAAAAAAAGATGTTGAGACTCTAGAAAGAGCGCAGAGAAGAGCAACCAAGAGGATTAGAGGACTGGAGGCTAAAACATATAAAGAACGGTTGCTGGAACAGGTATGTCTAGTTTGACGAAAAGAAGGAGTAGGGATGACATGATAACAGTGTTCCAATATTTCAGAGGCTGCCACCAAGAAGAAGTGGGAGTCTAGTTATTCTCCAAAGCACATGAGGGTAGGAGAAGAAGCAATGGGTAGAAACTAATCAAGGAGAAAAGAATCACTCAAAGAGATGGCTGCTTTCGGTGTATGGTTGGATGGTTCTGTGTTTGTTTTGGATGTTTGAAGTTTTTATGAAGAGATTGGATAACCATTTGTCTGAAATGGTATAGGGTTTCCTACCTAAGCATGGGCTTGGAATAGAAGACCTCCAAGGTCCCTTCCAACTCTTATTCTATTCTATTCTATCTTGTGCAGTCCTCAGTTTGTAGAAAACTCAGGCCTAAAGTACTATAGCATGGGATCAATAGAATGAGAGCTTGCACTACTGAACCTATGTGATCTGGCACTAAAGTAGTTTAGGCCTCTGTTCTCTGCTAACTAAGGCTTGTACCAGATCTGGCCAAAGAGCCCTTGCAAACCAATGAGACTTTTGAGGAGTGGAATAGCCTTTTTTGAGCCTCCCAACCTTTCCAGTCTCGGCACAAAGAGCATTTACAAGACAATAGGAGGCTTCAAGCAAAGGATTATGCCCCAAATCTCATCACTGGGATCAAGGAATGGGCCAAGCGGGAGTCTTGCCTGCCAGACAGACGCCATGGAGCAGCTGCTCCAAGCTACACAGGGGAAGAAAGCTTGTTTCAAAATTGTTTCAGTTCTCACAGGTCTCTGCTGAAATTAACCCACCCCAATAAATCTTAAGTTTTTTCCTAATTCCTTCTTGGGTGGTTCCCCTTATTATTCCTTAATTGAAAACTGACTTTGAGTGAGATCGGGCTTGATAAATCGACACTTAGAGTTTGAAAATTAATGAGTAGTTACGATTGGCCTTTCCTCTCCCCTCCCTCAGGCTTGTCTCACAGATGCCTCTCCTCTCCCCTTCTCTCCCTCAGTTATTTTCAAGTTGGGAGGGGGAATAGAATATCTAATTAGCATCAAAGTGTGTTATCATAATATAGAAAATACTAATGCTCTGATGGTCATTTCAAAAAATCTTTTCTTAATGAGCACCTAGACGGCAACAGGAGCATACAAGGAAAATTTCAAGTTTGTAGGCATTACGGTTCTAGAGATTTCATGATTAATGCGTGAGTGGTTTTTGCTTTTATATATATATATATATATATATATAGATTGTAAAGAAAGATATTTTCTAGATATTTTCAAAACTTTCGTGACCCATGAATATAGAAATTATCTTGTCTATATCAAACCACTGTAAGAATACAGAATACAACATAATGGAATTTTGGAAAAATTCAGAAGAATATTCATTGACTTTCTACATTTTGATCTTTTTCTCTAACCGTGTTATCATTTTCATTTCTCTTTTCCTTTGAAGGTAATAGTGGGCAGGAGAATCAAGATTCCTATGGACTGTTCCAAGTGATCAATGCTAAAGATGAAATGGAGAACTTTGGAATTCGAATGGAATTCGAAAGCCATGAGAGAAACCAGTCAAATAATTGGAATCAGGAAAGCTCATCTCCCACTGATGCTCCGATGCAAGACTTTCTTGCCCAACAAGAGAAAATAAGGAAAAAATGTATTGGGGAAAGTGTGAAGCTAATCAAAGATAAATTACAAGTAAACGAACACCATTTAACACAAAACAAAGGAAAAGATGCTATAAGACACAACAGGCAAAATTACAATGGGACATTGATATTTTCCCTTGGAAATAACTTCCTTACATCTCAAAAAGTGATTCACACAAAAAAGGAGCCTTATAAATGTTTGGAATCCGGAAAATATTTTAGAACAAGCAGGAATCTTACATCCCATGAAAGGATTCACACTGTAGAGAAACAGTGTTTAGAAGCAGCTGTAGCCCATGCAGCCCAATCCCTCCAGGCAACGGGAGAGAAACCATATAAATGCATGGAGTGTGGAAAGACATTTGCGCAATGCAGTGCTCTTACTTCTCATAAGATGATCCACACAGGGGAAAAGCCATTTAAATGCATGGAATGTGGAAAGACCTTTGCTCAAAGAGGTAATCTGAAATCCCATAAGATGATCCACACAGGGGAGAAGCTGTATAAATGTATGGAGTGTGGAAAGACCTTTGCTCAACGTAGTTATCTTGCTTCTCATAAAAAGATCCACACAGGAGAGAAACCATATAAATGCATGGAGTGTGAAAAGACTTTTCCTCAAAGAGGTCATCTTATTTCCCATATGATGATACACACAGGTGAGAAGCCATATAAATGCATGGAGTGTGGAAAGACTTTTGCTCAAATAGGTAATCTTATTTCCCATAAGATGATCCACACAGGGGAGAAGCCGTATAAATGCATGGAGTGTGGAAAGACCTTTGCTCGAAGAAGTCATCTTATTTCCCATAAGATGATCCACACACAGGAGAAGCCGTACAAATGCATGGAGTGTGGAAAGACCTTTGCTCAACATAGTTATCTTGCTTCTCATAAAAAGACCCACATGGGGGAGAAACCATATAAATGCATGGAGTGTGGAAAGACATTTGCGAAACGCAGTGCTCTTACTTCTCATAAAATGATCCACACAGGGGAAAAGCCATTTAAATGCATGGAATGTGGAAAGACATTTGCTCAAAGAGGTAATCTGAAATCCCATAAAATGATCCACACAGGGGAGAAGCCATATAAATGCATGGAGTGTGGAAAGACCTTTGCTCAACGTAGTTATCTTGCTTCTCATAAAAAGATCCACACAGGGGAGAAACCATATAAATGCATGGAGTGTGAAAAGACTTTTCCTCAAAGAAGTCATCTTATTTCCCATAAGATGATCCACACGGGGGAGAAGCCGTACAAATGCATGGAATGTGGAAAGACCTTTGCTCAACGTAGTTATCTTGCTTCTCATAAAAAGATCCACACAGAGGAGAAGCCATATAAATGCATGGAGTGTGAAAAGACTTTTCCTCGAAGAGGTCATCTTATTTCCCATATGATGATACACACAGGTGAGAAGCCATATAAATGCATGGAGTGTGGAAAGACTTTTGCTCAAATAGGTAATCTTATTTCCCATAAAATGATCCACACAGGGGAGAAGCCGTATAAATGCATGGAGTGTGGAAAGACCTTTCCTCGAAGAAGTAATCTTATTTCCCATAAGATGATCCACACACGGGAGAAGCCGTACAAATGCATGGAGTGTGGAAAGACCTTTGGTCAACATAGTTATCTTGCTTCTCATAAAAAGACCCACACGGGGGAGAAACCATATAAATGCATGGAGTGTGAAAAGACTTTTCCTCGAAGAGGTCATCTTATTTCCCATATGATGATACACACAGGTGAGAAGCCATATAAATGCATGGAGTGTGGAAAGACTTTTGCTCAGAGAAGTAATCTTATTTCCCATAAGATGATCCACACAGGGGAGAAGCCGTACAAATGCATGGAGTGTGGAAAGGCCTTTGGTCAACATAGTTATCTTGCTTCTCATAAAAAGACCCACACGGGGGAGAAACCATATAAATGCATGGAGTGTGAAAAGACTTTTCCTCGAAGAGGTCATCTTATTTCCCATATGATGATACACACAGGGGAGAAGCCATATAAATGCATGGAGTGTGGAAAGACTTTTGCTCAAAGAAGTAATCTTATTTCCCATAAGATGATCCACACAGGGGAGAAGCCGTATAAATGCATGGAGTGTGGAAAGACCTTTGCTCAAAGAGGTAATCTTATTTCCCATAAAATGATCCACACTGGGGAGAAGCCATTTAAATGCATGGTGTGTGGAAAGACGTTTATTACGAGCAGTGCTCTTACTTCTCATAGCGGAATCCACACAGGAGAGAAACCATATAAATGCATGGAGTGTGGAAAGATGTATACTAAGAGCAGTTCTCTTACTTCTCATAGCAGAATCCACACAGGAGAGAAACCATATAAATGCATGGAGTGTGGAAAGACGTTTATTACGAGCAGTGCTCTTACGTCTCATAGCAGAATCCACACAGGAGAGAAACCATATAAATGCATGGAATGTGGAAAGACCTTTGCTCAGAATCATCATCTATCTTCTCATAAAAGGATCCACACTCAGGAGAAAGTTTGTAGCAATTCTACTTTAGAGTTACATACCAGTCCACAAAGCTTTATAGCAGCCTTTGAGCAGTTCACAAAGGCAGCATATTGTCCCCAGGAATCTGGGTCCTCATTTTACCGTCCTCAAAAGGATGAAAGGCTGACTCAACCATGAGCCGGTCAGATCAAACTCCCGGCTGTGGGCAATTAGCCCTGTAGTACTGCATTCTAACCTCTGACCCACCATGTCTATAGATTTTTATGTGTACATCTATTGTGCCTTTCTGATCCAATGAGACATGGTTGAATCCAATCAAGTGAAATTTAATGCAGAGAAATGTAAGATTTTACACCTGGGTGGTGTAAGGTTATTATTTTGTTCATCTGTATGGTTTTTTGGAACTGCGGTTACGCGTAATTGCAAACTTCAGCAAATCTCAGTGAGCAGTGTTCCCAGCATGTACAAGGACACAGGATGAAACATAACCTGTATAACCTGTAACATTTGCTGCTTTCATTGTTTCTGCATACGTGCATATTCACATGAAAACCAATGATGTAATTACTAACCAATTACTGTACCTTGGAGATTTGTTAACCAATAATGAAATAATACGTATAGTAGGTAAGAACTGAGAAACTAAGAAACTGAGCAGTCTGATGCTCGATAAAATTGCTGTTGATTCTGCTATCCGTGGATGTTTTTCTTTCACTCATCTTCAGCCTCCGGGAACAAATGTAACAGGTGGGAAAAACAGATTACAGGAAACGTGGCTCAAAAACAGTAACTGTGAGAGGAACCTTTGGAGTCCATATGGACGATTAAATATGAGTCACCTGTGTGCAGCAACAGCCAAAAAATCAAATATAATCTTTGGTTGTATAAATATTAGAGGCATAGAACCAAAATCAGATGAAGAACTGTTGCAAGATTTGGGTTCGGCTAGAGTCTAGAGAAAAGAAGAATTAGGAGTGGCATGATAGTTCCAGTACTTGAGAGGCTGCCACAAAGAGGAGGGGGTCAATTTATTTCCCAAAGCACCAGAGGGCAGGACAAGAAACAATGCATGTGAACTAATGGAGGGAAGCAACCTGTAATTAACAAGAATACTCCTTACAGCGAGTTCTGTAATCCTCAATCCTTGTGCATTTTTGCTAAGTAGGAGGTTTTAAAGCAAACAGGAGCATCAGTGGAGATTAAGGTTATCATTTGGCCTGAAAGTGATGTGTGCCTGCCAATATTTAAGTGGTGGAGATTCCCCAATCATTGCAAGAAACTCCCACTGATGAGTATATCCACTAGAGCAGAGTGGCAATCAGAAATGCATTACTCCTTAATCCCTTAGTAGTGTTTCAGTTTATCTTACTTTGCTTCATATTGTCAAAATCTGCGTTTTCATCCTGCTTCATATTATGTAATGCAAATAATAAATGAAAAACAAAATCATAAGGAGAACGGGGTTATAGTGATGCTGATGTCAGCGTTCCAAGGAATGCAGAACTCCGAGGCAGGCAGCTTCCTCAAAGAACAGATTATTGGATACTTTATATTGGCACAACTGATGGAAGCCGACTGAATTTTCCTAGTTTTCACCTAGTTAAAAGTAAGCTTTCCTTTCCCCCACAAGTCACTGGTCATCCTGTCCAGTCCATGTCCTGTCCAGTTTCCTGGTTACTTGCTCCTGCTCTAGCCAGCCACCTGTGAGAATGCCCTTGGTTCCCACAGGAAAACTTTATTGTTTTGGCTACAAAACCCCATCTAACTATTTCCCTCCTCCCACAGTTGGTCTGGCATCTCTGAAGCCTCCAAGATAGTTTCGGCTAGGTTCATTTCAGGGTTGACAGCTGAATTAGAAAATGCAACTCATGGGCTCTTTCTCCTAATTTTGTGATGATCTTACCCAAAATAGGGAACATTCTCGTGTTGCCCATCTGTGAACTCGCACAATTTTATCAATGCCTTTATAAAGTAAGGTCTGCAGAACCGGACACAGTATTCAAATTAGGAACCGATTAAAGCCTTATGTAGCAGGTTAGGACCTTTTCTTGATGGTGATACATCTGGTGAGGTATCCCAGAATTTTGTTTGCCTTCACAGCTGCCTGGACACACTCTTTACTCATTTTGCAGGTATCATTTTTTCAGTGCCATGGAAAGTTTGTTCACACAGTTGTGTGAAAAAAGTGCTGCTTGAACTCAAAATAGTTCTAGCGTTCTGGATGGAAATATGCATAGCTATGTGTCTCTTCCAACCTTTGTCCACACATGGAGCGTTGAAGCAAGTAGTTTTATTAAGGGAAAGCAGCAGTAGAGAAATATGGATGTATATTAAGTTCCCCTAGCTAGCCAGCCTAGTGGCCAACTCAGTCCTTGATTTACAATAATATATTTATTACGTAACCATTTGACATTACAATGGCATTGAATTAATGATGGTTCTGACTCCCTCCCTCCCTCCCTCTCTTCCTTTCTTCCTCCCTCCCTCCTGTCCTCCCTCCTTGCCTTCCTTGTCCCAAATTAGGGATACTCTAGAGAATCAGAATGAAAACCACTGTAATCACTGTGTAACATTACAAATGATCAATCAAAAGATCAAGACCTTTGAAAATCATTGGGGTCAAATTAACGTGAAATTAAGAATTGCTTTAGGAAACTACTTCAGTCCTTTTCGATGAAACACACAGAAATGTGAATGGGAACTTTCTCTGGGATATGAAGATACCAAAAATAATCTGCCAATAAAGGAGGAACTTTGTATCTCATGGTTGAAATGAGGGGTCCTTGGTGCTCTCTGAGCTTGATTGTTTTGTTGCAGACATTTCATTACCCAAACTAGGGAACATCATCAGTGCACCAATCAACCTCAGAGTGCACCAAGGGCCCCTCAATCCAACTTCTGTCTGCTGTGTCAAATTAAGATCTGAGTCAACCAGTATGAATGCAGAAGCAGGGAACCTTTTTCGGTTCAAGACCTGTTGTGATGGAGTAATGACAGGTGTCAATGTAGATTGTGTGCAAAAAGTTTCAGGTTGAACAATTGGTCTTTGAAACAAGGGGCCAGAATGAACAGAAGCTGAGAAAATGCATGGGCAAAATATATTTTTCTAGCATTATATTTTTCTTTTTATGGTGTGCCAGAGGCTAGATAAAAGGATAAAGGTAACTTAAAGAAAATTAATTAACGGTGTGTTTACTACTGTGTTTTCCTCAAAATAAGACCTACCTTAAAAATAAGCCTTAGCATGATTTTTCAAGGTGCTCGCAACTTAAGCCCTATCTGCAAAGTAAGCCCTACTTTGCATCATCATCAGTGGAGAGTAGGGGAGGGGCATGGACAGAACAGGAGGCAGTGACTACACCTGCAGGGGCCAACGGTGTTAAGAAGCACCTTTAGCCCATGTAGCCCAATCCCTCCAAGCAGTAAAAAGAGACAGAGTTGTGGGATGAATCACGCGATCCAAACCAACATCTGTCTTTGGATGTGGAGTGTGCAGTAGAACTGGAAGATGAGGTTGGATAGTGGGGTTGAGAGCACCGGGATCGGTGCAAGGCACTATCTCTACGCCACCACTTGTCTTGCCTCATGGCAACGACACCAGTTTGGAGGAGGCATGCAATCCAATCTGGTGGACACAGTGCGCAGCCGCTTGCCTACTCTGCCCTTTTGATTGCCTGCAGTTCTGATGGGGCAGGCGGCTGCATGGTGTGCAGTGGGCCGGATCACATGTCTCCATCAACCCTGCACCTCTGTCTTCATCCGTTGGTGGTGCCGCCGCCGCTGCAAGGTGTAGTCAAGCAGGGGTGGCACCACGCCATGGCCACTGCCCACTCGACCCCTGTCATCCAACCTGGTTCTCCAGCTTCACTGCACACACTCCGCAAGCAAAGACAGACGATGGAACAGCGGCTGGGAACAATGGGGCTTTTCATTCTTCACCTCAGAAGCAAGGGGAAATAGGAAGGAAAGGAGAGTGGTTGCGGATTTGAGAACCCGGTACGGAAGCAAGGGTCTGTTTCTTGCAGATTTGTCTTGGCACAGCGTCCCCTTGATGGCCCTTCCTCTTCCCCGCAGTTCCCAGGGAGCGAGAGGAGAGAGAGAGAGAGAGGAGGGGGGGAACAGTGCTATGTTTTGATTTGCATGCTGTGTCTCCTGAAAATTATCATGGAGAGGCGAGTGAACCTCTCATCATTAGCTGCCAGATGGAGGGCTAGGCTGTTCTGAACCAGAGGAGAAAGAGCGGGGTGAGAAGCTAAGGACAAGGGGTTTGCCTGCCTCTCCACGAGACCTCTTGGGAGACACATTGTGCAAATGTAAAAGCCTCTCCTTCCAGATTAGCAGTAGTGTCTGAATCAAAAAGCACCACGGGTCTGGGTGCCCTGTTTGTTTGTTGCCCTCTTTTCAGGAAGTGTTTCAACACCGGGTGCTATTCAGATCACATCCCCAATCACATCCTGGGTAATAGCAGCTGCACCTTCTCCCTAAACATGTCAGGATGTGATCTGAATAAAACATGGCTTGACCATCACTTCCTGACTCTCCGAAAGTGTGCTTGCAGTAGCTGCCTTAAATGTGCTTGCAGTGGCTGCTGTATACAGAGTGGCTGGTCCTGTGCCTCTGCCTCTGCCTGCTGCCAGTGCCACCCGCAAAAATCCCAGTTGCTGCAACCGAGCAGTGAGCATCCCAAAAACGAAAAGTGGCACTCACCTGCTCCCCTTGCACTGCAGAAGGTGGCGAAACGTAGAGAACAGCCACCCTCCCTTTGGGAAAGAGCAGGTCAAGCCAGGTCTTATTCTGATCACATGATAGCACATTTTGGAAGGAGGAAGATGCAGCTGCTATTGCCCGTGTTGGGTTTTGCACGGTGGTGGCAAGATACTGCAGGATTTATATTTATCTTCCTTGCAAAACGTGCAGATGATGGGTGAATCCTGGTTCTTGCTTTCAACCAGAACACTTGCAGCCACTGACACAAGCAACTCTTGGGGGCTCTTCGTCCTCCTGACAGCACTGCTCTTGGCCGCGGAGCTGGGCTGTTCCTGCTTGACAGGGGGCCAGAGTTCTCAACAACCACAAGACACAAGCTGTGTTTCCCAGAGATTCTCCTGGTCCTCCTCTTCTGACCGCCCGGCTGTTTCTGACAGGATTTGGACCCTTTGGAGATCTCTGCCCAGCCTTGAGGGTGGTTCTTCCTGAGGGAAGCGAGTTTAAATCCACCAGAGATTTTTCTCCATCTCCACAGACGGTTCCTGGACAGGAAAGAGAGGAAGATGGAAAAATTGCTGCCTCTGGAGACCACGGAGCTTTTTTTGGACAGGAAGGAATTGTGAGGGGCTTTTCACACTACTCCCATGTTCATCATCCCTGTATTGTCCGTTCTCCTCAGGCGCGCTCCTGTTTCCCGCCCTTTCTACAATCCTGGCACTTTGCCCCTAATCCACCAGGGGGCGCGCTCTGCTAAGAGAAGGGAGCGTCAGGCGGTTCCCCATTGGTCCCCTGGAGGGCAAACGTCACAGCTGCCTTTCCAGAGCGGACTGCGACGGGAGGGACATCACAAACGCTTGCCGCTCTAGGACCCCGAACTCGTTCTCCTTAGCCCCTTGGGCTCCGCAGGAGGCGGAGAGGATGCGGGAGAGTCTGACGGGGCCCCTGGTGAGGCTCTTCCCTGGTCCCATGATCCCCAGCCGCCCTCTCCATGCAGGGGAAAGCGGGGATGCCGGGGGATCCGGGGCACCCTTCCCTTACCCTTCTCCGGGAAAGAGCCCAAGGGAGGGGAGGGGAGGGTCGGCCTTGCGGAGGCCCAGCAGGAGAGGAGAGAAGCCGGGCGAGGAGAAGGCAGGATTCGCCCCAGGCTCCCTGTCTCCGGAGGGGGAGAGAAGCGGGACGGCCTCTCCAGCTGCCTCCTTCCCGGCCCTTCTCTGGGATGAGCCGCTTGGAACTCCTGGAAGGTTGGGTGAAGGTTGTTCAGTGGTTAAGTTCTACTTTCTAATTCTTGGCGTTTATTTTTCCTTCAATCTCAGATACAGAAACTCGAAGCCAGGCAAAAGTTTCTCTTGGGGGGAAAAAAAAGAGCGGGATCCCTTGGAGGGATCAGTCCTGCAGCCCCAGAAATGGTCCCGTGAAGGAAAAGGCATCTGGAGACCCACCAGAGTCCTTGGAGCCATTTGCAGTTGCTCTGCAGGACAGAGAAAGGATGGAGACACAACCTTTTGGAAAGGAGGGAAGCGGAAAAGGCCCTTCAGCTGCTCAGCCGGGGAAGAGGGGGAAGCTCTGGACAAGGACTGGGCAGGAGATCCTGGAGGAGGAAACCATCCTCCCTTCACAAGTTCAGCCCTGGAACTTCATCCAATACCAGGACGCTGAGGGTCCCCGAGGCCTTTGCAGACGACTCCATGACTTTTGTAGGCGATGGCTGAGACCAGAAAAGCACACCAAAGCCCAGATGCTGGACCTGGTGGTTCTGGAGCAGCTCCTTGCTCTTCTGCCCGCAGAGATGGAGGGCTGGGTGCGGGAGTGTGGAGCAGAGACCAGCTCCCAGGCGGTGTCCCTGGCGGAAGGCTTCCTTCTGAGCCAGGTGGAGGAGAAGAAAGAGCAGGTCAAGTTGCAGGTGAGACATTTTAATCTAGGGAGCCCAGAAGGGAATAAAGAATGTGTTCGAATATTTCACCCCACCTTCCCAAACTTCTCTGACATTCTCTGACATTATGTCCAATTTGCTTTTTTTCCACCCTGTTTTGGTTTTGTTCCAATACACACAAAGGGAATAAACGTGTATAGCAAAACATGTGTTACTGCAATACTTTTCTGTGAGAAATACTTCATTTTCTGGAAAAATTTCAGGGGTGCCAACATTTACGGCCATGACTGTATAAGATTTCACTTTACTTCATGTGATGTACATTAATTCTGCTTATTTTTACTTCCTCCTATTTGAAGTGCTGCACTGTGGAGATTAGAGATCCTGAACGAAAGACAAATCCATCAAATCCCCCTCAGGAGCTATTTTTCAGGAGGATCCCTGGGGAAGATCAAAGTCAGGACACTTCAGGAGGTAATCAAATATCCTCCGATTTCCCAGAGAGATCCCGTCTGTCTTACCTTCTTCTCTTCTGTAGTATACCTCCTCTTATTTTGTTGAATATGCATTTTGAAATTATTTATTCCTTACAGAGAAACAAAGAATGAAGTTTTCTGTTTTTTACGACGGAGCTCAAACTGTGATTGAACTTCCAAATCAAGTAAGAAAGAGAAAAGTTATTAGATTTCTATTCTCCTTTCCTTCAGGAAGTGAAGCGGGTATGCAGAGTTGTCTCTCTTTCTATTTCTCTCCCTTGTTTAGACTGGGTAATTTTTGTGTTCCTGTGTGACATGGACAGCATAATAGCAGGTTCAAGTTGCTCTCAACCAGCATAGCTTCTTCTGTGGAGTATTATTGGATACAATGGTTTGTCATTTCTACCCTCAGATTCTGTTTAGGAAATGTTTTTTGAAGACCACTGGTTAACTAGTTCTGCTAGGTACTCTTCCAACTATGAATTCACAAGAAGTAATTTTTTAACAAGTCCTTCAACTAATAGGAATAAATGTATCAAAACTAATGAAAAATAACTAAATACTAGGACTCCGAGATCTCTGTTGCACTTTCTACTGTTGAGCCAGGTATCACCTATTCTATCCCTGTGGGTTTAGTTTTTATTTCCTAAATGTAGCACCTTCTATTTCTCACCATTGATTTTCATTTTGTTAGATGGGGCCCAATCTGTCGATACTTCTATATCTCGAGCTTATCTTCTGGAGTGTTGGTATTCCTGTCAATTTAGTCTTGTCTTCAAATCTGAGGAATTCCCCTTCTATCCTCTTGTCTAAATCATTGATTAAGATGAACAGATATTGCAATTCCTCCTGTTCTGTTCTTTTTTCCATGTTTAGGACAGTCTTGTGTCCTTCGAGGAGGTGGCTGTGTATTTCTCTGAGGAGGAGTGGTCTCAGCTGAATCCTGACCAAAAAGCGCTGCATTTGGAAGTCATGCTTGAAAATCATAGGAATGTGGTCTCTCTGGGTAAGTTTTCTAGTCCCCAATCAGAGGGTTCAAGAAGACAGATTATCGTTAGTTTTTTTTATTAAAAAATCACTAATCCAATATTTCCTGGGAGGGAGAAGGAAAGGATCTGGCCTTCTGGTACTCCAAGGAAGGAAAGAGTCAATGTTTCTTTGCTTAGCTTCTTTCTGTGCCATTTCTTATCTGTATTTTTCCATTTCTATTTGAATTTACGAGGCAGAAAAGAATGGGGTGTGCTTTTTTTTTGAGTAAAGTTTTTTTTTAAATTTATATATAAACATTTTGAATAGAGTGTATTTTCTGGGCATACATTTTACAAAAAGAAAAAAGAAAGGAAATAGTAACATATATACTGATAGCAATAGTAGTAGTACAACAGAATGATACTAACCATATTTATAATTGTTAGCTTATTTGTAATCCTATTGATTATATTAGCATACTTACAGTTATAAACAATGTTCATGCTTAATTTATACAGAACAATGCTCTTTCTTCATCTAATTTGTACCTCTTATCTCTAACTATTGATAAAACCTATTCCATATTAAGTGGGGTGTGCTTTTATCTGTCCCCTGGAGGTCATGTGAGAGGAATGTGTTGTCATTTGTCCTCTGAAACCTCCCAAAATTGTTACTCCCAAAACCTCTTCAAATTGTCATTTGTCAGAACAGAATTTTCATAGTCAGGCCATAGAAGAGCATTCTCCTAATTCAAGGACAAAGGCCTTGTGCAGTGTCACTCAGTGTATCCTAGGGTATAGGTAATCCCCTAATTACGACAATTCACTTAGCGATCATTCAAAATTATGATTTTCCTCCCTCAATACTTTAGACCCAGTCCTAAAATTACGAATGTCGCATCACTACGGCTGTTCACACTTACGAATGACAGCAGAGGTGCTGCAACATTCGCCCTACCTATTCTCCCACCCCACCCTGCCAAGACATACCCTGTGATGATGTAGCGAGCCATCGGTTCCTTTGCCTGCTTTGGTACATTTGCAGAAAACATAGGGCTAAAGTAGTGAGAAATCTTGCACTACTGATCTCGTGTGACCTTACACTATAGTACGTAAGACCTATGTTCTCTGCTAACTGAGGGCTGCGCAAGATCTGGGGCCAAAGGATTCTTTTTTTTCAAAGACTTTTGCCCCGATCACCACCAGATGGATTCGTAACTGACTAACCAACCACACGCAACGTGTAGTCCTCAATGGAACTGCATCTACATGGAGGGAAGTATGCAGTGGGGTAGCCCAAGGCTCTGTTTTAGGCCCAGTACTCTTCAACATCTTCATCAATGATTTGGGCGAGGGGATAGATAGGGAATTCATCAAATTTTTCAGCAAGCCGGGTTGGCCTAATTTTTTAAGTGTTTTTAAATGTTTTGTTTATTGTTTTTAATTAATGGGGCCAAATTTATATATATATATATATTAACTGTATTTTAATATTTGTACTTGATGTTTTTACTTGGCTGTTCACCACCCTGAGTCCTCAGGGAGAAGGGCGGTATACAAATTCAAAATAAAATAAAATAAATAAATAAAATAAAAATTTGCAGACGACACCAAACTAGCAGGAATAGCCAACACTCTGGAAAATAGGCTTAGGATACAGAAGGATCTTGAAAGACTTGAACATTGGGCGCTATCTAACAAAATGAAATTCAATGGTGAAAAAAGTAAGGTTCTACATTTAGGCAAGAAAAACAAAACGCACAGGTACTGTATATGTGGTACCTGGCTCAATAGTGGTAACTGTGAGAGGGATCTTGGAGTCCTAGTGGACAACCATTTAAATATGAGCCAGCAGTGTGCTGCAGTTGCCAAAAAAAGCCAACACAGTTCTAGGCTGCATAAACAGAAGAATAGAATCAAGATCACGTGAAGTGTTAAGACCACTTTATAATGCCTTGGTTAGGCCACACTTGTAATACTGCATCCAGTTTTGGTCTCCACAATGTAAAAAAAGATGTTGAGACTCTAGAAAGAGCACAGAGAAGAGCAACCAAGAGGATTAGAGGACTGGAGGCTAAAACATATAAAGAACGGTTGCTGGAACAGGTATGTCTAGTTTGACGAAAAGAAGGAGTAGGGATGACATGATAACAGTTTTCCAATATTTCAGAGGCTGCCACCAAGAAGAAGAGGGAGTCTAGCTATTCTCCAAAGCACATGAGGGTAGGAGAAGAAGCAATGGGTAGAAACTAATCAAGGAGAAAAGAATCACCCAAAGAGATGGCTGCCAACATGGATGCTGCAGCTGGGTTCGCTTTCTTTCAGTGTACAGTTGGATGATTCTGTGTTTGTTTTGGATGTCTGAAGTTTTTATGAAGAGATTGGATAACCATTTGTCTGAAATGGTATAGGGTTTCCTACCTAAGCATGGGTTTGGAATAGAAGACCTCCAAGGTCCCTTCCAACTCTTATTCTATTCTATTCTATCTTGTGCAGTCCTCAGTTTGTAGAAAACTCAGGCCTGAAGTACTATAGCGTGGGATCAGTAGAATGAGAGCTTGCACTACTGAACCTGCGTGATCTGGCACTAAAGTAGTTTAGGCCTCTGTTCTCTGCTAACTAAGGCCTGTACCAGATCTGGCCAAAGAGCCCTTGCAAACCAATGAGACTTTTGAGGAGTGAAATAACCTTTTTTGAGCCTCCCAACCTTTCCAGTCTCGGCGCAAAGAGCATTTATAAGCCAATGGGAGGCTTCAAGCAAAGGATTATGCCCCAAATCTCATCACTGGGATCAAGAATGGGCCAAGCAGAAGTCTTGCCTGCCAGACAGACGCCATGGAGCAGCTGCTCCAAGCTACACAAGGGAAGAAAGCTTGTTTCAAAATTGTTTCAGTTCTCACAGGTCTCGGCTGAAATTAACCCACCCCAATAAATCTTAAGTTTTTTCCTAATTCCTTCTTGGGTGGTTCCCCTTATTATTCCTTAATTGAAAACTGACTTTGAGTGAGATCGGGCTTGATAAATCGACACTTAGAGTTTGAAAATTAATGACTAGTTACAATTGGCCTTTCCTCTCCCCTTCCCTCCCTCAGGCTAGAATCACAGATGCCTCTCCTCTCCCCTTCTCTCCCTCAGTTATTTTCAATTTGGGAGAGGGAATAGAATGTCTAATTAGCATCAGAGTGTGTTATCATAATATAGAAAATACTAATGCTCTGATGGTCATTTCAAAAAATCTTTTCTTAATGAGCACCTAGAAGGCAACAGGAGCATACATGGAAAATTTCAAGTTTGTAGGCATTACGGTTCTAGAGATTTCATGATTAATGCGTGAGTGGTTTTTGCTTTTATATATATATAGATTGTAAAGAAAGATATTTTCTAGATATTTTCAAAGCTTTCGTGACCCATGAATATAGAAATTATCTTGTCTATATCAAACCATTGTGAGAATACAGAATACAACATAATGGAATTTTGGAAAAATTCAGAAGAATATTCGTTGACTTTCTACATTTTGATCTTTTTCTCTAACCGTGTTATCATTTTCATTTCTCTTTTCCTTTGAAGGTAATAGTGGGCAGGAGAATCAAGATTCCTATGGACTGTTCCAAGTGATCAATGCTAAAGATGAAATGGAGAACTTTGGAATTCGAATGGAATTCGAAAGCCATGAGAGAAACCAGTCAAATAATTGGAATCAGGAAAGCTCATCTCCCACTGATGCTCCGATGCAAGACTTTCTTGCCCAACAAGAGAAAATAAGGAAAAAATGTATTGGGGAAAGTGTGAAGCTAATCAAAGATAAATTACAAGTAAACGAACACCATTTAACACAAAACAAAGGAAAAGATGCTATAAGACACAACAGGCAAAATTACAATGGGACATTGATATTTTCTCTTGGAAATAACTTCCTTACATCTCAAAAAGTGATTCACACAAAAAAGGAGCCTTATAAATGTTTGGAATCCGGAAAATATTTTAGAACAAGCAGGAATCTTACATCCCATGAAAGGATTCACACTGTAGAGAAACAGTGTTTAGAAGCAGCTGTAGCCCATGCAGCCCAATCCCTCCAGGCAACGGGAGAGAAACCATATAAATGCATGGAGTGTGGAAAGACATTTGCGCAACGTAGTGCTCTTACTTCTCATAAGATGATCCACACAGGGGAAAAGCCATTTAAATGCATGGAATGTGGAAAGACCTTTGCTCAGAGAGGTAATCTGAAATCCCATAAAATGATCCACACAGGGGAGAAGCCGTATAAATGCATGGAGTGTGGAAAGACCTTTCCTCGAAGAAGTCATCTTATTTCCCATAAGATGATCCACACAGGGGAGAAGCCATACAAATGCATGGAGTGTGAAAAGACCTTTGCTCAACGTAGTTATCTTGCTTCTCATAAAAAGATCCACACAGGTGAGAAGCCATATAAATGCATGGAGTGTGAAAAGACTTTTCCTCGAAGAGGTCATCTTATTTCCCATATGATGATCCACACAGGGGAGAAGCCATATAAATGCATGGAGTGTGGAAAGACCTTTGCTCAACGCAGTTATCTTGCGTCTCATAAAAAGATCCACACTGGGGAGAAACCATATAAATGCACAGAATGTGGAAAGACCTTTCCTCGAAGAGGTAATCTTATTTCCCATGAGATGATCCACACAGGGAAGAAGCCGTATAAATGCATGGAATGTGGGAAGTCCTTTCCTCGAAGAGGTAATCTTATTTCCCATAAGATGATCCACACAGGGGAGAAGCCATTTAAATGCATGGAGTGTGGAAAGACCTTTGCTCAAGGCAGTTATCTTGCTTCCCATAAAAAGATCCACTCAGAAGAGAAACCATTTAAATGCATGGAGTGTGGAAAGATGTTTACTAAGAGCAGTGCTCTTACTTCTCATAAGATGATCCACACAGGGGAGAAACCATATAAATGCATGGAGTGTGGAAAGACCTTTCCTCGAAGAGGTAATCTTATTTCCCATAAAATGATCCACACAGGGGAGAAACCATATAAATGCATGGAGTGTGGAAAGACCTTTGCTCAACGCAGTTATCTTGCTTCCCATAAAAGGATCCACTCAGAAGAAAAACCATTTAAATGCATGGAATGCGGAAAGACGTTTACTAAGAGCAGTGCTCTTACTTGTCATAAGATGATCCACGCAGGGGAGAAACCATATAAATGCATGGAGTGTGGAAAGACCTTTTCTCGAAGAGGTAATCTTATTTCCCATAAGATGATCCACACAGAGAGGAAGCCGTTTAAATGCATGGAATGTGGAAAGAGCTTTGCTCAGAATGGTAATCTTACTTCTCATAAAAGGATCCACACTCGGGAGAAAGTATATAGCAATAGCAATTCCACTTTAGACTTATATACCACTCCAGAATGCTTTACAGCACTGTCTGATCAGTTCACAAAGTCAGCATATTGTCCCCAGGAATCTGGGTCCTCCTTTTACCGACCTCAAAAGGATGATAGGTTAAATCAACCATGAGCCAGTCAGGATCAATCTCCTGGGTGTGGGCAATTAGCTTCTGGTACTGCATTCTAACCTCTGATCCACCATGTCTAGAGATTTTTATGTGTGTGCATAGTTTGCCTTTCTGATCCAAATGAGACAAGGTTGAATCCAACAAAGTGAAATTTAATGTGGAGAAAAGTAAAGTTTTACACCTTGGCGGCAAAAAACAGATTACATGAAACCTGGCTCAAAAACAGTAACTCTATGAAGGGACCTTGGGAATCCGAATGGATGATCACTTGAATATGAATGACTTATGTGCGGTGGCAGCCAAAAATGCTGAGACAATCCTTGGTTGTATAAACAGAGACATAGAATCAAAATCACATGAAGTATTACCACCACTTTATAAAGCCTTAGTAAGACCACATTTGGAATACTGCATCCAGTTGTGGACATTACAATTCAAAAAAGATATTTAGTCTTTGGAAAAAGTGTAAAGAAGAACAGCTAAGTTGATTGAAGGCCTGAAGACTAAAACAGATGAAGAACAGTTGCAGGTTTGGGTCTGGCTAGTCTAAAGAAAAGAAGGATTAGGAGTGATAGCAGTATTTTTTATTTATTTATTTATTTATTTTAATTTGATTTATATGCCACTCTTCTCCGGAGACTCAGGGCGGCTTACAATGTGTTAAGCAATAGCCTTCATACTTTTGTATATTTATACAAAGTCAACTTATTGCCCCCACAAACTGGGTCCTCAATTTACCTACCTTAGAAAGGATGGAAGGCTGAGTCAACCTTGAGCCTGGTGAGATTCGAACTTACAGTAATTGCAGACAGCTGGTGTTAATCACAATGCTTTTAGTCTGCTGAGCCACCAAGCCCTCAAGTATTCCAGTACTTGAGAGGCTGCCACAAAGAGGTCCATTTATTTTCCCAAGCACCAGAGGGCAGGGCAAGAAACAATGCATGTGAACCCAGTTTGTGGGGGCAATAAGCTGACTTTGTATAAATATACAAAAGTATGAAGGCTATTGCTTAACGCATTGTAAGCCGCCCTGAGTCTCCGGAGAAGGGCGGCATATAAATCAAATTAAAAAAAAAAAAACTAATCCAGGAGAGAAGCAACCTGGAATTAACAAGAATATGCCTTACAGTGAGGACAATTAACCACTGGGACAGCTTTCCTTCATATGGTCTATCTGGATCCATTCCAGTCAGGCTTCAGGCCTGGGTACAGCACGGAAATGGCATTGGTCGCGTTGGTTGATGATCTCTGGAGGGCTCGGGACAGGGGTTGTTCCTCTGTCCTGGTCCTATTAGATCTCTCAGCGGCTTTTGATACCATCGACCATGGTATCATGCTGCGCCGATTGGAGGGGCTGAGGGTAGGGGGCACTGTGCTGCGGTGGTTCTCCTCCTTCCTCCCTGACTGGTCGCAGTTTGTGTTGACGGGGGGGACAGAGATTGACCTCGAGGCGCCTTGTGTGTGGGGTGCCACAAGGGTCAGTTCTCTCGCCCCTTTTGTTCAACATTTATGTGAAGCCGCTGGGTGAGATCATCCGTGGTTTCGGGGTGAAGTGCCATCTGTACGCTGATGACACCCAGCTGTACATCTCCACCCCGGATCACCCCAATGATGCCCTTGATGTGATGTCCCGGTGCCTGGAGGCCGTGCGGATCTGGATGGGGAGAAACAGGCTCAGGCTCAACCCATCCAAGATTGAGTGGCTGTGGCTTCCGGCATCCCAATATAGTCAGTTGGCGCCATCGCTGACTATTGGGGATGAGTCATTGGCCCCCACAGAGAGGGCTTGCAACTTGGGTGTCATCCTGGATACACGGCTGTCTTTAGAAGAGCATATGACGGCTGTGGCCAGGGGGGCTTTTTATCAGGTTCGCCTGATCCACTAGTTGCGTCCCTTTCTGGATCGGGATGCCTTATGAACGGTCACTCATGCTCTCGTCACATCCTGCCTGGACTACTGTAATGCTCTCTACATGGGGCTCCCCTTGAGGAGCACCCGGAGGCTCCAGCTGGTCCAGAATGCGGCCATGCGGGTGGTTATGGGGGCGACTCGGCGCTCCCATGTAACACCTCTCCTTGCGAGCTGCACTGGCTCCCAGTGGTCTTCCGGGTGCGCTTCAAGGTATTGGTTACCACCTTTAGAGCGCTCCATGGCTTAGGACCCGGGTATTTACGAGACCGCCTTCTGCCACCGATAGCCTCCCACCGACCAGTATGCTCCCACAGAGAGGAGCTCCTCAGGGTGCCGTCGGTCAAACAATGTTGACTGGCGGCCCCCAGGGGGAGAGCCTTCTCTGTGGGGGCATCTACCCTCTGGAATGAGCTGCCCCCGGATATACGGCGGATCCTGAATCTTCACACCTTTTGCCGTTCCCTAAAGACATTTTTATTCCAGCCAGCTGGGCTGGCCTAACTCTTTTAAATTGTTTTAATTTTTAAATTGTTAATGATCGGTCTTAATAGAAGGGTGTTTTTAATTGTGGGCCAAATTAATTTAATTGGATTTTAATACTGTTTTTAAATTTTGTATTTCTTGTGTTTTATCTGTTGGCTGTTCACCGCCCCGAATCTTTCGGGAGAAGGGCGGTATATAAATATAAACAATAATAATAATATATCGTGGGTGCATCACTGGAGGTTTTTAAGAAGAGACTGGATAGTCACTTGTCTGAAATGGTATAGGATCTCCTGCTTGAGCAGGGGGCTGGATTAGAAGAGCTATATGTTCTCTTCCAGCTCGATTCTGATTCTGAATCCTCAATCCTTTCTTGTGTTTTTTTTGCTAAGTAGGAGGTTTGAAAGGAAACATGAGTATCAATGGAGATGAAGGTTATCATTTGACCTGAAAGTGATGTGTGGGTCAATATTTAAGTGGTGGAGATTCCCCAATCATTTCAAGAAACTCCCTCTGATGGCACTAGAGCAGAGTTGCAGTCAGAAATGTAGAAATCCTGAATCCCTTACCATTGTTTCAGCTTTTCTTATTTTACTTAATATTGTCAAAATCTGCCTTTCCACCCTGCTTCATATTATGTAATGAAAGTAATAAATGAGAAACAAAACCATAACGATGATATCAACCAAAAGGGTGATAGTGATGCTGAATTAGAAAAGGCAACTCATGGGCTCTTTGTCCTAATTTTGTGGTGATCTTTCCTCATGTTGCCCATCTCTGCCCTCACACAATCTTACCAATATCTTTTTTAAGTGAGGTCTCCAGAACTGGACACAGTATCCAAATACTGTGTCCAGTGGGTTAGGACCTCCTTTTTCTTGATGGTGATACATCTGGTGAGGTATCCCAGAATTTTGTTTGCCTTCAAACCTACCGGGCCACAATGTTTATTCATTTTGCAGTTTGTTTGTTTTTTAGTGCAATGGTAACTGTTCATAATTATTCTAGCATTCTGGAAATATGCGTCTGTTCCGAGCTTTGTCCACACACGGAGCATTAAAGCAAGTAGTTTTATTAAGAGAAAGCAGTGGCAGGGAAATATGGATGCCTATTAAGTCCCTCTAGCCAGCCAGCTTCTCAAGAGACATGGTGTACAAATGAAAGAGCCACTTGTTTCAAATCAGCAGCAGCACCTTGGCCCTGGCAATGGGGCTATTTATTTTGTCCTTTCCTCAGGATTGTCTTGCCAGCATCCCCTTGATGACCCTTCCTCTCCCACCACCCAGTTTCCAGGGAGAGAGGAGCGCGAGAGTGGGGAGGCGGAGCAAATGGAGAGGGAGCCCAGATTTGGGACACTATGTTTTCATTTGCAACCTGTGTTTCCTGAGATTCTCCGTGAAGAGAAGACCTGAAGAGACGTTTCCTGAGACTGGTGAGCCCCTCATCCTTAACTGCTGGATGGAGGGTTAGGCTGGGCTAAAGCAGAGGAGAAAGAGCAGGGTGAGAAGCTAAGGACAAGGGGCTCACCTACGTCTCCATAAGACTTCTCGGGAGACACATTGTGCAAATGTAAAAGCCTGTCCTGGCTAGGTGCCTCAGTGGCTAAGACACTGAGCTTGTCAATCAATCAGAAAAGTCGGTGGTTCAAATCCCTAATATAGGTGTCCTGCGTGAGCAGAGTTGGACTAGATGACCTCCAAGATCCCTTCCAATTTTGTTACTGTGATCTCTTGGGAGACACAATATTTGGACAGGGACGGCACTTATGCACGCCCCTTACAGACATCTTAGGAAAAAGCTTTGAGGGGCCTTTTCTCCTACTCCCATGCCCATCATCCCTGCTCTTCCCTCAGATGTCCTCCTCTTTCCCGCCCTTTTCAGGGAATCCTTTAAATTTCCGCAGAATCCACCAGGGGGCGCCCTCTGCTAAGAGAAGGGAACTCCAGGCGCTTCCCCTTTGGGCCACTGGAGGACGAATGTCAAGGCTGCCTTTGAAGAGGAGGCTGGGAAGGAAGTGACATCATAGAGCTTTGCCTCTCTAGGACGCCGCGCTCGCTCTCCTTAACTCTTGGGGCTCCGCAGGAGGCGGAGGCGCTGCGGGAGAGTCTGGCTGGCGGGATATCCAAACGTGCCCCGGGTGAGGTGGGGGCTCTTCTAGCGGCAAAAGGAGGCGGAGGAGGGAGAGACCCGCTCCCGGCCCTCCTCCGGCTTCAACCCCGGGTCCCATGCTCCCCAGCCGCCCTCTGCGGGGATGGGCGAGGGTCCCTTCCCTTACCCGTGTCCGGGGAAGAGCCCGAGTGGGGGGAGGGGAGGGTCGGCCTTGCGGAGGCCCAGCAGAAGGGGAGAGAAGCCGGGTGAGGAGGAGGCAGGATTCGCACCAGGCTCCCGGAGGGCTCCATCCTGTCCCCTGAGGGGGAGAGAAGTGGGGCGGCCTCTCCAGCTGCCCCCTTCCCGGCCCTGCTGGGGGGGGGGGACTTCGGTCCTGCGCTGGGAGGAGCCGTTTGGGACTCCTGGAAGGTTGGGTGAGGGTTGTTCAGCGCCCGAATTCCACTTTCTAATTCTTAATATTTATTTTTCTTTCCATCTCACATACAGAAACTGGAAGCCATTTGAAATCTTTGCAAACCAAAATTTATTTCTTGAGGGAAGAAGAAAAAGAGCGGAATCCCTTGGAGGGATCAGTCCTGCAACACCAGAAATGGTCCCGTGAAGGAAAAGGCATCTGGAGACCCACCAGAGTCCTTGGAGCCATTTGGAGTTGCTCTGCAGGACAGAGAAAGGATGGAGACACAACCTTTTGGAAAGGAGGGAAGCGGAAAAGGCCCTTCAGCTGCTCAGCCTGGGAAGGGGGGGAAGCTCTGGACAAGGACTGGGCAGAAGATCCTGGAGGAGGAAACCATCCTCCCTTCAGAAGTTCAGCCCTGGAACTTCATCCAATACCGGGAGGCTGAGGGTCCCCGAGGACTTTGCAGCCGACTCCATGGCTTTTGTAGGCGATGGCTGAGACCAGAAAAACAAACCAAAGCCCAGATGCTGGACATGGTTGTTCTGGAGCAGTTCCTGGCTCTTCTGCCCCCAGAGATGGAGGGCTGGGTGCGGGAGTGTGGAGCAGAGACCAGCTCCCAGGCGGTGTCCCTGGCGGAAGGCTTCCTCCTGAGCCAGATGGAGGAGCAGAAGCAGCAGGTCGAGTTGCAGGTGAGACACTTTAGGGAGGTCAAAAGGGGATAAAGAATGTGTTTGAATACTTCACCCCTCCTTCCCAAACCTCTCTGACATTCATAATGTTCCGAATATAAGAATTCATTTTATGTTGTGTGATGTACATTAATTCTGCTTCTTCCTTCCTTCCTCCTATTTGAAGGGCTGCACTGTGAAGATCAGAGATCCTGACAGAAAGAAGAATTCATCAAATCAAACAGTGGTTGAACCTCCAAATCAAGTAAGAAAGGAAAAAAATATTAGATTTGTATTCTCCTTTCCTTCAGGAAGTGAAGCGGGTGTGCAGAGTTCTCTCTCTTTCTTTTCCCCCCTTGTTTGAAGTGGATTATTTTTGTGTTCCTGTGGGACATGGACAGCATAATAGCAGGTTCAAGTTGCTGTCAGCCATCTTAACTTCCTCTGTAAACTATTACTGCGACACAATGATTTGTCATTTCTCACCTCAGAGAATCTCAGAGAAACAGAATGTTTAGGAAATGTTTTTTAAAGAACAGCTGTTAACTGATTCTGCTAAGTACTCCTCCAACTATGAGTTTATAAGAAGTAATTTTTTAACAAGTCCTTCAAGAAATAGGAATAAATGTATCACTGTAGTAGTGACTGCTAGAGACCCATTCTTTTTGTCATTCCCTGACTTGGAATTCTGCAAAGCTATTGAAAAATAACTAAATACTCACATTGCCACATTGCCCTTTTTGAAAAGCCTTGTTCATGACCAGTCGTTCAAAAAATAATCAAATCATATTAAAAAATAAAGCAGAATTTTAAAATCCAAACAGAATGGCCACGTAGACCATGTAATTGCAGTACCTTGGGTGTAAAATAATATCTAATCCTCTGATTTGCGCCTGGATTAGAAGATCAAACATTTCCACTTTGCAAAGGCTGAGAAATTACCTTCACAGGGAATTATCTCTTCTTTGTTTTCTCTCATTCAGCCATTGGCTCAGACTACTGATCAATAAATGATAAATCAGTTGATCCAGAAGTGGGATTACTTCACTGAGAAGCACTGTAAATTCTGCAGAATCAATCAACTTGATAAAACCTGCTCCAAATATTTCTTCAGTCAAAGAAATTTTCAGAATTGTCCATTTTCTCACATAAAAATAGGACTTGTGTGAAGGACAGCCGTGTAAGTCAGTGCCTACCTTTGCCATGGAACAATGGAGCAAAATATTGTTATTCAGAGTTGGTAGGGATCTTAGAGGTCTTCTAGTCCAGTAGCCACCAACTAGTGGTCTGCAGCGCACCTGGGTGGAGGAGCTGTTCCAGGATGAGCAATGGCCAGTCCTGTGACTAGAGCTCTGGAATATGGGACTTGCCAGGCAGCTCTTGGTGGGGCTGTAAATCTCCACTGTAGGGGGAGGTTCATGCAACTTGCAACTTTGCAGCGCAGTCCTTGCTGGCCGGAATGAGGTAATGCTGCAAGGGGGGGTGGCGGTGCAGGCAGGCCAAAGCAACAGGTGGTGGGAACCGCGGCCTGTTTCTTCCCCCTGCTGTAGCTTTCTGTCGGCTGAATCCACCCGTGCCTGTCCCTGCCCTGGCCCTCCCTTCTCAGTCACTCCTCACCTGGCAAGGGAAAGGGAGTCGGGGATGGAGGTTCGCTCCATATTCCAGAGCAGGAGCGAAGCTTCGTCTCTTGCTGGATCTTGCGGCCGTTTCTTCCAGCCCTTGTTGGTGCTCCGCGCACCTCGGTCTTTCGGGGAGACGCTTGACTTCCTCTCAACCCCAAGACACTTGCTGGCCCATGAGATAAGAGAGAGAAAGAGAATGAGAGAGAGAATGAGAGAGAGAATGAGAGTGAGAGAAAGAAAGAGACAGTAAGAATGAAAGAGAGAAAGAATGAGAAAGAGTCGGAGAGAAAGAAAGGGGGAGAGAGATGACAGAAAGAAAAGATGAGACAGAGGGAAAGAGAGGAAGAGAATGAAAGAGAGGAAGAGAATGAAAGAGAGAAAGAGAGAATGAAAGAAAGAGACAGAATGAAAGAGAGAATGATAGAAAGAGACAGAATCAGAGTATGAGAGAGAAAGGGAAAGAGACAGAATGAGAGAGAGAGAAAAAGAGAATCAGAATGAGAGAGAGAAAGACAGGGAATCAGAATGAAAAGGAATGAAAGAGAGAATGAAAGAGAATGAGAGACAGAAAAAGAGATAGAATCAGAATGAGCAACAGAATTCGAGAATGAGAGAGAAAGAATGAAAGAGAACGAAAGCGACAGAATGAAAGAGAGAAAGAAAGAGACAGAGGGAATCAGAGACAATGAGAGGGAATGAGTGGGAGAGAGAGAAAGAGAGAGGGAGAGAGAGAGAAAGAGAGAGGAGGGAGAGTGCTTGAAGGACCCCATCCTGTCACTGGGAGTCCAGGCGCTTCAGCAAGCGGTGCGCTGGATTCGTATTAGTGGTCCGCGGGATTTAAAATTATGAACTTGGTGGTCCCTGAGGTCCAAAAGGTTGGGGACCTCTGTTCTAGTCCAACCCCCTGCTCAGACAGAAAGCTCTATAACATTTCAGATAAACGGCTGTCCAATTTCTTCTTAAACAGCTCCAGTGTTGAAACATCCACAACTTCTGGAGGCAACTCATTCCACTGATTAATTGTTCTCACTGACAGATTTCTCTGTAGTTGTAGATTAGTTCTCTCCTTGATTAGTTTCCATCTACTGCTTCCTGTCCTGCCTTCAGGTGGTTGTCTGGCCTTCAGGTGGTTTGGAGAATAGATTGGCTGCATCTTCTTTGTGGCAGCCCCTAGAGATCTTGCAACACTGCTATCATGTCACCCCCTAGTTCTTCTTTTCATTAAACTAGACGTACCCATTTCCAGCAACTGTTCTTTATATGTTTTAGCCTTCAGGACCCTAACCATTTTGGGTGCTCTTCTCTGCACTCTTTCTAGAGTCTCAATATCTTTGTTACATCTGGCAACCAAAACTGGATGCAATATTCCAAGTATGAAACCAATATTGGATGCCAACTGCTGTCTTACCAAGACATTACAGAGTGGTACTAACACTTCATGTGATCTTGATTCTATCCCTCTCTTAACGCAGCCTATGATTGAGTTGGGTTTTTTGGCAGCTTTAGTATATTGCTGACTCATCTTTAAGTGATTGTCCACTAGGACTCCAAGAGCCTTGGTAGTACAGTGGTCTAAGGCACCCTGTTATTAAGCTGGTTATTAAGACCAGATGCCTGCAATTACTGCAGGTTCGAATCTCGCCAAGGCTCAAGGTTGACTCAGCCTTCCATCCTTTCTAAGGTAGGTAAATTGAGGACCCAGTTGTGGGGGGCAATAAGCTGACTTTGTATAAATATACAAAAGAATGAAGGCTATTGTTTAGCACATTGTAAGCCGCCCTGAGTCTCCGGAGAAGGGCGGCATATAAATCAAATTAAAAAAAAAAGAAAAAAAAGATCCCCGTTGTACTTTCTACTGTTGAGCCAGGTATCACCTATTCTGTGCCTGTGCAGTTAGTTTTTCTTTCCTAAATAAAGAACCTTGCATTTCTCACAGTTGATTCTCATTTTGTTAGATGGGGCCCAATCTGTCGATCCTTCTATCTCTTTAGCTTACCTTCTGGAGTGTTGTTATTCCTGTCAATTAGTCCTTGGCTGCAAATTTGATAAGTTCCCTTTCTATCCTCTTGTCTAAATCATTGATGAAGATGATCAGATATTGTGAATCCTCCTGTTCTGTTCTTTTTTCCGTGTTCAGGAGAGTCTTGTGTCCTTTGAGGAGGTGGCTGTGTATTTCTCTGAGGAGGAATGGTCTCAGCTGGATCCTGACCAAAAAGCGCTGCATTCGGAAGTCATGCTTGAAAACTATAGGAATGTGGTCTCTCTCGGTAAGAGTTTTCTTGTCCCCAATCCAAGAGGTCAAGAAGACAGATTATTGTTTGTTTTTTATTAAAAAATCACTAATCAGATATCGTCTCCTGGGAGGGAGAAGGAAAGGATCTGGCCTTCTTGTACTCAAAGGAAGGAAAGAGTCAATGTGTCTTTGCTTACATTAGAAGTCCTCAAGCTTTTTAAGTGGGGCAGTTCACGGTCTCTCAGACTGTTCGGGAGGCGGACTATAGTTTGAACTGCCTAATGACCGGCTAGGTGGGCGTGGCTAGGTGGTGATGTGACTGGGGGGCGTGGCCAATTTAGCAGTCCACTTTGCCCTTGTCCTTCCTACGCTGTACTTGCTCAAAGGCATCTATTTATTTAATAAGAACCCCCTCCCTGAAAGGAAAAAGGGCGGAAACTTTCTTGCCATTTGCCTAACTTCATTAAAACAGCAGCTTTAGGTTCCTTAAAATAGGCCATTAACATAAGAATAAAAGAAACAGGAATTCTTTGAGAAATTGAGATCATCTGTAGGTAGACAAACACAAACCCTGATTTGCTCTCTCACACACACACCCCACAATCTGCTTTGAAAGGTAAACATTTATAAAGGAAAAGTTAGGAACAGAATACTTTAGAACCACTGCCGAAACTATGAATGTTGCAGCACTAAAGCCGTCCAAACTTACAAATGACAGCAGAGACGCTGCAGCGTATGCCCTACCGATTCCCCCATCCCACCCTGCCGAGGCTTTCCCTGCAATGATGTAGCGAGCCAGTGGTTCTTTTGCCTTCTTTGGTGCATTTGCAAAAAATATAGCGCTAAAGTAGTGAGAGATCACATGTGATCAGTAGCGCAAAATCTCGCAGTAGTACTCTCGTGTGATCTCGCACTATAGTATGTTAGGCATCTGTTCCCTGCTAACTGAGGCATGTACCAGATCTTGCAAGCTGATGAGCCTTTGGGTCAGTGAAATAGCCTTTCTTGAAGCCTTCCAACCTTTTCAGTCTCGGCGTGAAGAGCATTTACAAGCCAATGGAAGGCTTTAAGCAAAGGATTTTTCCCCAAAGTTTCAGTTCTTATAGCTCTGCTGTAATTAACCCGTCCCAATAATTCTTAAGTTTTCACCTTGTTCCTCCTTGGATGTTTCCCCTAATTATTCCTTCACTCAAAACTGACTTTGAATGAGATTTGCATATATATAGATAATTGTAAAGAAAGATATATTTTCTAGACATTTTCAAAGCTTTCATGACTCACGGATATAGAAATCACCATGTCTATATCACAGCAGGGTAGGCATGCAAAATACAAAATGATGGAATTTTGGAAAAATTCGGAAGAAAATGTGTTGACTTTCTATAGTTTGAGCTCTCTAACCTTGTTATCCTTTTCATTTCTATTGTCTTTTGAAGGTAACATTGGGCAGGAGAATCAAGATTCCTGTGGACTGTTCCAAGTGATCAATGCTAAAGATGGAACGGAGAACTTTGGAATTCGAATGGAATTCAAAAGCCATGAGAGAAGCCAGTCAAATAATTGGAATCAGGAAAGTTCATCTTCCACTGATGCCCAACAAGAGAAAATAAGGAAAAAATATATTGGGAAAAGTGTGAAGCTAATCAAAGATAAATTACATGTAAACGAACACAAAGGAGAAGGTGGTATAAGACACAACAGACAAAATTACAGTGAGATATTCATTCTTTGTCTTGGAAATACCTTCCTTACAACTCAAAAAGTGATTCACACAAAAAAGGAGCCTTATAAATGTTTGGAATCTGGAAAACATTTTAGAACGAGTGGGCAACTTACTTCCCATGAAAGGATTCACACTGGGGAGAAACAGTGTTCAGAAGCACCTGTAGCCCATGCAGCCCAATCCCTCCAGGTAGCACGAGAGAAACCATATAAATGCATGGAGTGTGGAAAGACCTTTATTCATAGCAATGGACTTAGAAACCACAAAACGATCCACACAGTAGAGAAACCATATAAATGCATGGAGTGTGAGAAAACCTTTACTCATCATAGTCATCTTATTTCCCATAAAATAATCCACACAGGGGAGAAGCCATATAAATGCATGGAGTGTGGAAAGACCTTTGCTCGAAGAGGTGATTTTATTTCCCATCAGATGATCCACACAGGGAAGAAGCCATATAAATGCATGGAGTGTGGGAAAACCTTTATTCATAGCAATGGACTTAGAAACCACAAAACGATCCACACAGGAGAGAAACCATATAAATGCATAGAGTGTGGAAAGACCTTTGCTCTGAGCAAAAGACTTACTGTGCACAAAAAAATCCACACGGGCGAAAAACCATTTAAATGCATGGATTGTGAGAAAACCTTTACTCATCGTGGTAATCTTATTTCCCATAAAATAATCCACACAGGGGAGAAGCCATATAAATGCATGGAGTGTGGAAAGACCTTTGCTAAAAGAGGTAATCTTATTACCCACAAGATGATACACACAGGTGAGAAGCCATATAAATGCATGGAATGTGGAAAGACCTTTGCTCAGAATCGTCATCTATCTTCTCATAAAAGGATCCACACTCAGGAGAACGTATGTAGCAATTCTACTTTAGAGTTACATACCAGTCCACAAAGCTTTATAGCAGCCTTTGAGCAGTTCACAAAGTCAGCATATTGTCCCCAGGAATCTGGGTCCTCATTTTACCGACCTCAAAAGGATGAAAGGCTGACTCAACCATGAGCCGGTCAGATCAAACTCCTGGCTGTGGGCAATTAGCCCTATGGTACTGCATTCTAACCTCTGACCCACCATGTTAACAAATTGGTTAACAAACATGGATGTTTGTTTAAGCAAATAACATATGCTGTAATGTTATTGTTTCAGTTGAATAAATCTATTTAAATTGTTATTATTAAGGTAATGATTATTTTTCTCTTTCCTAAGTACAACAGAAAAATTGTCCAAATATGAATGATTAACCTATTAAACTCGGGATAAAAAAACTAATATGAAAAGTTGTTATTCTAAAAATCTTCATCTACTTGCGTACTAAAGTTATACCAGCAAGAATTAGTCTTTATGTAGAAAACTGTGATTTAAATCAAGCCTTACTGACTAGTGATTTAAATCGTGATTTAAATCAGTTTGATTTAAATCAAATCCATCCTGGTTGCAAGATTTGGGTTCGGCTAGTTTAGAGAAAAGAAGAATTAGGAGTGGCATGATAGCAGTGTTCCACTACTTGAGAGGCTGCCACAAAGAGGAGGGGGTCAATTTATTTTCCAAAGCACCAGAGGGCAGGACAAGAAACAATGCATGTGAACTAATGGAGGGAAGCAACCTGTAATTAACAAGAATACTCCTTACAGCGAGTTCTGTAATCCTCAATCCTTTCTTGTGCATTTTTGCTAAGTAGGAGGTTTTAAAGCAAACAGGAGCATCAGTGGAGATTAAGGTTATCATTTGGCCTGAAAGTGATATATTTATTCTAGCATTATATTTATCTTTTTATACTGTGCCAGAGGCTAGAAAAAAGGGTAAAGGTAACTTAAAGAAAATTAATTAACGGTGTGTTTACTACTGTGTTTTCCTCAAAATAAGACCTACCTTAAAAATAAGCCGTAGCATGATTTTTCATGGTGCTGGCAACTTAAGCCCTATCTGCAAAGTAAGCCCTACTTTGCAGCGTCATCAGTGGAGAGTAAGGGAGGGGCATGGGCAGAACAGGAGGCGGTGACCGCACCTGCAGGGGCCAACGGTGTTCAGAAGCACCTTTAGCCCGGGTAGCCCAGTCCCTTCAAGCAGCAAAGAGGCAGAGTTGTGGGATGAATCACGCGATCTGTCCCACCAGCTGTCTTTGGATGTAGAGTGTGCAGTAGAACTGGAGGATGAGGTTGGATAATGGGGTTGAGAGCACAGGGATCGCGGCAAGGCACTATTTCTGCGCCACCACTTCTCTTGCCTCAAGGCAACGACGCCAGTTTGGAGGAGGCATGCGATCCAATCTGGTGGACACAGTGCGCAGCTGCTTGCCTACTCTGCCCTTTTGATTGCCTGCAGTTCTGATGGGGCAGGCGGCTGCGTGGTGTGTCCAGAGGGCAGGATCACATGTCCTGCACCTCTGTCTTTAAACCACCCGGCTGTTTCTGACAGGATTTGGACCCTTTGGAGATCTCTGCCCAGCCTTCAGGGTGGCTCTTCCTGAGGGAAGCGAGTTTAAATCCTCCAGAGATTTTTCTCCATCTCCACAGACGGTTCCTGGACAGGAAAGAGAGGAAGATGGAAAAATTGCTGCCTCTGGAGACCACGGAGCTTTTTTTGGACAGGAAGGAATTGTGAGGGGCTATTCACGCTACTCCCATGTTCATCATCCCTGTATTGTCCATTCTCCTCAGGCGCGCTCCTGTTTCCCGCCCTTTCTACAATCCTGGCACTTTGCCCCTAATCCACCAGGGGGCGCGCTCTGCTAAGAGAAGGGAGCGTCAGGCGGTTCCCCATTGGTCCCCTGGAGGGCAAACGTCACAGCTGCCTTTCCAGAGCGGACTGCGACGGGAGGGACATCACAAACGCTTGCCGCTCTAGGACCCCGAACTCGTTCTCCTTAGCCCCTTGGGCTCCGCAGGAGGTGGAGAGGCTGCGGGAGAGTCTGACGGGGCCCCTGGTGAGGCTCTTCCCTGGTCCCATGATCCCCAGCCGCCCTCTCCATGCAGGGGGAAGCGGGGATGCCGGGAAGGCGGGGGGATCCGGGGCACCCTTCCCTTACCCTTCTCCGGGAAAGAGCCCAGGGGAGGGGAGGGGAGGGGAGGGTCGGCCTTGCGGAGTCCCAGCAGGAGAGGAGAGAAGCCGGGCGAGGAGAAGGCAGGATTCGCACCAGGCTCCCTGTCTCCGGAGGGGGAGAGAAGCGGGAGGGCCTCTCCAGCTGCCTCCTTCCCGGCCCTTCTCTGGGATGAGCCGCTTGGAACTCATGGAAGGTTGGGTGAAGGTTGTTCAGTGGTTAAGTTCTAGTTTCTAATTCTTGGCGTTTATTTTTCCTTCAATCTCAGATACAGAAACTCGAAGCCAGGCAAAAGTTTCTCTTGGGGGGGGGGAAAAGAGCGGAATCCCTTGGAGGGCTCAGTCCTGCAGCCCCAGAAATGGTCCCGTGAAGGAAAAGGCATCTGGAGACCCACCAGAGTCCTTGGAGCCATTTGCAGTTGCTCTGCAGGACAGAGAAAGGATGGAGACACAACCTTTTGGAAAGGAGGGAAGCAGAAAAGGCCCTTCAGCTGCTCAGCCTGGGAAGTGGGGGAAGCTCTGGACGAGGACCCGGCTCTGGACGAGGACCCGGCAGGAGATCCTGGAGGAGGAAACCATCCTCCCTTCAGAAGTTCAGCCCTGGAATGTCATCCAATACCAGGACGCTGAGGGTCCCCGAGGCCTTTGCAGACGACTCCATGACTTTTGTAGGCGATGGCTGAGACCAGAAAAGCACACCAAAGCCCAGATGCTGGACCTGGTGGCTTTGGAGCAGCTCCTGTTCCTTCTGCCCCCAGAGATGGAGGGCTGGGTGCGGGAGTGTGGAGCAGAGACCAGTTCCCAGGCAGTGGCCCTGACTGAAGGCTTCCTCCTGAGCCACGTGGAGGAGCAGGTCGAGTTGCAGGTAAGAGTTCAATAGAGAATAGAGAATATGTTTGAATACTTCACCCCTCCTTCCCAAACCTCTCTGACATTCATAATGTTCCGAATATAAGAATTCATATTATGTTGTGTGATGTACATTAATTCTGCTTCTTCCTTCCTTCCTCGTATTTGAAGGGCTGCACTGTGGAGATCAGAGATCCTGACAGAAAGAAGAATTCATCCAATCCCCCTCAGAAGCTATTTTTCAAGAGGATCCCTTGGGAAGATCAAAGTCTGGACACTTCAGGAGGTAATCCAAGATCCTGATTTCCCAGAGAGATCCCATCTGTCTTACCTTATTCTCTTCTATAGTATACCTCCTCTTATTTTGTTAAATATGCATTTTGAAATTATTTTATCATTACAGAGAAAGAAAGAATGAAGTTTTCTAGTTTTTATGATGGCGCTCAAACAGTGGTTGAACCTCCAAATCAAGTAAGAAAGGAAAAAAATATTAGATTTGTATTCTCCTTTCCTTCACGTATAGCATAATAGCAGGTTCAAGTTGCTGTCAGCCATCTTAACTTCCTCTGTAGACTATTACAATGATTTGTCATTTCTCACCTCAGAGAATCTCAGAGAAACAGAACGTTTAGGAAATGTTTTTTAAAGAACAGCTGTTAACTGATTCTGCTAAGTACTCCTCCAACTATGAGTTTATAAGAAGTAATTTTTTAACAAGTCCTTCAAGAAATAGGAATAAATGTATCACTGTAGTAGTGACTGCTAGAGACCCATTCTTTTTGTCATTCCCTGACTTGGAATTCTGCAAAGCTATTGAAAAATAACTAAATACTCACATTGCCACATTGCCCTTTTTGAAAAGCCTTGTTCATGACCAGTCGTTCAAAAAATAATCAAATCATATTAAAAAATAAAGCAGAATTTTAAAATCCAAACAGAATGGCCACGTAGACCATGTAATTGCAGTACCTTGGGTGTAAAATAATATCTAATCCTCTGATTTGCGCCTGGATTAGAAGATCAAACATTTCCACTTTGCAAAGGCTGAGAAATTACCTTCACAGGGAATTATCTCTTCTTTGTTTTCTCTCATTCAGCCATTGGCTCAGACTACTGATCAATAAATGATAAATCAGTTGATCCAGAAGTGGGATTACTTCACTGAGAAGCACTGTAAATTCTGCAGAATCAATCAACTTGATAAAACCTGCTCCAAATATTTCTTCAGTCAAAGAAATTTTCAGAATTGTCCATGTTCTCACATAAAAATAGGACGTGTGAAGGACAGCTATATAAGTTAGTGGATACCTTTGCCATGGAACAATGGAGCAGAATAACAGAGTTATTCAGAGTTGGTAGGGATCTTAGAGGTCTTCTAGTCTAGTAGTCACCAACTAGTGGTCCGCGGCGCACCCGGGTGGTGGAACTGCTCCAGGATGAGCAATGGCCAGCAGGGCCGGATTTTCCTATAGGCTAACTAGGCTTCAGCCTAGGGCCTCAAGATCAAGAGGGGCCTACATTCAAATTGTTAGCAAAATTAAAATTACACTTTCACTATAGGTGAAAGGGCCTCGTAAGTGGAATAGCCTAGGGCCTCTTTTCATCTAAATCCGGCCCTGATGGCCAGTCCTGTGACTAGAGCTCTGGAATATGGGACTTGCCAGGCAGCTCTTGGTGGGGCTGTAAATCTCCACTGTAGGGGGAGGTTCATGCAACTTGCAACTTTGCAGCGCAGTCCTTGCTGGCCGGAATGAGGTAATGCTGCAAGGGGGGGTGGCGGTGCAGGCAGGCCAAAGCAACAGGTGGTGGGAACTGCGGCCTGTTTCTTCCCCCTGCTGTAGCTTTCTGTCGGCTGAACCCACCCGTGGCTGTCCCTGCCCTGGCCCTCCCTTCTCAGTCACTCCTCGCCTGGCAAGGGAAAGGGAGTCAGGGATGGAGGTTCGCTCCGTATTCCAGAGCGGGAGCGAAGCTTCGTCTCTTGCTGGATCTTGCGGCCGTTTCTTCCAGCCCTTGTTGGTGCTCTGCGCATCTCGGTCTTTCAGGAAGACGCTTGACTTCCTCTCAACCCCAAGACACTGGCTGGCCCATGAGATAAGAGAGAGAAAGAGAATGAGAGAGAGAATGAGAGAGAGTGAGAGCGAGAGAAAGAAAGAGACAGAAAGAATGAAAGAGAGAAAGAATGAGAAAGAGTCGGAGAGAAAGAAAGGGGGAGAGAGATGAGAGAGAGAAAGAGAAGAGATGAGATAGAGGGGAAGAGAGGAAGAGAATGAAAGAGAATGAAAGAGAAAGAGACAGAATGAAAGAGAATGAGGGATAGAAAGAGACAGAGAGAATCAGTATGAGAGAGAAAGAGAAAGAGACAGAATGAAAGAGAATGAGAGAGAAAGAGAATCAGAATGAGAGAGAGAAAGACGGAATCAGAATGAAAAAGAGAATGAAAGAGAGAATGAAAGAAAAAGAATGAGAGACAGAAAAAGAGACAGAATCAGAATGAGCGACAGAATTAGAGATAGAGAGAATGAAAGAGAACGAAAGCGACAGAATGAAAGAGAGAAAGAAAGAGACAGAGAGGGAATCAGAGACAATGAGAGGGAATGAGTGGGAGAGAGAGAAAGAGAGAGGGAGAGAGAGAGAAAGAGAGAGGAGGGAGAGTGCTTGTAGGACCCCATCCTGTCACTGGGAGTGTTGGTGCTTCAGCAAGTGGTGCGCTGGATTTGTATTAGTGGTCTGCGGGATTTCAAATTATGAACTTGGTGGTCCCTGAGGTCCAAAAGGTTGGGGACCTCTGTTCTAGTCCAACCCCCTGCTCAGACAAAAAGCTCTATAACATTTCAGATAAATGGCTGTCCAATTTCTTCTTAAACAGCTCCAGTGTTGAAACATCCACAACTTCTGGAGGCAACTCATTCCACTGATTAATTGTTCTCACTGACAGATTTCTCTGTAGTTGTAGATTAGTTCTCTCCTTGATTAGTTTCCATCTACTGCTTCCTGTCCTGCCTTCAGGTGGTTGTCTGGCCTTCAGGTGGTTTGGAGAATAGATTGGCTGCATCTTCTTTGTGGCAGCCCCTAGAGATCTTGCAACACTGCTATCATGTCACCCCCTAGTTCTTCTTTTCATTAAACTAGACGTACCCATTTCCAGCAACTGTTCTTTATATGTTTTAGCCTTCAGGACCCTAATCATTTTGGGTGCTCTTCTCTGCACTCTTTCTAGAGTCTCAATATCTTTGTTACATCTGGCAACCAAAACTGGATGCAATATTCCAAGTATGAAACCAATATTGGATGCCAACTGCTGTCTTACCAAGGCATTACAGAGTGGTACTAACACTTCATGTGATCTTGATTCTATCCCTCTCTTAACGCAGCCTATGATTGAGTTGGGTTTTTTGGCAGCTGTAGTATATTGCTGACTCATGTTTAAGTGATTGTCCACTAGGACTCCAAGAGCCTTGGTAGTACAGTGGTCTAAGGCACCCTGTTATTAAGCTGGTTATTAAGACCAGATGCCTGCAATTACTGCAGGTTCGAATCTCGCCAAGGCTCAAGGTTGACTCAGCCTTCCATCCTTTCTAAGGTAGGTAAATTGAGGACCCAGTTGTGGGGGCAATAAGCTGACTTTGTATAAATATACAAAAGAATGAAGGCTATTGTTTAGCACATTGTAAGCCGCCCTGAGTCTCCGGAGAAGGGCGGCATATAAATCAAATTAAAAAAAAAAGAAAAAAAAGATCCCCGTTGTACTTTCTACTGTTGAGCCAGGTATCACCTATTCTGTGCCTGTGCAGTTAGTTTTTCTTTCCTAAATAAAGAACCTTGCATTTCTCACAGTTGATTCTCATTTTGTTAGATGGGGCCCAATCTCTCGATCCTTCTATCCCTTTAGCTTACCTTCTGGAGTGTTGTTATTCCTGTCAATTAGTCCTTGGCTGCAAATTTGATGTTCCTTTTCTATCCTTTTGTCTCAATCATTGATGAAGATGAAGAGATCTTGCAAATCCTCCTGTTCTGTTCTTTTTTCCATATTCAGGAGAGTCTTGTGTCCTTTGAGGAGGTGGCTGTGTATTTCTCTGAGGAGGAATGGTCTCAGCTGGATCCTGACCAAAAAGCGCTGCATTCGGAAGTCATGCTTGAAAACTATAGGAATGTGGTCTCTCTCGGTAAGAGTTTTCTTGTCCCCAATCCAAGAGGTCAAGAAGACAGATTATTGTTTGTTTTTTATTAAAAAATCACTAATCAGATATCGTCTCCTGGGAGGGAGAAGGAAAGGATCTGGCCTTCTTGTACTCAAAGGAAGGAAAGAGTCAATGTGTCTTTGCTTACATTAGAAGTCCTCAAGCTATTTAAGTGGGGCAGTTCACGGTCTCTCAGACTGTTCGGGAGGCAGACTATAGTTTGAACTGCCTAATGACCGGCTAGGTGGGCATGGCCAGGTGGTGATGTGACTGGGGGGCGTGGCCAATTTAGCAGTCCACTTTGCCCTTGTCCTTCCTACGCTGTACTTGCTCAAAGGCATCTATTTATTTAATAAGAACCCCCTCCCTGAAAGGAAAAAGGGCGGAAACTTTCTTGCCATTTGCCTAACTTCATTAAAACAGCAGCTTTAGGTTCCTTAAAATAGGCCATTAACATAAGAATAAAAGAAACAGGAATTCTTTGAGAAATTGAGATCATCTGTAGGTAGACAAACACAAACCCTGATTTGCTCTCTCACACACACACACCACAATCTGCTTTGAAAGGTAAACATTATATATAAAGGAAAAGTTAGGGACAGAATACTTTAGAACCACTGCCGAAACTATGAATGTTGCAGCACTAAAGCCGTCCACACTTACAAATGACAGCAGAGATGCTGCAATGTATGCCTTGCCTATTCCCCCATCCCACCCTGCCGAGGCTTTCCCTGCAATGATGTAGCGAGCCAGTATGTTAGGCATCTGTTCCCTGCTAACTGAGGCATGTACCAGATCTGGCCGAAGAGCCCTTGCAAGCTGATGAGCCTTTGGGTCAGTGAAATAGCCTTTCTTGAAGCCTTCCAACCTTTTCAGTCTCGGCGTGAAGAGCATTTACAAGCCAATGGAAGGCTTCAAGCAAAGGATTTTTCCCCAAAGTTTCAGTTCTTATAGCTCTGCTGTAATTAACCCGCCCCGATAATTCTTAAGTTTTCACCCAGTTCCTCCTTGGATGTTTCCCCTAATTATTCCTTCACTCAAAACTGACTTTGAATGAGATTTGCATATATATAGATAATTGTAAAGAAAGATATATTTTCTAGATATTTTCAAAGCTTTCATGACTCACGGATATAGAAATCATCATGTCTATATCACAGCAGGGTAGGCATGCAAAATACAACATGATGGAATTTTGGAAAAATTCGGAAGAAAATTCGTTGACTTTCTATAGTTTGAGCTCTCTAACCTTGTTATCCTTTTCATTTCTATTGTCCTTTGAAGGTAATAATGGGCAGGAGAATCAAGATTCCTGTGGACTGTTCCAAGTGATCAATGCTAAAGATGGAATGGAGAACTTTGGAATTCGAATGGAAAAGATCCACACGGGCGAAAAACCATTTAAATGCATGGATTGTGAGAAAACCTTTACTCATCGTGGTCATCTTATTTGCCATAAGATGATCCACACAGGGGAGAAGCCATATAAATGCATGGAGTGTGGAAAGACCTTTGCTCGAAGAGGTGATTTTATTTCCCATCAGATGATCCACACAGGGAAGAAGCCGTATAAATGCATGGAGTGTGGAAAGACATTTTCTAAAAGAGGTAATCTTATTACCCACAAGATGATACACACAGGTGAGAAGCCATATAAATGCATGGAGTGTGGAAAGACTTTTGCTCAAAGAGGTAATCTTATTTCCCATAAGATGATCCACACAGGGGAGAAGCCATATAAATGCATGGAGTGTGGAAAGACCTTTGCTCAAAGAGGTAATCTCATTTCCCATAAGATGATCCACACAGGGGAGAAGCCATATAAATGCATGGAGTGTGGAAAGACCTTTGCTCAAAGAGGTAATCTTATTTCCCATAAAATAATCCACACAGAGGAGAAGCCATTTAAATGCATGGTGTGTGGAAAGACTTTTGCTGAAAGAGGTAGACTTATTACCCATAAGATGATCCACACAGGGGAGCAACCATTTCAATGTATGGGGTGTGGAAAGACCTTTGCTCAACGCCGTTATCTTGTTTCCCATATAAAGATCCACTCAGAAGAGAAACCATATAAATGCATGGAGTGTGGAAAGACATTTATTACGAGCAGTGCTCTTAATTCTCATAGCAGAATCCACACAGGAGAGAAACCATATAAATGCATGGAGTGTGGAAAGATGTATACTAAGAGGAGTTCTCTTACTTCTCATAACAGAATCCACGCAGCAGAGAAACCATATAAATGCATGGAGTGTGGAAAGACGTTTACTAAGAGCAGTACTCTTATGTCTCATAGCAGAATCCACACAGGAGAGAAGCCATATAAATGCATGGAATGTGGAAAGACCTTTGCTCAGAATTGTCATCTATCTTCTCATAAAAGGATCCACACTCAGGAGAAAGTATGTAGCAATTCTACTTTAGAGTTACATACCAGTCCACAAAGCTTTATAGCAGCCTTTGAGCAGTTCACAAAGTCAGCATATTGTCCCCAGGAATCTGGGTCCTCATTTTACCATCCTCAAAAGGATAAAAGGGTGACTCAACCATGAGCCGGTCAGATCAAACTCCTGGCTGTGGGCAATTAGTTTGTAGTACTGCATTCTAACCTCTGACCCACCATGTCTATAGATTTTTATGTGTACACCTATTGTGCCTTTCTGATCCACATGAGACAAGGTTGAATCCAACAAAGTGAAATTTAATGCAGAGAAATGTAAGATTTTACACCTGGGTGGGAAAAACAGATTACAGGAAATGTGGCTCAAAAACTAACTGAGAGGAACCTTGGGAGTCCAAATGGATGATCACTTAAATATGGGTCACCTGTTTGTGGCAGATCTGGCCCCGACTTCATCGTAGCCGATACTAACCCTTTGACCCCCAAACCCTTCCCTTTCCGTTCCCCATTCTCATCTTCTCTTTGGCCATCTTCCAAGTCAGTCTCCCCAGCTTCTGACCTCAGCCCACAGAAATGTACCCCTCCCATCCCATCTCCTAGGGGATATTATCTTCAAAGAAAATAAGTAGGTCAAGCCTCGTCTCCTCCTTTTTATGGCAGCATCAGAATGCTGACATCTGCAGTGGCTGCTGTATACAGAGTGGCTGGTCCTGTGCCTCTGCCTGCTGCCAGTGCCACGCGCAACAATGCCTTACGCACGGTCACTCATGCCTTACGCACGGTCACTCATGCTCTCGTCACGTCCCACCTGGACTATTGTAATGCTCTCTACATGGGGCTCCCCTTGAAGAGCACCCGGAGGCTCCAACTGGTCCAGAATGCGGCAGCGCGGGTGGTTATGTGGGCAACTCGGCGCTCCCATGTAACATCTCTCCTGCGCGAGCTGCACTGGCTTCCAGTGGTCTACCAGGTGCGCTTCAAGGTATTGGTTACCACCTTTAGAGCGCTCCATGGCTCAGGACCCGGGTATTTACGAGACCACCTTCTGCCACCAACAGACTCCCACCGACCAGTACGCTCCCACACAGAGGGGCTCCTCAGGGTGCTGTTGGTCAAACAATGCCGACTGGCGGCCCCCAGGGGGAGAGCCTTCTCTGTGGGGGCACTTACCCTCTGGAATAAGCTGCCCCTGGAGATACGGTGAATCCCTGATCTACGCACCTTTCGCCGTGCCCTTAAGACTTTTTTATTCCAACAAGCCAGGCTGGCTTAACTCTTTTAAATTGTTTTAATTTTTAAATTGTTTAATTATGGGTTTTAATACAGGGGTGCTTTTAATTGTGGCCCAAATTAATTTAATTGGATTTTAATACTGTTTTTAAATTTTGTATTTCTTGTGTTTTATCTGTTGGCTGTTCACCGCCCCGAGTCCTTCGGGAGAGGGGCGGTATATAAATATAAACAATAAATACATAAATAAATAAGCAATCCCAGTTGCTGCAAGCGAGCAGTGAGCATCTCAAAAGCGAAAAGTGGCACTCACCTGCCGCCCCTGGTGGCGAAACGTAGAGAACAGCCACCCTCCCTTTGGGAAAGAGCAGGTCAAGCCAGGTCTTATTCTGATCACATCATAGCATGTTTTGGAAGGAGGAAGATGCAGCTGCTATTGGCCGTGTTGGGCTTTGCATGCTGGTGGCAAGATACTGCAGGATTTATATTTATCTCCCTTGCAAAACACACAGATGTGTGAATCCTGGTTCTTGCTTTCAACCACAACACTTGCAGCCACTGACCCAAGCGACTCTTGGGGGCTCTTCGTCCTCCTGACAGGACGACTCTCGGCCGCGGAGCTGGGCTGTTCCTGCTTGACAGGGGGCCAGAGTTCTCAACAACCACAAGACACAAGCTGTGTTTCCCAGAGATTCTCCTGGTCCTCCTCTTCTGACCGCCCGGCTGTTTCTGACAGGATTTGGACCCTTTGGAGATCTCTGCCCAGCCTTGAGGGAGGCTCTTCCTGAGGAAAGCGAGTTTAAATCCTCCAGAGATTTTTCTCCATCTCCACAGACGGTTCTTGAACAGGAAAGAGAGGAAGATGGAGAAATTGCTGCCTCTGGAGACCACGGAGCTTTTTTTGGGCAGGAAGGAATTGTGAGGGGCTTTCCACACTACTCCCATGTCCATAATCCCTGCCCTCTCCGTTCTCCTCAGGCGCGCTCCTGTTTCCCGCCCTTTCAACAATCCTGGCACTTTGCCCCTAATCCACCAGGGGGCGCCCTCTGCTAAGAGATCGGAACTCCAGGCACTTCCCCATTGGGCCACTGGAGGACGAATGTCAAAGCTGCCTTTGAAGAGGAGGCTGGGAAGGAAGTGACATCATAGAGCTTTGCCTCTCTAGGACGCCGCACTCGCTCTCCTTAACTCTTGGAGAGGCTGCGGGAGAGTCTGGCTGGCGGGATATCCAGACGTGCCCCGGGTGAGGTGGGGGCTCTTCTAGCGGCAAAAGGAGGCGGAGGAGGGAGAGACCCGCTCCTGGCCCTCCTCCGGCTTCAACCCCGGGTCCCATGCTCCCCAGCCGCCCTCTGCGGGGATGGGCGAGGGTCCCTTCCCTTACCCGTGTCCGGGGAAGAGCCCGAGTGGGGGGAGGGGAGGGTCGGCCTTGCGGAAGCCCAGCAGGATAGGAGAGAAGCCGGGTGAGGGGGAGGCAGGATTCACACCAGGCTCCCCGAGGGCTCCATCCTCTGCAGCCCGGCCTGTCTCCGGAGGGGGAGAGAAGCGGGGCGGCCTCTCCAGCTGCCTCCTTCCCGGCCCTGCTCGCGGGGACCTCGGTCCTGCGCTGGGATGAGCCGCTTGGGACTCCTGGAAGGTTGGGTGAGGGTTGTTCAGTGCCTGAATTCCACTTTGTAATTCTTAATATTTATTTTTCTTTCCATCTCAGATACAGAAACTGGAAGCCATTTGAAATCTTTGCAAACTAAACTTTCCTCTTGGGGAAAAAAAAAGAGCGGAATAACTTGGAGGAATCAATCCTGCAACACCAGAAATGGTCCCGTGAAGGAAAAGGCATCTGGAGACCCACCAGAGTCCTTGGAGCCATTTGCAGTTGCTCTGCAGGACAGAGAAAGGATGGAGACACAACCTTTTGGAAAGGAGGGAGCCGGAAAAGGCCCTTCATCTGCTCAGCCTGGGAAGGGGAGGAAATTCTGGACAAGGACTGGGCAGGAGATCCTGGAGGAGGAAACCATCCTCCGTTCAGAAGTTCAGCCCTGGAACTTCATCCAGTACCAGGAGGCTGAGGGTCCCCGAGGACTTTGCAGACGACTCCATGACTTTTGTAGACAATGGCTGAGACCCGAAAAGCACACCAAAGCCCAGATGTTGGACCTGGTGGTTCTGGAGCAGCTCCTGGCTCTTCTGCCCCCAGAGATGGAGGGCTGGGTGCAGGAGTGTGGAGCAGAGACCAGCTCCCAGGCGGTGGCCCTGGCGGAAGGCTTCCTCCTGAGCCAGATGGAGGAGCAGAAGGAGGAGGTCGAGTTGCAGGTGTGACACTTTAGGGAGCTCAAAAGGGAATAAAGAATGTGTTTGAATACGTCACCCATCCTTCCCAAACTTCTCTGACATACATTATATTCGGAATATAAGATTTCACTTTATGTTGTGTGATGTACATTAATTGTGCTTCTTTTTTCCTTCCTCCTATTTGAAGGGCTGCACTGTGGAGATCAGAGATCCTGAGGGAAAGAAGAATCCATCAAATCCCCCTCAGAAGCTATTTTTCAGGAGGATCCCTTGGGAAGATCAAAGTCCGGACACGTCAGGAGGTAATCCAAGATCTTCCGATTACCCAGAGATCCCATCTGCCTTACCTTCTTCTCTTTTGTAGTATACCTCTTCTTATTTTGTTAAATGTGCATTTTGAAATTATTTTATCATTACAGAGAAACAAAGAAGGAAGTTTTCTGCTTTTTACGATGGAGCTCAAACTGTGATTGAACCTCCAAATCAAGTAAGAAAGAGAAAAGCATTAGATTTGTATTCTCCTTTCCGTCAAGAAGTGAAGCGGTTGTGCAGAGTTCGCTCTCCTTCTATTTCCCCCCTTGTTTAGACTGGGTTATTTTTGTGTTCCTGTGCGACATGGACAGCATAATAGCAGGTTCAAAGTTGCTGTCGGCCAGCATAACTTCCTCTGTAGTCTATTACTGGGACACAATGGTTTATCATTTGTACCCTCAGATTCTGTTTAAGAAATATTTTTTAAAAGACCACAGGTTAACTGGTTCTGCTAGGTACTTCTCCAACTATGAATTTACAAGAAGTAATTTCAACTAATAGGAATAAATCAGTGGTGGGTTCTAACCGGTGTTACCACCAGTTCGCTTCAGGCACACACTTATTCTATTCCAATATTGTTTTACTTTGGGACACATCCACCACATGTGGTAATATGTTTACATTTTGTTTACATTTCCAACAAGTTGATGAGGTATTGGAGAACATTTTAGCCAGTCTTGGTGGTGGAAGGTGCCACTTATAAAACATTTTATACATGTTTTCCTTGTAGGCTACAAACATCATCAATTTATAGCTTTTGTTCCATAATTTCTCTCATTTCTCCAATTCAATGTTATAACCAAAATTTTTGGCCCAGATTATCATAGTTTCTTTGACTAACTCCTCCTCCATTTTATATCTCAATTATTATAAATTTTCTTAATCAATTTGTCCTTTGTGCCTTGTAGAATCTTGTCTAAGAACTTCTCGTGATTCTTTTTGAAATCCATATTGTTCTAAATATTTCCTGTATCTAGATTGTATCTGAATATATGGCCACCAATCGATGTCTATGCCCTGTTCTTTTAGTTCTTGTCTTGTTTTCAGTTCCCTCTGGCCATTTAGTAGATATTTATATCTTTTTATTTTATCAATATCCAATACCTTCGGGTAAATTAATGCCTCCATCATTGATAGCCAATCTGGAATTTTATTGTAATGGTTCTTTTTTACTCTTTGCCATGTTTATAGCAGCGCATCTCTAATTAGATGTCTCTGGAAGTAGCTATGGAGTCTGTTTTTTCCATCCCATAAGAAGGCATGCCATCCTATCTGTAAGTCGTGCCCTTCTAATGTCAAAGTCCTTTTATTTTTTAATTCAATTAATCCAAGTGAGTGTTGTTGCCTGGTAATATGTCTTCCAGTCTGGGAGCCCAAAGCCACCTCTTTCTCTGTTGTCCATTAATAATTTCATTTTAATTCTAGGTTTTTTCCCTTGCCAAATGCATTTCGCTATTAGTTTATTTAAGTCTTTGAAGAAATTCTTCCCTAATTTTATTGGTGCTGCTTGCAGGAGGAAAAATATTCGTGATAGAATGTTCATTTTGATCGAGGCTATCCTTCCTATGAGAGATAGTTGTAATTTTTTCCAGGTTTCCAAATCCCTTTTTATCTGTAATATTAGTTGTAATTATCCTCTTTGATCGACGAACATTTAGCTGATAGCCAAATTCCTAAATATTTTACTTTTTTAGTCGTTTGAATGCCCATTCTATCTTCCAGTTCACTTTCCTGTTTTTTAGTGAGGTTTTTCGTTATTTATTTATTTTTTTAATTTGATTTATATGCCGCCCTTCTCTGGAGACTCAGGGCGGCTTACAATGCATTAAGCAATAGCCTTCATACTTTTGTATATTTATACAAAGTTAGCTTATTGCCCCCACAAACTGGGTCCTCAATTTACCTACCTTAGAAAGGATGGAAGGCTGAGTCAACCTTGAGCCTGGTGAGATTCGAACTTGCAGTAATTGCAGACAGCTGGTGTTAATAACAGTGTGCTTTAGTCCACTGTACTACCAAGGCTCCTTATTGCCTTTGTTTTGGATTTATTGATTTTAAGTCCTGCTGCGCAAGCCTCCCGAGAGCCTCAAGAGGGAAAAAGCAAAGCAGCTGGCCGTGGAGCTGCCAGCTTCGGGGGAATGGCCCAACAAACAGAAGCGCTGCGCACAGAAAGAGAAGGGCAAGAAGGGCCAGTGGGCTGCAGAGGCAAAGGCAAGCTCTGGGGCAGCAGCAGTGTTCTGGGGAGAGGACGGATGTCCCAGGGCTACACATGCAGTACCACCACCAACGCCTCTCTTGGCCTCAGTGCAGCAGCTACGTCTCCCCCAAGGACTGGCTGCTCACCCGCTGGCCAGGCTAGGCCAGAAGTGGCATGTCTCCCATCAAGGGCTGGATGTGGGACTGGACCTTGAAAGGCAAGTTAAAAGGGGAGTTAAAAGTATGAGGGAGTTTTGAACTTTGTAGTAAGTTAGGCATAGGACCCGGGTACCTCCGAGACCGTCTTCTGCCACCAATAGCCTCCCACCGGCCAGTTCGCTCCCACAGAGAGGGTCTCCTCTGGGTGCCATCGGCCAAGTTATGTCGGCTGGTGACACCCAGGGGGAGGGCCTTCTCTGTGGGTGCCCCAGCCCTGTGGAATGAACTGCCCCCGGAAATATGTAAGATCTCCGACCTCCGGGTATTTCGTTGCGCACTCAAGACCCTGTTGTTCCACCAAGCTGGGCTATCAGCATAACAATTTTAAATTGGGTTTTAAAATTCTGGGGTTTTAAAATTCTGGGGGGAGGGGGGGTTGAAGGTTGGGTTGGGATAAAATTGCTGAACAGATAAATGTACTAATGGAAAAGTAAATGTGGGGGAAATGTCACAGCAAATGAAATGATAATATCAAGAGATGATAAATATTGGAGGAGTAAGATGAAAAAAGATGTATTCAGATGATAAATTGATTGATTGATTATATATTGTATATTTGTTTGTTTACAAAATAAAAAAAAACTTTTTAACTAAAAAAAAAAAGAAAGAAAGGCAAGTTAGCTCCCTTCAACACGGCCGGGCGATCCCGACATGGTTGCTTGCCTGCCTTCCACGTGGCTTTCCTGGTGGTCCCCATGGCCAGCTTGCGAAGGCAAGCAAGCGCCCAGGTGGGCGGGGGCAAGGCCAACCAGGGGTTCACATGCACTTGCACCCTCTGTGCATGCGCAAAACCTTCTGCGCATGCACAGAGGCTCAAAAAAACTAGGTTACTTCCTCATTAAAAACAAAGTAATGACTCTGGGCGGGCGGGCGGAGACTCAAGCTGCCATCGCTACCGGTTCTCCAAACCACCGGCTGTCATCACTACCGGATCGGCCGAACTGGTCCAAACCGGGAACATTTCACCCCTGATCTTTATCCAATTTAACCAATTGTAGCAGTTTTGATTTCCAGTCCTGTTTTTTTTTTTTTTTTTTTTTTTAATTTGATTTATATGCCGCCCTTCTCCGGAGACTCAGGGCGGCTTACAATGCGTTAAGCAATAGCCTTCATACTTTTGTATATTTATACAAAGTCAGCTTATTGCCCCCACAAAATGGGTCCTCAATTTACCTACCTTAGAAAGGATGGGAGGCTGAGTCAACCTTGAGCCTGGTGAGATTCGAACTTACAGTAATTGCAGACAGCTGGTGTTAATCACAATGCTATCAGTCTGCTGTGCCACCAGGCCCTTTTTTTTCTGCTTCTAATCCATCCAGAAAGCCTGTAAATCCACCACATCACCAAGTCACCGTTCAATCTACACAATTATCTATTCCAATTCTTCCAGCAACCATTCTTTATAAGAGCAACATTTTGATTGCTCTTCTCTGCACTCTTTCTAGAATCTCAAGATCCTTTTTAAATCTGGCAAACAAAACTGGATGCAATATTCCAAGTATGCAACCAATATTAGATGCCAAGTGCTGTCTTACCAAGGCATTACAAAGTGGTACTAACACTTCATGTGATCTTGATTCTATCCCTCTCTTAACACAGCCTATGATTGAGTTGGGTTTTTTGGCAGCTTTAGTATATTGCTGACTCATGTTTAAGTGATTGTCCACTAGGACTCCAAGATCCCCATTGCATTTTCTACTGTTGAGCTAGGTATCACCTATTCCATGCCTGTGCAGTTAGTTTTTCTTTCCTAAATAAAGAACCTTACATTTCTCACTGTTGATTTTTCTCATTTTGTTAGATAGGGCCCAATCTGTCGATCCTTCTATCTCTTTAGCTTACCTTCTGGAGTGTTCCTGTCAATTTAGTCTTCTCTTCAAATTTGAGGACTTTCCCTTCTATCCACTTGTCTAAAGCACTGATGAAGATAAAGAGATCTTGCAAATCTTCCTGTTCTGTTCTTTTTTCCGTGTTCAGGAGAGCTGTGTGTCCTTCGAGGAGGTGGCTGTGTATTTCTCTGAGGAGGAGTGGTCTCAGCTGGATTCTGACCAAAAAGCGCTGCATTCGGAAGTCATGCTTGAAAACCATAGGAACGTAGTCTCTCTGGGTAAGTTTTTTAGTCCCCAGTCCGAGAGTTCAAGAAGACAGATTATAGTTTGTTTTTTATTAAAAAATCACTAATCAGATATCATCTCCCTGGGAGGGAAAAGGAAAGGATCTGGCCTTATCGTACTCCAAGAAAGAAAAGAGTCAATGTTTCTTTGCTTACATCAGAGGCCCTCAAACTTTTTAAACAGGGGAGCAGTTCACGATCCCTCAGACTGTTGGGGGGCTGGACTATAGCTTGATCTGCCTAATGACCGGCTAGGTGGGTGTGACCAGGTGGTCATGTGACTGGGTGGGCGTGGCCAATTTAGCAGTCCATTTTGCCTTTGTCTTTCCTAAGCTGTACTTGCTCAAAGGCATCTATTTATTTAATAAGACCCCCCCCCTTTCTTGCCACTTGCCTAACTTCATTAGAACAGCAGCTTTAGGTTCCTTAAAATAGGCCATTAACAAAAGAAGAAAAAAAAACAGGATTTCCTTCAAAATAACTCCTGATCATATGTTTCAGATGACCGCACAATAAACCAGACCCAGAACTGCACCAATTAAGACTGTAACTAAAAGCCCACTCTAAAAGCCATTAGCATTTCTCTGAAGGCACCATATATCTTCATGTAAATTGATTTGTGATGCATTTAACTCATGAAATGACCTTTTGTTACTACTTCCAGCAATATTAATCTGCATTTCTTACTTTTATTTAAAAAACAGATTTCAAATTATACAAACCCCATTGAGATCATCTGTAGGCAGACAAACACAAACACTGATTTGCTCTCTCTCGCAATCCACCCCCCTCAATATGCTTTGAAAGATAAATATTATATATAAAGTTAGGGACAGAATACTTTAGAACCACTGCCAAAACTATGAATGTTGCAGCACTAAAGCTGTCCACACTTACAAATGACAGCAGAGACGCTGCAACGTATGCCCTACCTACACCCCCATTCCACCCTGCCAAGACTTTCTCTGCAATGATGTAGCGAGCCAGTGGTTCCTTTGCCTTCTTTGGTGCATTTGCAGAAAATATAGCGCTAAAGTAGTGAGAAATCACATGAGATCAGTGCAAAATCTCGCAGTACTGATCTCGTGTGATCTCGCACTATAGTATGTTAGGCGTCTGTTCTCTGCTAACTGAGGTCTGTACCTCTCTGCTGTAATTAACCCACCCCAAGAAAACTTAGGTTTGCTCGTAATTCTTCTTTGGATGTTTCCCCTAATTATTCCTTAACTCAAAACAGACTTTGAATGAGATTTGCATATATAGATAATTGTAAAGAAAGATATTCGTTGACTTTCCACAGTTTGATCTTTTTCTCTAACCATGTTATCATTTTCATTTCTCTTTTTCTTTGAAGCTAATAATGGGCAGGAGAATCAAGATTCCTGTGGACTGTTCCAAGTGATCAATGCTAAAGATGGAACGGAGAACTTTGGAATTCGAATGGAATTCGAAAGCCATGAGAGAAGCCAGTCAAATAATTGGAATCAGGAAAGCTCATCTTCCACTGATGCCCAACAAGAGAAAATAAGGAAAAAATATATTGGGAAAAGTGTGAAGCTAATCAAAGATAAATCACATGTAAACGAACACCATTTAACCCAAAACAAAGGAGAAGATGCTATAAAACACAACGGACAAAACTACAATGGGACATTCATTCATTCTCTTGGAAATAACTTTCTTAGATCTCAAAAAGTGATTCACAGAAAAACGGATCCTTATAAACGTTTGGAATCTGGAAAACATTTTAGAACAAGTGGGCAACTTTCTTCCCATGAAAAGATTCACACTGGGGAGAAACGGTGTTCAGAAGTACCTGTAGCCCATGCAGCCCAATCCCTCCAGGCAGCACGAGAGAAACCATATAAATGCATGGAGTGTGGGAAAACCTTTATTCATAGCAATGGACTTAGAAACCACAAAGCGATCCATACAGGAGAGAAACCATATAAATGCATGGAGTGTGGAAAGACCTTTGTTCTGAACAAAAGACTTACTGTGCACAAAAAGATCCACACAAGAGAAAAATCATTTAAATGCATGGAGTGTGAGAAAACCTTTACTTATCGTGCTTGTTTTATTTCCCATAAAATAATCCACACAGGGGAGAAGCCGTATAAATGCATGGAGTGTGGAAAGACCTTTGCTCGAAGAGGTGATTTTATTTCCCATAAGATGATCCACACAGGGAAGAAGCCGTATAAATGCATGGAGTGTGGGAAAACCTTTATTCATAGCAATGGACTTAGAAACCACAAAACAATCCACACAGGAGAGAAACCATATAAATGCATGGAATGTGGAAAGACCTTTGCTCTGAGCAAAAGACTTGCTGTGCACAAAAAGATCCACACAGGGGAAAAACCATTTAAATGCATAGAATGTGGAAAGACCTTTCTTCAAAGAGGTCATCTTATTTCCCATCAGATGATCCACACAGGGGAGAAACCATATAAATGCATGGAGTGTGGAAAGACCTTTCCTCGAAGATTTAATCTTATTTCCCATAAGATGATCCACACAGGGGAGAAGCCATTTAAATGCATGGAGTGTGGAAAGACCTTTGCTAAACGCAGTTATCTTGCTTCCCATAAAATGATCCACTCGGAAGAGAAACCATTTAAATGCATGGAGTGTGGAAAGATGTTTACTAAGAACAGTGCTCTTACTTCTCATAAGATGATCCACACAGGGGAGAAACCATATAAATGCATGGAGTGTGGGAAGACCTTTTCTCGAAGAGGTAATCTTATTTCCCATAAGATGATCCACACAGGGGAGAAGCCGTATAAATGCATGGAGTGTGGAAAGATGTTTGCTCAAGGCAGTTATCTTGCTTCCCATAAAAAGATCCACTCAGAAGAGAAGCCATTTAAATGCATGGTGTGTGGAAAGACGTTTACTAAGAGCAGTACTCTTACTGCTCATAAGATGATCCACACAGGGGAGAAACCATATAAATGCATGGAGTGTGGAAAGACCTTTCCTCGAAGATTTAATCTTATTTCCCATAGGATGATCCATACAAGGGATAAGCCATTTAAATGCATGGATTGTGGAAAGACCTTTGCTCAACACAGTTATCTTGCTTCTCATAAAAAGATCCACTCAGAAGAGAAACCATTTAAATGCATGGAGTGTGGAAAGACGTTTACTAAGAGCAGTGAACTTAGTTGCCACAAAAAGTTGCATACAGAGGAAAAGCTATATAAATGCATGGAATCTGGAGAGAGCTATACTCAGAATTGTCATTTTACTTCTCACAAAAGGATCCACACTCGGGAGAAAGTATATAGTAATAGCAATTCTACTTTAGACTTACATACTAGTCCACAAAGCTTTATAGCAGCCTTTGAGCAGTTTACAAAGTCACCATATTGTCCCCAGGAATCTGGGTCCTCATTTTACTGACCTGAGAAAGATTAAATGTTGAATAAACCATGAGCCGGTCAGATCAAACTCCTGGCTGTGGGCAATTAGCTTATAGTACTGCATTATTTTTTCCCCCGAAAAGTTTTTTGTTTTTATTTCTTATAAACATTATGTAAATATAGATTCTCTTATACATAATTGGTCATACATAGACATATTTTTCTTGAAAGCATAAAAATAAGGCATTTTAATTCTTTTTGGGGTTGCTCTTCTACCTTTTCTTTTCCCTCATTTCACAACAAACCTCCTTCCTCTTTCCTACTTCTCCTTCCTTTCCCCCACTCCTCCCCTCTTTTTCCCCTTTCTCACCTTCTCTCCTACTCCTGTCCTGTCCTTTCTTCCTCTCCTTTCCCCTTTCTTCCATTACTCTCTCATTCTCCTCTTCTTACCCTCTACTCCTCTCTCCCTTTCTTTCTTCTTTGTTGTGGAATATATTCCCTGTTTGGTATCCGAGCAACTCCAATGTTCTAATAATATATACTTTTCAATTTCTTTTCCATTTTACCCAATCTGTCACTTTTATCATCATAATTGTACGTTTATACTTCTTTTCCCCCCCACCCAACCCGCTTTTCCACTTGCTCTGGTGTCATCTGGGTTTCTATTTCTTTTTTGTCCTCTCCCTCTTTTAACTTTCTATTATCCAAATTATTTACCTATAATCTTTTCATACTTTATTATTTATTAATTTATTATTTATTAATTCAATTTGTATGCCGCCCCTCTCCGAAGACTCAGGGCGGCTACTTCTTTTCTAACCATACATAAAATCTTTCCCATGTTTTGAAATACACCGATTCCTCTTTATCTTTTATTCTTAGAGTTAATCTATTCATTTCTGCCCAGTCTAAAATCTTTTTTATTACTTCACTTTCTGACGGGATTTTTTCTGTCTTCCAATTTTGTGCAAATATAATTCTTGCTGCTGTTATATGTATAATTATATACACATCTTCTTTGCTGTATCTCTCTGGTAGAATACCCAATAACATGCCCATGTCATAATTGTTTCCTTTACTTCTTCATCTTCTAATCTAATTTGCAACAAGTAATTATACAATCTTTTAATAATTTTTTATCCTTTCCAATCATCTGATCCAACTCTGATTGCCCCAAATTAAAACCCTATTGTTTCAAATTTTTATCATGTCTTGATTGTATCTGCAGCCGTGTATACTAATCAGTCTCAATCCCTTGTTTTTCTAAATCTTGCTTCTGTGTTAGTTCTCCCTTCTCTGTTAGAATGTCCTTGTATCTTACAATATTGTCAATACTTAGATGTGTCAATGCTTCTATTGTTGAAAGCCACATTGATATTTCCATATAATGCTTTTCTTTTCCTCTGTCCCCTACTGCTAACAAGCCATTCCTTACACAATGTCTCTGGAAGTATCCATGTAAGTTTAGTCCATTTATGTTAAGATATTATTTTAATTTCTTCTTCCATTTCTTATTTATTTACTTGTTTTGTCTATCTCTTTGTTCTTTAACTTCTTTCACTCTTGCTCCTTCTCTTATCACTCTCCCTTGTTTTTTCCTTATCTCTCTTGGCTGTTCTTTCTTCTCCTCCTGACGTCCATCTTCTTTTTTATCTCTCAATCTTTCTTCCTCTTGAAAATTTATGTGCGGTTTATAAAATAACTCTGCTTTCTCTATTGAATCTAATCTATAGTTTTGCTCTTGCCAATTCACCAATATTCCTCCTGGAATGAACCATCTAAAATTTATTCCTTTCTTTATCAAACATTTTGTGAGAAATTGATATTCTTTTCTCAGGTCTCTCACTCTTCTTGGAATTTGTTTCAGTGCCACTACTTCTCTCCCTTTGTGCTTTATTGTTGTGTTTCGCATCAGTTGCAATATCTCTGTTCTCAGTGTTTTCTTGATAAATCTGACATGAATTTCTCTAGGCAGATTATTTCTCATCACATATCTTGTGTACACTCAAAATATCTCATCCCCATTTAATATCCTTTCCTTGCTTTCTTCCATTGCTTCTGCTAATATCTCTGCAATTTTCTCTGCTAAATTTTCTCCCTTCTTCAATATTTTGGAAATATAAATAATATTAAATAATAATCAGCTTTATCCATTTCCAGAATTATAATTGTTTTTTTCCTGATTTTTATCAGTAATTGTAAGTCTATAATCCTTTTCTTCCACTTTTTTCTCCGTTTTTTCTGTTTTTTTCTTCCACTTCCTGTAATTGTTGTTCATTTTTCCCTATCATCTTTTTAACTTCTTTCAATTCTCCTATTTTTCCATTCTCCCATCTACTTTGTCTAATCTTGTCTTGAGGTCTTCATATATAGTCTGTAGCATATTTTTAAATTCTGTGTTGATTTTCTCTTGCTATGGTGTGGGTTTTGTTGTCTTTTGCCCTGTGGTACCAGTCGCTGTTGATATTGATGGTGATGATAGATGTTGTGTTATTTTCTTCATCTTATTTTTCCAAGTCTTACTGCCCAATTTATAATCCAAGTAATCGATTTCTTCATATTCAAACTGCCCAATCAGACTCTTCGGGTTCATGATACCCTAATCCACATAGGTTTAATCCATAATCCATATTTTAAAAAAAGGTAGAAAGGCTGTGTCAGAAAAACAAAAAAGGAAGCCCAAAAACAACAAAGACGCCAAAAGCAAAAAGGGAAAAGAAAAAAACTTAAGTTCCAACCAAGCAATAAAAAGATGAAAAAAGTATATACTATAATTAGATTTCTTAAATTAGATAGTTTTTAAAAGTTCAGGAGAAAAATATGTAAAAGGAATCTTGTTTCCAAGACTTCACTCTCTCCCCCAGATGATCACCTCCTTCTTCCTTTTTTTTGCTTGTGGCTGCCCTGGCTTTTGACAGCTCCTATGGTTGCCTTCCCTCACCGCTGGGTTGGAGGCTGATCGCTTGCACTTCAGGGAACTTGCGATTTTCCTGTCTATGCCAGCTTGTGCCTCTGTTCTTCGCTGTCCCTACAGGACAGCTATGATCCCTGGGGATCCCCAAAAGCGGCTGGGATATTGGCAATTTCCCAGAGCCCCGCAATCCACATTGTACCGCCGCAATGCTGGCCACACCCCATAGTACTGCATTCTAACCTCTGACCCACCATGTCTATAGCTTTTTATGTAAATGCATATTGTGCCTTTCTGATCCAAATGAGACAAGGTAGAATCCAACAAAGTGAAATTTAATGTAGAGAATGTAAGGTTTTACACCTGGGCGAGAAAAAGAGATTACATGAAACCTGGCTCAAAAACAGTAACTGTGGACTTCTGGTGGCACCGCAGACGTCGATGGCAGCTCCCCTTGGAGCGCTAGCCCTGCAGTCTCGTTAAAGCCGCTAGAACAGCGAAAATCAGCTGTCTAGCGGCTTGAAAATTTCCCCTCGGGAAAAGGGGGGAAGAAGAGCAGCCAGGCTTGGGTAGAGCTCCCCAAGAGTCCCAGGAATAACTCTTGGGGCTTGAAGGGTGAGAGCTCCTTGGAAGCCTGACATAAGCTCCGGACCCGGGATGCTTCTGTTTTAAATGGAACTAGACGCCGTGACCATCCCTGCTACAATTTAACAATATTTTGGATACAAAAGCAGGCAGAGCGAAGTCAGGAGGGACTCTAACTGCAAGTATTAAACTTTAACTCCTGTGTATTGAATACTTCTTGATTGCTGTGGGAAGAAAGCGAGAGGAAACGGTGCCGAGTCTTAATTGGGCGTGGTAACGAACGTTAACTCTAAAGTATTATTTATTTATTTTATTTTATTAAATTTCTATACCATCCTTCTCCAGAAGAACTCAGGGCGGTGAACAGCCAGAAGATAAAACACAGAGATACAAAATTTAAAATAGATTAAAATGAATTAAATAATTTAGGCTGAATTTTAAAATACCCCATAATTAAACAGATTAAAATTTGTGATTAAAATTTAAATTTAAAAAAGAAGATTTAGGCCAGGCCAGCTTGATGAAATAAAAACGTTTTAAGCGCGCGATGGAAGGTGCGAAGATCCGGGATCCTCCGTATCTCCGGGGGGAGCTCGTTTCAGATCGTAGGTGCCCCCACAGAGAAGGCTCTCCCCCTAGGGGCCACCAGTCGACATTGTTTGGCCGACAGCACCCGGAGGAGCCCCTCTCTATGGGAGCGTACTGGCCAGTGGGAGGCTATTGGTGGTAGGTGGTCCCGTAGATAACCAGGTCCTAAGCCATGGAGCGCTTTAAAGGTGGTAACCAAAACCTTGAAGCGCACTCAGAAGACCACCAGGAGCCAGTGCAGCTCGCGCAAGAGAGGTGTTACATGGGAGCTCCACGTTGCTCCCATAACCACCCGCGCGGCCGCACTCTGCGCCAGTTGGAGCCTCCGAGTGCACCTCAAGGGGAGCCCCATGTAGAGAGTGTTACAATAGTCCAGACGAGAGGTGACGAGGGCATGAGTGACTGTCCGTAGGGAGTCCCGATCTAGAAAGGGACACAACTGGCGGATCAGGCGAACCTGATGAAAAATCCTCCCGGTCACGGCCGTCAAGTGCTCTTCTAAAGACAGCCGTGAATCCAGGAGGATGCCCAAGTTGCGAGCCCTTTCCGTGGGGGCCAATGATTCACCCCCAATAGTCATCCATGGCACCAGCTGACTATATCGGGACGTCGGAAACCACAACCACTCAGTCTTGGATGGGTTGAGCCTGAGCCTGTTCCTCCCCATCCAGATCCGTACAGCCTCCAGGCACCGGGACATCACTTCAAGGGCATTGTTGGGGTGGTCCGGGGTGGAGATGTACAGCTGGGTGTCATCAGCATACTAATGGTACTTCACCCCGAAACCATGGATGATCTCGCCCAGCGGCTTTACATAAATGTTGAACAAAAGGGGCGAGAGGACCGATCCCTGTGGCACCCCACATATGAGGGGCCTCGGGGTCGACCTCTGCCCTCCTGTCAACACAGACTGCGACCGGTCGGAGAGAAAGGAGGAGAACCACCGTAGTACGGT